AGTCGTGTAGTGTTGTAGGTTGTGTGGTTTTGGTAGATGCGTGGCGTCTTGTTGTGATGGGGTATCGTTGGGTTGCATGGCTGTGGGGGAGGTGGGTTTCGGCGTCATGCCATTCTTCATCGGTCGTTTCGTCGTCGGCCGTGAGGAGGTTGGAGGTGTCGTAAGCTGGATCTTGGATGCACATACATGCTAACGAGGAGGTGAGAAGGTCCAGCGCCTCGTCCGTCCCATCAATCTCCACCTCTCGCACATCCTTCCCACCCATTTCCCTAATAAACTTTACCCACTTGTCAATCACACCCCTCATCACCTCCCAACCACCCTCCCGCCTACACACCCTCTCGGAAATCCTAAACCACTCATAATGCGCCTCCCGACATCGTCCAGGACACACCACTGGTCCCGTCCCGAATCGCTCCGAGAGTTCAATATGAATGAGGCGCTCAGCACGATGGGCGTAAGGGGTTGTGTAAAAGTGGGCAATGAGGTGCGGGGTGAGACCGCAGCGGGTGGACCATTGGGTTAGACGACGGGAGATGTTGGTTGTTCGACCTGTTTGAGCGTGTGAGTACCGATCCTGCGAGTGTAGGGAGAACTTGTCTTTGTGTTCTTTACCTATTTTGTACATGGACCCATCCAACACTCCATCTCCTTCCATCAACTGATAAACATAAATGTACCCCGGTCCATCCTTGTCTGAAACCGGTTTGACGAGTTCATCTATCAGTCGCTTTTTCGTATAATGCGATAATGTCTCGTCGATCCATTCTTATTAGAATACGTCAGTAAAGAAATTCAAGTCTTTGTTGGAAGCTGTCATGTAATCTGTGGTACCTGTATATTCTCCACAATCCACATCTTCTTCCTGATGTTGATGGCATCGATATGGGATTTGGGATTTGGACGGCGTCGTCCTCGTGCATCGAGTCCGTGTCGAGCGGGTGAAACCCTGGCATTGCGTCGGTGGACTCTGATGAGGGGTCTTGGGTGTGTTGGTGGATGGGTAGGCGGATGTGTTCATGGCTCAAAGATATGCAGAAAGACGACATTTTCAAAAAAGAAAAAATACGGGGAATGGAGGGAAACGCGAGGGTTAATTGTGGTTATGTAATCTAGTCCGATCAGCCATGTCAGACTAGCCTGACGGGTGTGTATTGACTAGAGTCCTTGTTTTTCCATTCTGACCATACCATTGTTGATGCCAGACAGTCCCAGTTTCGTCCTCATGACTTGCTTGTTTTTTGACAGTGCTTACCTCGTTGGGTTTTGGTCTATCGTTTCACACGGATTATGTGGTCCAGGATGAAGATTGGGTTTAGGGCACCGGGCATGCAATACTTTTAATCAAAATGCATAATTTGGACGGGGTATTGACGATTGCAGGTGCTCTGTAGGTTCCTGTGGGGAGCGGAATGGAGTCAAAAGTGACCGTTCGACGTGGAGGAGAGCTCTTGGCCTGAACGGGGTGTCGAGACCCTGTTGAGATGTTTTGAGTGACCTTCTGTACCCTTGCATCGTGAGTTTACCCTTTATTGCGTTCGGGTATGGAGATTATATCCCCAGTGTTAGACGCAAAGACTTGGGATGTGCTCACGAGGGGTTCATAAATGTGTGCAATGGCATTGAAGGTGGATTTGGCTTTCGCTTCTTTGACGACATGCTTGAGCGTGTACACAAGGCAGAATAACAACTGGTGTGCTTTGGGAAGGCTAATTGAGCTCCCCAACTAGGACGCAAGTTGGGATCTGGATTTACCACCCGCATTTTGCCATTTGTCGAATTGCGGTGCAGTTTGAAGGGTACTTCCATCCACCGTAGGATCCTTCGGCATGGCCAACGCCTTCTCATCATCCAAATATTGCTGAATGGCTGGTGCCCAGGAATCAGCAATAGTAAGAAATCGACGAAAAACTGCCAAAGTAAAGCAAAAGGCAACCTGCATTTAGTGCTTAGCATATCCGATTTCGAGCAACTCATTGGATTGTCCAACACGCCAGCGTCAGTTCTGCAGATCATCACCAGCAGAATTCCACCCATTCATCTTATCCTTTTGCCCGTTCGACGACTTTGTACCCTCTTCCTATACACCTATTCTATTCCAGCGTCATAGAAATCTTGTCGCACTGTAGACATGACCATCGATCCACCGGCAAAGCGAGTCAAAACAGACCTTGAATGTGAAATGAGTTGCACCATTTCAACCCCGATTGCAGAGAAGGTCCCGATAGTTTACACTCTGGACCCATTCTTTTCACAAGAAGCACCGGCTCGGCCTCTATTGAACGTGGATAATGTGTCGGATGAATTGATAACAGTACGTGCAGATCGCGAATTTGGTGACGTGCGCCGACACTGCAACGACTTGTTCAGGCATTAGAGACGCTGTCTACTGCCCTATCGGAATACATTCAGTCAAGCTGCTCGACAGTGGAGTGTGAAACTGCCCTAAGCAATGGTATGAGATACATGATGCCATATGCGGGATACTTCGAAACACTAAGTCCACTTGTCGCAGCATCAGAGCTCACAAACTCCGTGCACGTATTACGAGCGGAAGGCTTTCAGTCGCTGATAACCGAATATTACTTTGGTTGGTACGGATGATACGTTGGCCTCTTGTCAGCTTGTGCGTTGACGAGGCATAATTCGCAGTGAGCGTACAAGAGCATTTTTACAAAACAGTGGCAACACATTTACAAAACTTTGAGATGGATTACAGCACACTAAACGTATGTGTGAGCATGGAAGAGAACTAGTTGGTACCCGACATTCGATGCATCAGCTGATATATTACCCGCTCTGTTCAGGATGAGGATGTGGATGATGCCACTTATTCAGAATGGTGTTGGAAGGAGTACACCAGTCTGGTAACTCGCCTGGCAGGGTATATGAATGCTTACACATGCGGATTTGATCTGCTTGGGAATGTGTACGTCCTAGGATACGAAGCGATGCACGCCTTCGATTTTTGCTCACGTACCACTTGACAGAGACGGAACCTTTCACACTCGACTCTACAACTTTTTTGAAGGTCATCTTCGGCGGTCTCTTCCGTCATGCTGGCAAGATGTTACGACTCGCATATTCGAGCACAGTCTTCAAAAGTATGATACATTCTTGTCGAATGAAGGTAGCCAGATGAGCCTGTATTTTATGCATCCCAGTAATTTCTCACATGACAACTCTTCCATCTTAGACAGCATGGAAGACGTTGAACTGGAATTAGACAGCCTACCAGAATTAATGTCACAATTAAAGTCAATCGGCCTTCTGTCCGAATCCACCAGCGCCCTGATGCTAGTGGCTCGTGAAAGAGTCAAGCGCAAGGTGGAGGAATGCCGGGGTCAGTATGAGGAGCCTGCATTAGCGGAATGCATACAATGGGTCGAGCAGCATTTGTGTGGTGGATGGTTACGAAGGATAGTGCAGTATGAGAGTATGTGGTAGGCGCCATGGATGATTTTACTTGAGGCAATCATCAACTTACAATTGACGTAACCTAAAGGGGACTCGACGACAAACCTAAAGCTTGACCATTGGTGTCGTGACTTGACGGTCTGGACTTCTCGCGAGTTCTGCTCAATGCGGTGAGTTTCTACATAATCGTCTCAAAAGTGTTACTTACATTTCCTGATATGTGGACTTTTATTATGGGACAGTATCCAAGAAATTTTTGATATTGTGCGGAACTACGCTTTCGGACTGACATCAGAAGCAACGCTTACTGATTTAAAAGTGGGTCAAATGTTGAAACCATTTTAACGACTTTTAGTATATTGAGGCTTTCCTTCATTTGATTAGCACTGCCTCACGACCTCGGTACAGAAAGAGGAATTGGTCAAATCACTCAGAGAAGGGTATGTTTCCCCTTCACGTCGGATTCTATCCGCAAGCCATTTCTCAGTTCAATCATGCAGGATTGAGGAACGTGCGCTACATGCTGGCGTCGCTACCGAAGACATTATCACTATTTTGGTGGCAACGGAAAACACACTTCGGGTCATAGATCCCACCTCTAACATGCTTTTGAAGACCATTGGACCCATGAAAGAATATTTACGGTAGGTCGGCGGGTTTTTCATGGACCGAATTGGAGAAGACGATCTTTATACCCTTCACTTTCTGCAGGAGACGACCCGATACCGTTCAGCATATTCTGTCAAGAATGTTGGATGAGGATAGCGAACTGGCGGAGGCGATGCGCCAAGGTGATAGCGTGCGGGACGCGGAGGGCGCAGATGATGATTATGATAACTGGGAGCCAGAACCCGTAGATGCAGGTACTTTGACGACATACAGCGGATCATAAACACCACCGTGTCATATCTAATCATAATGTTTAGTCGGAACGCGGCAGGAGCGAGCTGCAGATATTATCACTCGGCTGATCAGTATCTGTGAATCCAAGGATGCGTTTGTACACGAGTACCACAAGATGCTCCTGGATTGCCTCATTCATAAACTAGATTATGAGACAGATAAGGAGGTAGGTTGACTACCTGATATATAGTCCATGATGGGTATTTCGTAACATTTCTGACGACATCAGACCCTCGAAGTGGAATTGCTAAAGACGAGATTTGAGGAAGCGAGTTTTAATCAATGCGAAATCATGCTCATGGATATGGCGACATCACGACGACTCGATCATCAACTCTATTCAAAGGCAGGTACTGAAGAGACAATGGAGACAGAATCAAATCCGGTATGTATCTGATATCCTGTGCATCGTTTGGCTGGGGAGTTACTCAATGTGGTCAACAGGCGCCCCTCCATACCACCGTCATGTCTCACTTGTTTTGGCCCCCGCTGGATACTACCGACTTTTCTCTTCCACCGGAAATTGAACGGTATGTTGCAGGAATGTACTGATTAAAAGGCACTGGCTAACCTTCTGACCGCACAGAGCAAAGAGAACTTACGAAAGGCATTTTGAGGAACAAAAACCCAACAGAAAGCTTGCATGGAAACCCAATGCTGGCATTGTGGAAATAGAACTTCAGATGGAAGACCGAATGGAAACTTTTACAGTAACAGAGCTGCAGGCGACTGTGATTCATCTCTTTGGCGAACAGAGTGAGTAGCCGGCGTATACAGGTATACCTTAGCATGTTCCCACCTAACTTGGATGCCAAGGTCCTTTGACATGGGATGAGATTGTCGCCAAGCTACGTGAACCTAATAGCCCGGAAGACTTTAAACAAGATGTTGGTGACTGCTTGTCGTTTTGGATGTCGCAAGGCATTCTGAAGCAACTGGACGAAGAGACATACGCCCCCATTGAAACTGCTGGAGAGGATATTAGCAATGGTAGTTCGTCCTGTTCTGTTTGGCAGGTTGTTTCGGTGTATTCAAATCATTGCACATTGCACAGGGCCATCTCTACCTATGCCTACAAGCCGAAGAAACGAGGAAGATCGCGCTCGGGCGAAACAAGCAGCAGAATTGCGCACCAAATTCCAGCCCATGATCATGGCCATGCTGACAAACCAAGGACCCGCAACTGTCGAGAGAGTCAAAAACCTTCTAACAATGTTCTTCCAGTTCAGCCACACGCAAAATGAACTGCAAACACTGCTGGACCAGCTTGTCTCGGAAGGGCTGCTATTAGTCGGACGTAACCGGGAGTACAGTGCACGGACATGATGAAACAATGTCAATCTAATAACAATGTAAATAAATGACTTGGCATTAAATACAGCATTCCTGATTCCCGTAAATGATCGTTTTGTACAATATAGGACTCTATGCAGATTAGGCTGATTCGGTTGTCGCCTGAGGGCGGCTCCTCTCTAGCAACTTTTTTACAATCTCGCTCTTGTCCACTCCCTCTACAAGCGGTGCCAGGTAACCTCTTCGGGATTCATCGGTGTAGCGTGCTATTCATTGAATCGATAGTGCGGCATGTGAGTGACGGCGCGTATGCGAAGACTATATTGAATATGACGCATACCAATATTTTCTTTTGTCGTAGGCAGGGGGTTTTTCGGCATGATCGCCCATCTGTCCGGTCTGAGAAGCGCTCGCAGAACTTCCTTCCCATGATAAACACACTTGATATTGCCTCCCTTTTCTTCAATCAACTTCATCGCGACCTGCGATGCTCGCGTGACTTCAATGTCCACTTTTGAATTAAAAAACTCCCCGCCCTATCAAAATCCGCCCACCAATTAGGTTATACGTTGGTTACTGAACACAGTAAGATCTTCCAGCCCGGCACGCACCTTGGCCAACAAGACCACTCCATCCTTTATCTTCCCGACACACTTTGACTCGGCCAACTCCTTTATTGTAATCTTCTTCGAAGCATCCAATTTTCCAGTTTCAACGAAATGTTGCAACGTATCGAGGTACAACCGAGTGAACCGCAGCTTTGGGACTCCTCGTTTACCCAACTTTGGAATTGCCTTAATCAGCCCCGTCTGACCACCCTCAAAACCAGGGAGAGGCGTTGCTTTGTGTTGCCGTGCATGGTATCCCTTCATACCTCGTCCTGAGGTTTTTCCCTTTCCACCTTCACCACGACCGAGAATCTTGCGCTGAAACAAGCTGGAATTAGAATTTGCATATACTGGACAGCCCGTGCATCAGAATGGGTCGTACCTTTCGTCGTGCTCCATTGTTATCTTTCACATTGGTCAAATGAAAGTATTCTTTTGGTCTTTGAACCAACGTCGCGAACCCGGATTGTGGAGCAGGCGTTTTTGGGATAGTTGCGGGATAAGCGTGGGAAATGGGGAATGTACGAGGACTCTTGACGCGGAGTAATGGCGCACCGCACGCCAGTAAACGCCGTCTAATAATGAATGCCATGCTCGTTCGACAAGTTCAACAAAATGCTGGCCGAAAAGGACGATCAAAGCCAATCTGCAAGACCCCCCGGAAATTTCGTCCTTGTTGCCAAGTAACGCGTTAGTCACTCAGAGGGCTTCTCAAAGGACGACGAGCGGGGCTTCAAATTGAACATAACCCAATTCGTTTGATCTTTTATTATCAAGAAACATGTCCAGCCGCCAAGGTACGTCTTTCAAAGTTTGTTGGTTCAGCCAATGCTCTTGTTGCGACGTTGTGATAACATTATGTCTTTTCAGGAGGAAAATTGAAGGTATTACCCTCTGCAAGTTGGTTTTAGGTTTTTTCATGCAAGCGTTAACATGCTTGTTTCAAAAAGCCGTTGAAGGCACCAAAAAAGAAGCAGGACGATCTTGACGAGGTTTGCCCATCCGTGTATTGCGTTCAGTATTAAAGATTGCCCTAATGGTGCTTATTTTTTTCGTAGTCGGACTTGGCTTTCAAGCAAAAGCAAAAGGAGGAACAAGCAAAGCTCAAGTCACTCAAGGATCAGGCATCAAAGAAGGGTCCCCTAGGTATGCATCTCACTGTGACCTAGACCACTTGGAGGGCTATTGTTGTTCGTTTCATGGCTAACATTCGTTTTCCTGGAAATTACAGTTGGCGGCGGTATCAAGGTGAGCTCATGAGATCTATATGGCCTACAAGTGGATAACCTTCAGAATGACTAATAATGTGTGTTCATTGAATCTGCCCTTCTTTCCTAGAAATCTGGCAAGGTGAGACAAACCTGCGACATATTTTTGTCGAATGTTTAATAATTTGCAATTACCACCCAGAAATGAAGGGTGAACGACAGCAGCATTAGACAGCAATGAAGATTGTATTGGGGCCTTGTGGATAGGAGAGTGAACTAGAGCGACGTCATCAAGAGCTCTTTGTCCGAAAAACTGGTTGTACATATATTATACAAGAAAAAGATTTCACTCGTTGCGGGGTCATATCCTGACCTGATTTAGATGCTCCTTCTGGTAAAGCTCGTCAAGAGTCTCTTTGTACTGTAGTACTGTTCGTTGCAGACTCCGGTTTTGTCCTAGATGGAGGCAAGCGAATAAGAACTCGAAGGGAACCCAGGACACTCTAGCTACGTACCCAGAATTGGTATTATTTCTGCTAGCAAACTTCGTTTCGGCATTCCCTGTAGAAAACCATGAAAACGAATCCAAGACCAACAGTCAAACGCCAGATACCAAACTCACCAGTATCATCGGGTCCCATTCATCCGCAGGGCCAGAAGGACTGCTTATTACTGTTGGCCTGGTTACAAAAGATTTAAACAATCCAACCATCGCATAGAACCTCCCGTCGCTCTTGTGCCTTACCTTGTCGAAGGTCCTAACAAATCGTCACACAGCTCTTTCACTTTGGAGCTCGCACCCTCATCCGCGAGATTTCGGGCATACCGCTTCAGCCAGTTTCGATAGTCGTTTGAAGAACGTAAGGTCAAGTGACTTGCCATTTGGTTCTATGACGTATAAAACCAGGTCGATGTAAAGGAGCTGAATCAACTGGCGTAAACAAATGACCCTACCTCCATTTGAGATAATGTTTTGATGCGAAATGGTTCACGTGAAGAATTTCGGCCTCCGCTCATTGCATTCGGTACAAGAGGCTCCTCCGCGTCTTCAATTTTCATCCATACTTTCATGCCAGGATGGTAGGTATACGTACAGGATGCTGATGTTGTGAGCACGGGTATCCCTTCGGGTCTAAGGAAGGCATTTCTGATTGTGATGTCAACCGATTCTTCCTCGGACGACGCACCGTGGGAATCGGAGCGAATTAGGTGGACAATGCTCGTGGATTGAATAGCAATTGTCTGTCGCACGATATTCCTTTGATACGATCCAAGTTAGTACATCATGACAGGTAACTAACGGCGTCGTCGTACGGACCACACACTGACTGTTCCAATGGCGGAGAGACACATGAGGTATTGGCCATGACACGACATGAAGGATGGTGCGGCTTCGAGAGCAATGCAAGGAAACAGTCTACATCATCGTGGTCAGTACATTTGCGTGTCAAATTTGAATTTGTGTGTGTCAATACCTTCGTCCCGCTGGAGAGTAAGCGTATAAACTCCCATCAATGCAGGCAGCGGCTATGAAGCTTTGACTTCCCCCCAAAAGAAGAACTTGCTTGGGAAGAGTATCCGCCCATAGCTGCTCTGTCCCGCGTGTACAAACGATTTTCACGGCTATAACTCAACTGGGGTCAAAGACTGGTTCACGCCAATAATATAAGGGTGAACTCACTCTTCCTGCTATTGTCACATTCCAGAGCCAGCGAGTCGCCCTCCTTTCCAAACGGCACTTGTGTCACTAGTTTGCCCTGTACTTTCGGCACAGCCAAGTTCACAGGACGGCGGGCTTCAATGATTGTCGGTAAGACATACTCCACAGGTGGTCCTCGAGTCTGAAAACTTACATTAGTAACTTTACGAACGAGATAATTCGAGAATACGCACTTACCGCATCTGAGTCACTATGCAACGTTCCATTCCCGTTTGTAGAAGAGTCTGAGATTTTGCGTCTCTTTCCAATAGTGGTCGGTATGCCACCCGATCCATCGCCGCCAGAGATGAACACGCCGTCACTTGGCCCATCAGTGTCTATGTCCATCGAGCTCTGCATGATGTCAGATGGAAGTTTCAAAAACAAGATACATACAATCGCTTACAGTTGACACAGCTTGTGAAATCGAGGAAACTTGTGGCTCAAGTCCACTATATTTTGGAACATACGGAGACCATCAGCTCTCAGATGCGAGTGAAACGGGGCGATGCCCAAATTACCTGCTGAGGAAGGTGGGCTGAATACGCTTCCTTCCATCCGGGGTTTTTGTCACCTTTTGATTCATGGGGGTTGGTGTTGAAGGAGGTTTTACGGGAGTCATTAGCTTGGGGGATGAACTGAGGCCTGATGACACGTTCCCAGAACTAGCAGTAGTCGGTTCCATCAGATTTGCAATCCGTGTGGACTGAATCTTCTTGTTCTCAATGCGATTTTGCTCTTCCAAAGCAAGCTGCTCTGTACTTTCCAGGACAACTTTGCGCTTGACTCCAAGAGTGTTCAACACACGCTCCTACACTCGCGGTTCAATGATGCACTAATGTCTATTCAAACCACAGCGGTTTTCCGTACCTTTTCAGCAGCTGCGAGTGGTGTACCGAATGCATCGGCCTCAAACGAGATAACTCCAACTGTACCATCGTAAGAGCAAGCAAAAAGACATTGGCCATCCGGTGTCCTGAGATGGGAAGCCATAGGCCCGTCAATACACGTAACCCCCTTGGCATATGCGGTTGCGTCTCACCATGACATATCCAAGACACTGTGTTTGAAGAGAGATTTACCGACCGCAATAGCTCGTGCTGTAGCCGTCCACCAAAATGAAATGGTGCTATCTTGGCTCCCGATAGCGCAAACAGCAGAGGCATTTGAAGCATCAGTCTGGCCCTCTGTCCTCATGGACGGCGGAATTTCGAATAATACTGGGTTGAATTGCTGTTGGGATATTGGTACTGGATATTATGCGTTTCCCCGCCATATAGCTACACTGCTTACCGCGCATTCTATCGGGGCCACATGTCCAACGAGATTAACGTCAGTACTCCAACCGTCACGCTGAATTATCGGGGCTACGGGTATATTTCCATTCTCCCCGTTGGCTGTTACTATACAGTTCCCTTCAGGTGACCAACTGTAATGATATGAGCTTCGAACTATGTTGCTATAACGACCAGCGCAGTCAAGTTGCGTACCTCAATCGTCGGAAGAAGGTCGTAGATGCTGCCGCTTTATATGGCTCTGATATCTCCTTTTCCACCGCCCAATCAGCAACTCGCCATATTTTGGTTGTTTTGTCGTCACCCTTTTACCATACGAGTCAGAACAAGGCACCGAAATGGTTTTGCTCGAAGCACGTCATACCTGGGTGGCAAGATATTTACCGACTGGGTCCCAAGTTATCCCTTTAACAAACGCTGTATGTGCTTGTAGCTTCATTATTTTCTCTAATAGACCACGGCACCAATGAATACCTCCGCCACTGATGAACGTCAAACCAATAAGTCATACCAAAGCTTTGTCCGTCCCATATATACACCGTAGTCTCAAAACCACATGACGCAAGATACTTGTTATCAGGGGACCATGCCAGATCCGCAACATCTGTAGTGTATGGCGCTATCAGCTCAACATTTACAAGGATGAGATCTTGCCAACCAACAATCTCATACCTGACTCATGACCAACTAGAACCTTCACTGCTCGCCATGACTCAACTGCCCGCGTCGAGTCAGGCTCCCCAAAGGTGCTGTTTCGAAAAATCGAGGTTCTGGGTTACAGCAGTTTAGCTAGGTAGCTCTTTTAGTTAATCGGATCAGAATCACGCACTTGTCTTGAACCCATATTACGATCTTGCAATCATCTGCTCCTGAAGCTAGGTATTGCCCATGCTCATTGGCCCAACGGACACAGAGGATGGTGCCTTCAATTCGAGAAAGGTGAGCTTGACACCAAAAACCGCACAAAATATCACTCTACGCTTACCGCTATGCGCAGATAATGTGGCCAATAGCTTTGGGGTATCACGGTCATTCTCGAGCGTCTCATCGTAAACCGCCGCCAGATTCCAGAGTTTGACTTTTGAATCTTGAGTTTGTAATTGCATTAAATTAGTAGGGTTCAACACAGTACGTCAATTTGCGACACTATTACCTTGTCCTCCGGTTGCCAGTTTTTGCCCCTGCGGGTGAACCGCCAAAGAATATATCGGCGTCTTGTGCCTCTTATCGTTCGTATGCGATATCCATGGCACTGAAAGCACCAGCATCGTGGCGATCGTTTAAATTCCGATCGCAGGCCGAGACTTGGGAAAGGTTGAATGCTTGTTGAATGAGTCAACGACCAAATATGGTTAAATGAGCCCATCACGTGTGGTGTGCATGGAGGAGCTCGTTCGACATCTTGCTCCAGGGCTTTACGATTACACAATTGTCTACTAGATCATGATGGCCGCAGCACAGCTGGAAAAGGAGATGGCAGCCTTTCAAAATCTTCAGAAAGGTACAGCTTCTCTGGGAGAACCCATCTGTTTTCGGGGTCACGTCTTTTGAAGGACACGGAGATCCCGGACGCAGATCTATTAACGGCACCGTGTACCGTAGATTTCGCAAAGATAGTCCAATCACGAACACAATTGGAATCGCAGCTAAAGGAGAACGAAATGGTGGCTAAGGTACGTGGATTCTAAAAATAGGACATTTGGTGAAGATAACGGAGAGAAAAGTGCGTTGTTGGCCACCGGAAGGCAACCTGAACCCGGCTGTTAAGAGCCACAGAGTCATACTCGCACTTTGTATATCTACTATGCATACGCCTTTGGGATGCATGGTCAGCTTCACCCTACGCGAGACTGGAGGCTAACAATTTTCCACCCTAATGTAGGAATTTGACCTGATGAAGGACGACGCAACGGTGTACAAGCTCATTGGGCCAGTGTTAGTTAAGCAAGAGAAAGTCGAAGCAACGTCGAATGTCAAGAAACGAATCGAATTCATCACCAGTGAAATGTATGATCTAATCGGATTATTATGAAGCAGGAGATGCATATAAGTAACTTGGGTCTACAGAAAACGCCTAGAGACGCAGATCAAGGATCTAGAACAAAAGCAAGATGCAAAGAGGGCTGAGGTATGCCTGCATTCCTTCATCTAACATATAGACTGGCCTGATTTTAATGTTTCTGATGGGAATTCCATAGGTGATGCAGTTGCAGCAAGCTTATCAACAACAATTGCAAGCAAATGCGTAGTTCTATTTCACCAGATACATCAGGTGTCCTTGCGATGTTTGTACAGTAATATAATAATTTCTACGAACACTTTATACATCAACGCCGGGTTTTTCACTACGGGTTTGAAGGGCTCGCCGGGGCGGGACTTGGGCTTACTGCTCGATTTGGTGTGTTTGTTCCACCGGACGCCCCTGCAGTGGGCGAAGTGACTGTTTCAGCCAGTCGCATATCCAACGCTCGCAATGCAAGCGCTCTTGATGAGAGCATGAACGACGGATGAGTGAGGGACACATTATACTGAAGTAATGAAACTTACCTCCTGCGCTCTGCATCAGCCGCTTCCGTTCCTGGCAAGGGTGCTACCTTCGACCCACCTTCTCCATCAAACACTGTTGTGGGTAGTTGAGGCCCAATTGGTGAACACAATTTCAATGATACAAAGAGCTTGAATATGGTATTTGAAAGAGGCTTGATAAAAGGCCTAGAGGCAAGGGAATGTGGTTAAGGAACATAAGTATCCATTAATCCTTACCACTGAAACCTTCCCCTCTTACTTACTGCATGAAATCCGGCCAAAAGCTGGCAAATGAAAACGTCTCACTGCGATCTCCTCTCATTCCTTCGTGTCTTTTATAGAATCGGGAGTATGTCCAAGACACGAGAGTCCCAAAGAGCACCACGAAAAAGTGGACGTGAATGATACGGACAACGAAGAGGACAAAGTTGACAAGTACGTAGATCGACGGAAGGTACTAGCAGAATATCAAACGAAAAGCGTGAACCGCGGAAGAGGACGCAATGCTGGGAAATCATAAAACTCGCTACCTTGGCCCGGATGGATATGGCATTAAACAGTTTGATGGAATGCTCCGGCACTGCCTACCAATGTAGAGCAGATTTTCATGAGGCCATGGCCGTCCACCATGACAACGCTCGCTCTGGTAATTACCTGCTTGAAAGATACAATAAAGCCAGCCAGTAAAGCGGCGAGTCCGCTCGCTTGCGACTCAAACCTAGAGTGTGATACCCAATCATCAAACTGGTGAAAGGCTGAGATCCCACCAACTCCAGTAGCACTCACAGCCAACTTGAATTCATGGTCACAGCGTACTCTACGACCGTTGCAAAGAATACCCCCGCGTATGCCCCAGTGTTGACAATGAGCACATACTTAAGAAACTCCCTATAATGGGCATATATCACTTAGCGACCTATTCGATAATCATCAAAGCAGCGCTGTCGGTGCACACCTCGATCCCCAGGCATGCTCAAAATATTTTCCGCCAAGCAAAAGGCCGGCGCCGTTTATCAATAACTATAGTGGACAGGCGACACGCTCACATTAGTGGAGTTCCTACTGGAAATAAAATCCTTGGGCATAAATCTGTCCAATCCTTACAGCAATAATGTTCCCCTCCCAAAAACCAGCTGTCAAAAACGTCCAAACCCAAAAGACAGACGAGCCGGGTATCAGTGCCAGGTACTCTGGAGGGAGCAGAAGGCCGACCAGGAACAGAAAGACAGAGGCCAGGAGCAAATACCGCGTCGCTGGCGGAATTGAGCGCGGATTAAAGTTCTAAACAAACCAATGATGCGTCAGAAAAGTCCGATCGTATATCGCGTGTGCGCTAGAGTGACAAACGTCTTACCATCATGCTGCTTCAAACAGCAAACGAAATCTGCCAACACGCAAAGAGTCGTTGAGTTGAACGGCGGCCTTTGCGCGAGTCGCCCTGCTGTGTGAGTCACCATAACACGTGATTTGGGCTTGGAAGTTCAAAAAGCAGCGAGATCCTTGTAAGGTTTTAGTTTTAAGGGTCGATAAACACGGGCAAAAGATCATCGATTTGCTCAGAATCGTTGGGTGCACTCTAGGTTTCGCCCTACTTTGCTTCTCTGCGGGATAAGGCCATGAAGTCCTACATTCAGATCCTCGGGACGCAGACGGGCGACACGACGCCGTCGGTCCTAGTGTTCTTTGACAGCCAACGATATCTCTTCAACGCTGGCGAAGGCACTCAGCGCTTCTGTATTGAGAATAAGGTTCGACTCGGGAAGCTGACCAATGTCTTTCTGACAAGAATCAACTGGGACACATGCGGTGGCATTCCAGGTAATGCATCTTCCAAACGTTCTCGAGCATGGATAGAGGCGTGGCCTTGTCTCTGTGCATTCTCGGCACATTCGAGGCCGAACATTACCTCAGAACTGCAACTGTCCTCTTGTGGGACTCGCGTTCTTCATAGCTTAGTGAGCCAAGCAGTTCTCTCGGCACATATCAAGGCTGGTGAACGTGCATGGTGAAAGCAACGTCTTCGCAGTTGTCTGCTTCGATTGCAGGCCTCTGTAATGATCTTTTATTGGCCATTGGCGCTGTCTGCGAGTGCTTGCTCGTACACAACTGCAACATCCAACTCTTATATTGGTGCCATGCCTCTAACAACTGCCAGGGCATATATGATGTGTAATCTATTCTTGCCATTCGTCTCACTGTTTGATGTTTTAATTCTTATCAGGAATGCTACTTAGTCTTGCGGATGCTGGAAATCGGCACATCACCGTGCATGGAGGCAAAAACCTGACGCACTTTATGGCATCGACGAGACATTTTGTTTTCAAGTATGTGGCCGAACCATGTGCACTGGGATGCAATTACAGTCTATATACATTATGAACACTTTGTGTTACGTTCTAGGATGTCGTCAATGGTGCAAACTCACGAATTCAAGGATAACGCTCGACCTTTTCAAGACGAGAATCTCTCAGTGCTGCCAGTTCCTATACATCCAATTGACCCGTCTCTAGCTAGTAATGACACAACGACTACGGCTGTCAAAAAAGTAGCGATTGACAGCGGAAACGGGAAGATGCTACCAGTTGCAATTTCCATACCGAAAAACGCGCCGCGAGCAAGTTTCAACAGGCCGTCTTCTTCACGCAACGGACAGCAGACCCCCAGCAGTAATAGGTCAGCTGCCACTGTCCATGCTGGCCAGAAACGCAAGGCGGATGACGAGGACCCTGATTCAACCTCAGTTCAAGATGAATCAATGGCATACAAGCGCGAAATCATACGACAAATGTTCAATAGCGGTGAATCCTTGTCTATCAAGGTCGGCAAGGGCGATGCATTCCATGAACGCAAAGATAGCAGTCGCTTCGATCGTCAAAGTGGTCAGAGTCACAATCTGGAAGTACCCAACATTGCACTCGGCAAAAGAGATCACACGAAATTAGTGAGATTGCCAATGGCGATACCTAGCAAGACCGTTACTTGCTTCATATGCCAAGGGCCACCGGTCAGAGGCAAATTTGATCCTGACAAGGCGACCGCCTTGGGCGTTCCGCCAAAAGAATTCGGTATGTACGTGCCTAGTACGGACCATCGGGAACAGCATTAACAGATCGGATGGTGATTCAACAGGAACTCTGCATCGGGGAGACTCGTTTCTGAATGACAAAGGGGAACGGGTTGATCCTCATCAGTGCATGGGACCTGACAGACCGGGCTCGGTACGATATGTTCTGTCCTGATGGACTCACTTTTATAGCTAATATGATACCCTGTAGGTATTCTTCATTATCGACTGTCCCTCTGCAGATTATATCGGCACCTTGGTCAACAACCCCCGATTTGTCCCTCACTACGCAAGTCTGACGAACAACCCGGTGGCCGTGATAGTCCACATGTTGGGAGATGATGTTTTAGAAAATGCAGCGTATAGATCTTGGATGAACAACTTTGGGGAAACTACTCAGGTACGGGATGTTTGTCAAGCGGATAGTATGCATAATTATCTCTGACGTGATAGATAATATTCGTTTTGTAGCACATTATCATCAGTGGGAAACATTGCGCGAAGCCCATCATCTTTAGAGGGAGTGCAACCAGTCAACACCGCTTAAATTTGCTGGACCCTGATGTGTTCCGCATTCCGTTTTACGACAACGAGTCAATCAGCTTGAACCATGGTAGGCCATCGTTTGAACGATATTGTTCTCACTTCAACATGCTGAAATCATTACGCACTCTAAAAGAAGGCCTTCCCCCTCGGACCATGGCGGCGAACAACCTACTCATCTACCAAATGGAGCCCCACAGGAAGGTAGATGTCAGCGAACAAAAAACTCCGTGGGATCATAAGGATCCCAACGGCAAGGTATTGGCCACCCTCGACAAGCCGCGTCTTCTGGAATATCAAGTGGAGGCAAAGCGCCTGCGAGAGGAAATACTCGCCTCAGCTGCCGAGGCAGAAAACACCAGAAAGCCAGGAGATGATGTATTAGTGTGTACACTGGGCACTGGCGCCGCTTTGCCGTCGCGGTATAGGAACGGTTCGTCTCTCTTTGATGCTTACGCATCTCAGCTGTCGAGTCCATATTGATACAGTTTTGTGGCTACAGTGAGCTCCACTCTCGTATACACACCGAGCCATGGCTCTATTCTTTTCGACGCTGGCGAGGGGACCTATGGACAGCTTTATAGACGTTTCAAGGGGGCTGACGGGCCCTCCTTGGAAGACGTGCTGACCAATCTCAAGTTTCTGTTCATCTCGCATATGCATGCCGATCATCATCTGGGTGCTTTCAAAGTATTACTAGAGAGAAAGAAAGTGAGTCTTCCGTTGCAGTTAAACAATGGGATCACCGTTTAGATCGCTGATTCGGTGCACACGAACTAGCTCTTTGATAAAGCAGGCAAACCGGCTCCTACCATCTGTATCGTGGGACCTCCGCAGTACAGGATCTGGCTGGACGAATTTGACGATTGTGAACCTCTCGGTCTCGCGGGGGATCAAATCACATTTCTCCCCTGTCATGATCTTTTGCCGAAAGCCTCCACATCCAGTACCGTTCTTGATAGGTGAGTCAGCTCGGCATGGGTTATGAATAGATAACGATGTAATTGAATATGATCTAATGGCCGCTCCGTATGTGCAGATTGAAGGAAGATTTGGGCCTCAGTGCCATCGAAACTGTTCAAGTTCACCATTCCCACTACTCGTATGCTGTTTCACTGGCTCATCAATCTGGCTACAAGATTGTTTATTCTGGCGACTGTCGACCAAACCTGGATCTTATGACAGTCGGAGGTGATGCTGATGTGCTCATTCACGAAGCTACGTTTGAGGATGATCCTACCGGTTCCCGCGAGGCACAGGACAAACGGCACTCAACCACCCAAGAAGCGGTCATTGTTGGCGGCAGAATGAGGGCGAAGTGGATTCTCCTCACTCATTTTTCCCAAAGATACCCCAAGATGCCCTCTTTGAATTTCAGCGCTTGGCCAGCTGCAGATCAAGAACAACGCAAAAGCTCTGTAGGCGTCGCATTTGATATGATGGCAATCAAAATTGGGCAAATGAGAAGAATGGCAAAATATTTTGGTCCTCTTGAAAAGCTGTATCCTGCCGCCCAGGAGGAATCTCCGGATCTCGAAGAAGGGGAGCTGGAACGTGCGGCAGATTTATCCGGTGGTGGTGGTGGCGGTGAAGGAAAGCAAGATGGCGGCAGTCGGCGAGGCGGACGAGGTCGTGGTCGAGGTCGTGGTAGAGGTCGTGGCCGAGGCCACCGTGGAGGACATGGTGGACATAGAGGGGATTTCCATCGTAGTAGGGATCGTTAGTGTCGCATATAGTTTAGAGTAGCATAGCATCTGTCAGAAAGTTCGCAGATGTTTTAGTTATTTATATTCGCTAGAACGGTAGATAGATTCATGTAGAGGGTAATATCACATTGTTAAAAATCAAGAAGTTGATGCTCAATGAATTGTTGACAGCTCTCTTTGCGTGTGGACCGACTTATTAGACCTTATTTTCGCCTAATTTGTACAAAGATGGTATTATCTCTACCATTTGGTATACAGCGTCTACTCGCCAAACTCCCCCGCACCCACAACCAGAAAGAGAGTATCACAAACTTTGCAAGACTTTGATTTCACGCTATGCCGAAATCTCTACAGGCGCCGTCTTGTCTATTCCTAACTTTAGCGCCTGGTTCGTCTCTTCTAATAGCATCTTTTGCGAGCCGGTGTTTGCCATTGGTGGTATTGCTGGTACTGGCGGGGCATTTACTGCTGACATCAACACTCCTGCTGAATTTCCTCTGATTATTCCTGGACTTGTCCCGCTGACTGGTGCAACATCTTCTCTCCGCCCTTGAGACAATGCTCGACTTCTCAACACTTCTTTTGGACCGGGTCCTTGTAGTCCGAATCGATTTGTGTCGTCGGTTATGGCGCTAGCGGCACGGCGGAACATAAAAGGTGCTGAGGCGTTTCCTTGGCCACTTGCTGAATCCGCCTGAGATAGAGAAGCTGAGTGCGGAAATTGTTGACTTCGTGAACTATTGATGACGGACATTGAACGTGAGCCTTGAAGTCCCGCATCCATTGATATGCAACTTTCGCGTAGCTTGGCCAAATCCATACTAGCTATAGGTGATCCGCCTGTGTCTTGTGAATCGATGAATTCCGGGTGTGTATAGTCATAATACTGCAGAGTGCAAACCGGTTAGGTATTCGCATACACCATCAAAGTGTGCAGGAACAGATACACACCAAGAATTGTCGTTCTATCATCATCATCTCAGGGGATAATGCTCCAGGATCCATCTTCTTATGTCTTGACTTTGAGCCCAGAGGGTTATCGTTAAGTAGAATCTCCTCCAAGTCGTGCGTTGCGTCAAAGTTTGCTTTATTCTTTGGCGGGACGAAGGCGGGTGCAATCTCCCGTCGCAGTAGTTTATCCCATGCAATGTCTGAGAAAAACGCATGTTCTCGTAACGCTTCTCTTCCTTCCTCACCACAACCAAGCCTGTTATGTATATCAACAGTCATCAAGCCGGATATGAAGGATTTACTGACGTCTGTTATGCGAGGGTATCGAGGTTGGTGGTGATGCTGCTTTTGATTTTTGGAAGGATTCGTTAATATATCGGATGATGATGTGGATGGATTTGGGAACTTCCAGTCCCCTTTTTTGATGAGATCGCGCTTGTGTTTGCCGCGGAAAGGACGTTCGCCCAACATCAGCTCGTAGGCCATAACCCCAAAGGACCACCAGTCAACGGTAGCAAAGTATCCACCACCTAGCAAGAGCTCGGGTGCCATGTAGGGCTCTGTCCCAGCGACTGACTTTAATGGCTTTTCTTCCCGGAATTTGACAGCTATATTGAAATCCGTCAGATAAGCATGGCCATTTTCGTCTAGTAAGATGTTCTGAAGGCAAAAAAGAAGCATGACGACAGTCAGTCAGTTGTCTTTCCCACATGAACTGATCCAACAGTCGACTCGGGTGCTTACATCTGGTTTAACATCCCTATGCACTATCCGATGCCCATGCAAAAAGTCCAAGGCGCTGGCAACTTCTGCTAGGATAACTTTACAGGCTGCCTCTTTCATCGGCTTTCCCAAATGAAATCTCAAATCTCCACCCGTCATGAGATCCAATGCCATGTATAGATTCTCCGCATCTTGGAATGAATATCGAAGGTTGCAAATGAAGGGATGCTTGACTTCTTCCAGCAAGTTTCGTTCCTGTATGATGTGATGCACCGCCTTCTCCGCTATGCATTTTGATTTATTGATATATTTTAGCGCAAACTGCTGGCCGCCTTTTTTCTTTTGGATTATCGAGACCTACAAATTGGGGGGCATTTTCGCATTAGATTAAACATGGTCGTTCACAAGTTTTTTTCATCATCGTGCATCGTCCGAAAATCCTACCTTTCCAAAAGCTCCCTTCCCAATCGCTCGTTGGACGACGAAATCATCCAGCGTCACCTTTCTATATCCCTTCTCTGGTTGTACTTCGGCTTTGCGGCAGGTATTCCCCATGGAGGATAGTGTTTTTCGCGCGCGTGCGCAACGGGTGCTTACAAAGCTGAGGATGGGTTTACGTGCAAAGAGATAACTGCGCGCACTCCGTCGACAAACGCCTTTATTGATGTGCGTAAGATACGTGCGCCCGCGTACGTTTGATAGCAGAAAGTAGGAGTATGTCTAAATTGAACAGAATAACGTCGGATGCATGACCTTAAAAAAGGCGCAAACAAAGGGGGATGCCGGCTATGCTCAGACTTTATGGAAGGAAACCGGTGTATATATTGCAAATCATTGGGAAGGCAGTGTGTGTGGATGGGTGTCAAAAAGAAGCAGCTGGAAAACAGGGGGTCCCAGCTACCTGGTACGCTCTCCGAATATGTAGGCCTATTTTTAGATGCAGTTGAAGCTGATGTCCACCGGGACGATTTGTCCAAGTTGCTATTTTTGATCCGTGTTCGTCGAACAAATCATTCCTTTCGTTCCTATTGTTCCATTTATATGTATAAGCTGATCCCTTTTTGTACAAGGGTACTCTTGTATACGCAGCTCTTCGTTAACCAATACTGGAAGTTGGCAGCTATGGGTCAATCAGAAAATAGCAGCCCCCTCAGGTCGGGACATCTCCATCTGGGCCCACGCAATGCTAATAGACATGCTGAGGGGTCCTCCCCTCAGACTTTACCATTTAGCCCCAGTCACACTGAATAGTTCTGCGTACTCAAAGTAGCGACTAGAAGTGCGCAATATCAGACACGCAAACAGTAGACATCGTGATCATCTTCACACTTACGTGATTAGCCGATACTCATGTTGCGGAAGATTCATTGAAATTAAGGCGTTCTGCACTTTGGCCAGTCCATGCCGCCGCATCAATTTAAACAAATTCCGCGCGATTGGACTTGGGTACTGCATACCGTATGCTTCAGTTACTGGCGGATCTCCGATCAACCCGTAACACTGGACTCACCGTAGTTTCGACAAACGCGCGATCCAAAATAGAAACTAACTTTGCCACTGCCCGCAGTGTCTCTTGGATATTCCCTTCCTCGGCATACATTTCCAGTAATTTCAGCCACGATTTCATTGAGAACTTTTGACTCAGGCACAGTTTATACGCTTCCTTTGCATCCTCCTGCATAGTAATTGGGATAATGTTACGTTTTGCCACATACAATGTCTCCTGTTTGACTCATTGTCACCTTGTGTTCCAATCGTTCCGCCAGATCTCCATATATTTCCCATTCAGCACCAGTCTTTCGGTACAAGAGGACATTGGCATTAGCACCAGCCTGGTTCTTATATTGCGATATTTCCTGCCAATCGCCACCGCTCGTGAATACCGCCGGTTCATTAAAGTATCCAGACGCCTGTGCCATAGGCGAGTCTCACCTGTTTCAAGAGCGAGTAGAGTCGTATATCTTGGTACAATATCATGAAGTGGTTATCTAGCCACTTGTCACATAATCGCTTGTTTTTGAAGCTAAAGGAGATGCTATGGCGTGGCGGTCTGGGATTCTGTAAGTAGATTAAGTTCTCACCCTACCATGTATCCGAACACGGCGCGCATATATACCGGTGCTTGAACCTCCTCTCCTTTGCTAGCTTCATTATGTGTATCGCCTCCTGTTCGTCGCATCAACTCGTCAATGCTTAGCCCTCCCTTCTTCTCTGTCTCGCCTATTGGCCTCTCGCTGCTTTTTTCTGGCTTTGATGGTGATGAGTCATCATCCAAGCTGATAGCTTCCATTTGTGCTTCCACCATATCCTCATCGTCTTGGGTTTGCTGCTCCTTCCCTTCTTCATGTTGTGCACTTCCATTCGGTTCTCCACTCTGAGGACTTCCTTCTTCCGAAGCCGCTTTTGCTTCCACCTCGGTGGTTTTCTGCTCTTCCTCCACCAACGCACGATGTATTCGGTACTCCTCTTCCATGACGAAAACGGACGATCTGTATCGTAGCAATTCATCCCATCCAACTTTCGACGCAATGCGCACAAGCAGCGCATATGCTTTGCTAAACGTGCCGCGGAGGGACAGGAACGCAAGACGCTGCAGTTCCGGATGTACCTGTCATGGTGCGGCTATTAAGTGCCCAAACCCATTTGCAATCTTGCAGTTCCGGAAGAATACAGTACCTCATTTTCCCTTGGATCATTTTCATCATACACCGTCCCGTTGCCAACAGGTACCTTCTTGGGGTCTTCATCGGCTTTTAGAGTAGACGGATCCGGTTTTAAGGGTAGGTGGGTTCTCGCAGGTGGTGGCATACGGTGTGAATCCCGCTCGCAATACGTGAACATGGGACATGCGTTCAGAGACACAAGCGCCTAAATGTGAGGTATTGCGATCAGCACGCGACCCACAACATCTACCCGCTAAGTAAATTACCGATTCGTAGTCGGCCATGTCAATATAGATCTCCGTAAGCTTCGCCCAGGTACAAAATTCCGAAGGCGCGAAGGTGAAAGCCAATTTTGCCAACTTCAGCGCCATGTCGTACTTTTTCTGATAGAACACAAGTCATCATGTCACGAAAGGCTCCTGAAAGTCGTGCTAATAGATCATGATACGAACCTTGTTTCGCAGAAAGTCGATCTGTACAAGTAGCAACCCATGAGACATCGGCTGGCGTTTCAGCGCCTGGTATAAAACTTCCACGGCTTTGATCTCTTCGTCTTATGTTCGGCAAGATTGATTAGAAAGCAAGATATGGGTGCCAATATAACCAACACATCATAAACGGACCTGTTTCAAGGTATCCTCGCGCTAAAACTGCCCCGACCTCGGCATCCTTCTCATATAATGGTTGGAAAAACTTGGCCGCCTCCCCTGGACGTCCGGCTTCGGTGAAGTACTTCATCACTCCATTTGTCAAATGATTGCTACAAAACGTCGCGTTTTGCACTTCTGGAGCGGTGCCAAGCTGCCAACCTGCATCCAGATATGTCAGTCCTGCCCCCAACTCCGCAGTAACCAACTACTCCGAGCACACCCACCCTTCCAAAATTCTCCAGCCGCAGCTTCCAGAAAGCGCTTCTCCGCGGCCAGGGTAGGAAGCGGATCGATTTTTCTCAACCCCAGCAGCGGTTCACCATCATTGCCGTCTGGTTCATCATTGTCATCCAAAATGGTACGTAAGACTGCAGATACGTGTGTTTCCTGCCACATGGCTGGATTTTCGATCGGGTGTCTAGAAAGGGGAATGTTGCATGAGTAATTCGAACATCAGACCTACCAAAAAGCTTGTGCAGACGTGCATACCGGTCCCCGCGCATGTCTACAACGTACGCGTCTACACCTCCTGGAATTCTGACCTCCACCCGAACGTCCACTCTGGAGAAAGCATTGTAGCAGCAGTAAGTGCCAGATCTTATTTTCCAGGGAGACGCCTTGCCAGCCGTGGATCCCTAGCGGAATGAGAATCGCGTGTCAGCATTTGTGGCATAATCAGCCATAAAATGCATCCACTAACAATCGAATACGTCAGGGAATTAAGGTACGCAGCGAGTGTTGCGGAAGAGCTACATGAGACAGTAAAGGCCATCAATCAAGCGTCATGACCAGTAGTAAACGGATCGCAAAGCCATACATACCTGGCATCCGTTCCAAGCGCATAGTGATATGACCCGATCTACATGATTAAGAAGCTCCAGTATCAGTATACCTATGAATACAGCCAGAGAGAGTCAATACCCACATCCTTGACTTGAGTTTTGGGATTTGTCTTCACGATATGACAAAGATCAGGTGGACCAAGCTCGCGGAATGTCGCTGGAAAGTACGGAGGGGACCATTAAACTTCCACCAACTAACTAAAAGGCTAGAGACCCCTGCCTACATAGCGACTCTGTTCTCGCAACTAGACATTCCCCAAGCTCGTTTTCAAAGAATTCCGGAATTCCTAAGATGGCAACCATCTAGAGTCAAAATCTGTCCGTTATACCAATAACTGAACCTTGCCTACCCCGCAATACCGAAGGATCTGCAGCCACAACCATTGTGACGAGCAAGCGGTGGAAAGGCGACTTTGCGTTCTTTGACGAACGACGAACAAAAGGCGTACGAGTTCCGCACTAATTTCTTTGCAAGGATGGTGTCAAAGAGCCGACGACGACGGAACCGCGTCCGTGGCGTGGGTTGGGGCTGTAGGTCATGTGACTGTGCCATCTTAGCAAATCCAGGGCGCCCGCGCTGGCCTTTCGAACGGTTTCCTTTCCGCATTATTATCAGCGATTGACGGAATGCGCACTCTATTTTTCAGCGTTGTCGTTGCGCTCATATCACAAGCTTTGGTGTCCGCAGAGCTCCCAGACCCATGTCTCCAAAAACCCGAAATTGGGCCATGCAGAGCACGTTTCCTTCGGTATTACTTTGACCAAACGGAAGGAACATGCAAAGAGTTTACATGGGGTGGCTGCCAAGGTTCAGTACCATTTGATGTACGTAAAAGTGTAGCTTCTCATATGGTTGAACTATGAGCGCTGGAATGCTTATTGTCTCTGTAATTTAGAGCATCGAAGACTGCCGAGAAGTCTGCGGGTCTTCTCAGCCCACTGGGACCCCGAACTATACAGCACCTGACCGAACTCACATAACATGTGTAGATAATCCTTGCGGCCCCGGAGATACATGTGTGGATGAGCGGTATCCTATCGCTTGCTTTGTTGCTCCGGTGAGTTAAGAGGTTTGGTTCATTCTCCATGTGTTATTGGACTAACATGGCCCGCACATAGTGTCCTAAATATCGCTGTTACAAGAATGCAGAGTCTTCCACATAACATTGCTTAATGGTATTACAAGTCTATGGATTTACAGTGTCTGTAGTTAATTGAAGTTTTTGAAACGTGAGCGCAATACCTTGTGTATCGAAACGTCGTCTGGTTTTTTCATGACATTCATCTCGCACTGCTAATCGCTTCGGGATTCCAGAAGCAATGGTACATTTTTACTTATATGCAGATAGGTTTCAATGAACGTTTGAGACCCCACAAGATGAACTGACTCGAGATGTTGAAAAAGCCTGTTCTAATCCACCAACTCTGTTATGTGGTGATGCTTGGCCAAAGCGATAGCTTCTGGAACGAATTTCAACGAGGAGAATGGCCACCCTATGGCATGCACCTAAAAGTTGGCATCTAGGACGAACTCCTGCACTAGTTTTGCGCTATTCAGGTGAAGTCGTAGCTTCATCATGCAATTCATGTGTCACCGGGCGGCCAGTTGTTTCCATTTTCATCGAGCAGGAATATGATCCCAACGGTATGCTCATGTAATGAGCAACCGCTCAGCTCTCGAGTGATATAACTGTTGTACTCTGCGATCTCAGGACAAGTTTGTTCTGAAGTATAACCTCAAAGAATGTAACCATATTTGACAGACAATATTGGCTTTGCGACATGGATGCCGCATCTACAAATTGATGTACGATCTGCAGTCTATGCTGCAATAAGACAGAAGCTGTATAACCAGATCGAGTTGACCGGTGCACTCCCCACTTGGTAAGGATTGCGTTCAGGCGGTATCAACCGAGTAAAACAGCTGGCGTATATTGCTTACATAATACAACTTCATCACGGCTTTGTCGTCGCCGCATTGGATCCCGCCACCAACATGTCAAAGAGATGTGTGTGTCAAGCAAGCGTACTTGAAGAGGATTTCGAAGTATGAGGAAGAAGACCAGTTGTTCCCCAGCAGCAGTGAGACTAAGCCGTTACGTCCCAGGATCACCAATTAATATGCTCCAAGCGCCGTCTCTATTGCCCAATGGATATTCGAAAGCATGGCTTCACTCCAACCCCGCCCGATACTCCTCTGTCTCTGCGCGAACTAGCTGCCAAAACGGTTCAGCGACAATGGTGTGGCTTGCAAAGCAGTGTGCATGACCGTGACGATATGTTGCTCAGTTGTCTGGCAGTTCTTGGGAGAATATCCATTTGACAGAAGGTGTTACGCAATACCTGTCTTCAAATTGTTTTGCGTTCGCAAGTAAGCAAGAACTTATGAAGCACGTCGATACCGAGTGTCCGCATTACGTGGTTCATTGCGCTTATCATCCCCCGCCGCGCGAGGACAATTCTGTAATCGGCACGTCTCTATGCTTAAGGATCGGAAGATGCCCCAAACCACCACTGCGGCGCCAAATGCAAGAGCATTGCAAGGTACATTGAAGAAGGCTTGATCTTGTAGGGACAAAGATGGTCGTCGAGAGAAGATGATCTGAAAAAGTTTTATTCCAAACCTAGCCTCATGTAACCGATCCCCCAACAATGTTTGCGTTGTCGAATGCTGTAAATGCTCTGTACCCATTTGATTGTAAAACGTGCTATACCCTTTTCCCCGACTCAGACCTCCTCCGAACCCATAACTGCGCGCTGCCAAACACTGTGGTCTCACCCACAGTCATCAACCTCGCAACGTACCAGACCAACTTGAGATATGATTCTTGTGCCGGGTATCTAGTTCCATATAGTACCATATATTCGATTGTATGTCCGGGTTGCGGCGAGACTGTGGAAAATGGACCTGGAGATTTAAAAGGCCATCGTGAGTCGTGCACTGTGAATCGCAGATGGATAGGGATCGAGCGCTCTTAGTCATCCAAATTTCGCATGCCGCGAGGACGCTGCGACGCAAACATGGACATGCCAACAGCGCCTTGGTCACCTTTGCGCCACACCCGTCCCTCCGTCAGATGTCCTTGCTATACAATAACAAAAACGGGAAAGCATCGTTGTTTGATGCACACTGTCTTTTTACAATATATACTTTAGGAACACTTTGAAACTATAACACTTCATTTTTACATGAAAACATCTCACTAACGCCCGCGCGGAACGCCACACACTCTTCAATTTTCATCAGATCAGAACGTACTTGCGTAGTTTCGAGGGCTTTTCCCTGTCAACAACGGCGATGGACACCTCGTCCTGGTCCTCAACGTTCAGCTTGTCCATTTGAATAAACCTGCACGATCCCGTATTCGGAACCTTCACTTTGGCAATTTCGCTCAGATTGGACGAGTTGCGGGCCGTCAGATAGACTGGACCCTCGCTCTCAAATTCAGTTCCACATGAATACAAAGCTTCGCGGCCCGCTACCAGTTTGATATCGCCAAGTTGTGTGGTTGTATTGGCAAGGGTTTGATTGCCATTGTCATTGAATCTGAATAGCATGTTGTCCGCTCCGCTTGCGGCATTGACGGAAACGACAGGGTTGCCGTCATTGTCAACCGCCAGGGATGTCAAAACTGAATATTTTCCGGATTGAAGGAGTGTCGGAGCACTGACTTGAGCAAGTGTTCGTGTCTTGTACGACGCCAGGAATGGAGCTCCGGCATGAGAGGTATTATCGTACTTGTAGCCTGCAATGTAGAGACGGTCGCCGACAGGGTTTATGGCAGCATATGCGGCTGAAGCGTAGACAGGGCGAATGGTCCTCCGGCGAACAAGTCCACCAGTTTTGTTGATGCGCTCAATGAACAGGAAATTCCTTGTATAATTTGCCTCTTGATTCGCGTATCGACACATTGCAACGACAAAGAGGTCACCCGAATTAGGGTCGACAACACCAGTGGCCGAGACGGGTACAGGACACGAGCTGTTGGATCTTTTCAAGCTGTAAGTGATTTTACCGCTGGTATTATTGAAGCGGCGTATTGCAATCGACGAATCGTTGCCTGGCAGAGTGTAAATAGCAGGAACATTGAACTGCAAACTATGGTGAAGTACCCACCCACAGTTACGATTGAGATTTCGTACAGGTCACTACCAGGTTTGCCAACGATGTAGTTTGGATAATAGGACGTTGCATTCTCGGAATATCTGTGATGGATGACGTAGTTAGAGGATGATTTATATCCAATCGGTATGCAACCTACGTCCTATTCCACTTGGTCGTTTTGGGTGCAGCAACTGTATGTTGTCGAACGTTAACCTTGTAGATGTTCGTCGACGTATTGATATTCAACTTGTAGTCGTAGAAAAGTCCGCCTGTAAGGGATAGAATTTATAAACAAATGAATGCTGTGCATACGTGCGCAATAAATTATGCAGACTTCTCAAATCAGCCGCTGCAAAGTTTGTTCCGCCTTTCGCCAATGTCTGATTGAAATTGTTCACCAGCTTCAATGCATGAACATAACCCGAGCCACTTAAGGCAAGAAGCATATAGAGAATGCAAAGACAAGAAATCTCCTTGGCCATAGTCGCGGCTTTCTTTCAGGGAGGTGCTTTGGCAGTACAACTATCGCGATAAGACGACATGGCCGCAGACATGGATGGGGGCCCATTTTATAGTATGGCGGGTACACCATAGGATTTCAGCAATGACGTACTATGCTTACTGCCGAGGTACATTTAGAAAGTCGAAATGTTTCTATTGGGAAGGTCTGCGGGTTATCTCAGCCCAAGGGAACCCGCACGGCGTGAAGGATATCACGCGGTGCAAGGTTCCAATGGGAAGCACAGCCTAACAACAAGGGTATTTGGAAACTTCCTGCATCATATGGCGTACGTAATAATGGCAAATGTACAGGAAAGACGCACTGCCCATTGTTGTCCTGCAAGAAAGTCAAACCTGACGTTGTTACATGTGCGGAACCGGACGGGAACCGTGAGACAGGAGAATGGAGATCGTCATCACCGTCTCACTACCCTTGAGCCCAAAGCATCTGCTGACGCCGAGATTTTTCTGTCTTTTGGTTCTACACAGAAGCTCAGTTGAGCGGACAGGGAAGTCAGATATCCGCCGAAGGAAGTTTCTGGCCGCGTCGGGAAACTCATCGCGCGCGTTACGTAAGCAGCATGACGGCCGCAGCAGGAAGTCCAATTCAGAACGCCAAAGTAACGGCAGGTTTGAGCTTTGCTGATGCGTTTTCTTTCTGAGTTCTGCGTGAGGCGAGCCATTTAGCAAATGTGAAATCAGTGAAGTTGGGCACTGTCAAGCATTTTCAAAATATCTGGATATCGAATATATTGTGCAATCTCACGTCATAAAACAAAAATATACATTTGAGCACTGCCAACTAATGTTACAAATGAACTATGAAAGAACTGTCCCTAAAAAGCACCTCCATGCCCTCTTTACTGAACTTCAATCTTCTTCTTCTCCTCCTTCTGCTGCTGCTTCTTGGCAAGAGAGATCTGCAGGACACCGTTTTCAAGTGAAGCCTTGGCGTTCTCGGCCTGAGCGTCAGGAGGCAGGCGAATGCTGCGAGAGAACTTGCCGTAGGACCTTTCGACCACATGTTTGCGATCGGTCTTCTCCTCGTGTTCTTGTTTGCGCTCGCCCTCCAATGTCAAAGTGTCGTCGGTAACATGGATCTGCACATCGGATTTGGCGAGGCCGGGCACGTCAGCTTTAATAATGTATTCCTTGTCCGTTTCCGTGACATCCAGACGAGGGCCTCTGAAGAAGGCGTCTAGTCCGCGGCGTGGCGCGGTGGAAACTTGTTTGTTGTTCTGCTCGGTTGTTGCCACCTGACGGTTCCCCTCCTGGTTCTGATTCGAAGATTGGGCATCGCCGAGTGCAAGGACGGGCGGGAGACGAGAGCGAACGTAGCTATCAAATACAGATGCCACCGGGTCGCGGAAGAAAGGGTCGTTAAAGAACGGGTCGGTGTCCAAGAAAAAGTAGCTCATCGTTGCGGGATTTAGAAAGTCGATATTGTTTGGGAAAACGAAAAGCTTGCAAAGTTGCTACTGTGAACTTGAGAGTTTGCAGTGTTTCAACTGTTGATTGAAGTGAAGAGAGTCCCCAACATTCGCTGGTCTTTTATATTTGAGGCCAGCATAGACGGCACTGAGAACAGCCCGCAAGGCGTGAACTTTCTCGAAAATTACGGATGAGTCGCGACCTTTCGCGTCACTTCCCTTCTCGCTAGGCCGCGCTGTGTAAATGATGGCATGGATGGTTGGTTATGATGCAGCATGGGTGGAAAGGGCAAGCGCGCGATCGATAATGGGTTTGTTTTGCATCACCCTCAAGTGTCAATCCTCCTCATCTCAACAACCCATTTGATTTATCCCATAGAACCATCTGGCAAAACACTGTGCGTCGCCTTCGCTTCCAACCCCAATGTCCTCCTGATGGACGGAGATTGATGCCTAGTGACCCCACCCTGCTCTATGCAGATGTTCATTGGGCCTTTTGCGCTCTTGAACTGTTTGTTTTCTACTTGCTTTTGCCCTTTACTTGAGATCGCCAGAATGAAGTGTGAAGAGCCATGACACGTGATACATTGTATGTCATCAGCATCGGAGTTTTTGAGGCGATTTTGCAGTCATTTTCCGAACCTGTTGCGCCAATGGAGGCAGGCACAGTGGCCATTCCGAACCAAGAATTCCTTCCACCGCAAGTGACGATATGCATACCATCCATTCCCAGCAAAACGCAAACAACCTTGGAAGGGCCAGTTGTTTCCCACCCAGCAGTGCCAGCCCAAATATCGTTTTATGTGCCTCATTCACAGCTGGCGCATGGCAGTGGTGTCATTAATATTGCACCAGAAATCGCACCTATTTCCCTGGAATCATATGTTCCGACAAGTATAACACGAGCAAAGGAAACCCCAGAGTTTCTCGGGCCATTGCCGTCGCATATATCCGCTTTTGTAGACCCAAAACGTTCGAACCGCACATATTACGCAGACTCGGCCCTTCAAACCTGCTCCTGGATAGATCCCCGGACGTTTGCAACGCGCAAACATGACATTCTTGAGATATGCGAGTACGAACTGCCTTACGGATGGGAGGAATATCTGGATACTGAGCGGGGCATTGTATACTACATTGATCATATTGGTTGTGCAAACTATCCCCTTGGTCCCTGGACGACAGAGACCCGAGAGGCCGTGATGAGGGATCGCGAATTAAAGGAACGGAGGAGGTTGGAACACGAGGCGCTTAAGCTTGAAGAAGAAATTGAATTAGAGCGGCAGAAAAAACTACAAATGGAGGAACAAGACCGACGGCGGCTGGAAGAAGAGATGTTGGCAAGACAAGCGCAACTGTTATCCGCATCAGCAACCGATAGCCTTCTTGCAGAACTGACGGCACTCAACGAGAAAGTGGCTCTTGGGCGCTGTGAAATGGCTCTCACCAGTTCGGACAGTACTCGATTACAGGAAGAGCTGTCCTTCTTTGAGGTGCGCTTGGGGAGGCTACAGGAGATCAATGCCCAGCTTGAAGGACAAGAGCAAAGGCTGGTGGAGACTGCTCAAGCCACAAATATGGAGTTGAGTGAAGTGAGGAATATGATTGACATTGAGGCAGCACAGAGGGCGGCACTTGAAGATTATGTTGACCAGCTGCGTGTGGAGGCAGAGGAGGCAACTGTCTCCGGAGAGGAAACGGTTGCAAATGACAGTGAGCTTAAAGTGGATTGCGCTGAAGCAGACCAACAACATCTGGCTCAATTAAAAGGCCGCCTGTCAACATTAGCTTTGGAACTTGACAGAGACGTACAGGCATATGCATCAGCAGAGAATACGGAGAATGGTGCTTTAATACAATCAGAATCCGCCCGGGCTATCACTGGTGGCAATTTCCAAATAGAAATTGAACCTTGAATGCCTACAAACTTACTAGCCGTCACTATAGTTCATGTAGACTAGCTCCAACAATAAGCTTGGCGGAAACCCCAAGCGGGAAGAGCCCAGCCAAGCCTCCACAGCCACGTCGCTTATGAACAGCGATTCCAACGCCCATCCGCCCAAATGACATCCAACACTCGGCAACATGTCCCGCGTTCTCTGTTTCGGTTCTGTGAACGTCGACGATGTATTTATGGTTCCCCATATTGTGTTGACAGGTGCGAATCAGTTCATGAGCCGAGACCCACGTCCATGTGCTTTATTTTTGACAAGGTCATTGAATCTGACTGTCAATACACCGCACGGTTGGCAGGAGAAACCATTTCCTCTTCCGAATACAAAGTACACCCTGGAGGGAAAGGTGCTAATCAAAGTGTAGCGCTCGCAAAGGTTGGCTGTCAAGTTTAAAATACGCGGAGCTCAGGCGAAAAGTGTATACACATTATCACACATTCTAATGGTTAGGCAGGCGTAGATGTCCATCATGCGGGCCGGATTGGAAAGGACGGCGTGTGGGTCTCAGACCTGATGCGATCACATGGTGTCAAGACAGATCTGCTGACCGTCGATGACAAAAAGGTGAAAAAGTGAACCTTGTGCGGTGTGCCGAAAAGCAAGGATTGATTCAAATCTCCCTGCTTTCAGCCGAGTGGTCGGGCCATTATTCAAGTCAGCACTGCAGACAACGATAATGCTATCGTGCTCCTGCCAGGAACAAACCATGCCATCTCGTTGGATGATGCAGATCGTGCGATAGCATCCTTTGACCGTGGGGACTGGGTCGTTCTGCAGAATGAGATCAATCTGGACGCAGCGAATCGAGTCGTCGAAAAAGCTGCCGAGAAAGGTAGGATCGACAAAGAAATGATTGTAATCTTTTTTCACACCATCATAATGGAGCTGAATTTCACAGGCATGATTGTTGTCTGCAATCCAGCACCGTGTCCATCAGACTTTGTGCAGCGGTTCAAGTTGAACCATGTGGACGTGCTCGTTCTGAATGCATCAGAGGCCAGCTCCCTGGCAGCACAGTTTGATGTTTCGCACATGGAGAAGAGCCAAGATACAACCGAGCTGGAAACAGCGAGACACGCAGTGAAACTCCTTTTGCAACGTTTGGAAAAATTAAAAATTGCTATCGTTACTCTCGGTGGGGACGGGGCTGTCGCTTGTGTCCGGGGTACCAAAGGACAAGTACAAACCTACCATTCACCTGCCCTCCCTGGTGTGCACTTGGTGGACACCACGGGGGCGGGAGACACGTTTGTTGGGTATTTCGTTGCATCGCTAGTGAGATCCCTCTCGGATGACATAACACGAACAGCATCAGAGCTTTTGTTGGATGCCGATGTTATCCGGCTTGCGTTGAAGATGGGGACTGCGGCAGGAGGCATGGCTTGCGAGCGGGAAGGCGCTATGCCAAGCATACCGCTTTGGGAAGATGTGTCAAAGAGGTTAGCCCATACGAAGTAGATGGATATCCGGCGACTAAGCACATGGTTGGCTTCGAGAGTCCGAGTAGCGTGCGGATTACTCGTCATATCTGTAGTTTTACCTAAGAGGCTCTTAGGCAGCACAATGTAATGTAATCACATATCTGTGTGGTGCAGTCAGGCCTGGAAGCCCTAATGGTGGTCCAGGCTAAGGATGGGCTCGCAAGGGGATAACAAGAGCTTTCAGTCTTGGGAACATGGATGATTGCTGGAGCTATTACCATTCCAGTATATGTGCATGGGCCAGATTTTCGCGCCAAATCTTTACGCTACTTTGATTGGCCTCTTCGTGGGCAATAAGAACAAGATCTGTATCTACACTATCTATAAAGGTGTCAACGCAGTTGCATATCCCATGGCTCTTAGAATCCCCAAAACCACCTCATCTATCGGTTCACCAACCGGTCGCATAGCGTCTAATCCCGTCGAGGGTGTGCCAAAGGGTCTCATCAAATATGACCCCGTGCCAGAGTATGCTCCTGAATCCACATGGCTGAACGTGCTACCATCTGAGAATTCGGATGGGGTATGCAAGACGGCGTACCGTAGCACAACATTATCGACGTATGAGCGCACAGGGTAGTATATGGCAATTGCGCCAGGGGTCGTCGCAATTGTGTCAAACAGTCTTACTGGAAGCTTATATGCATCTGACGCCTTGAACGCCTGCGTCCATATTGCGTCGTCCGGAAGTGTTTGTGCAATCTGATATGCGGCTGCAATTATCTGAGCTTCATACTCTTTCATCCACACACCATTGGCCGTATCTGCCATCCACTTATTAAATAGATACGGTTTCGTCAGCCCCAGCACTGTTCCATTGGCTGCTGTATCCAAAGATGAGGGTAGAATACTGTCACCGTCAATCCAGGTATACCACGATGAAATGAACCCGAGACCGTGTATGAGTTCGTGCAGAACGATTTGCTCGAAATCGAATACTTTGCCTTTTAGTTTAACAGGAAGGTACTGTTGAATGTTTCCCCATTGCTTCGTCCAAGCCTGATCTGCATTCCATTCGTTATCATTCGGGGACCCTATAGGGTGTTCTATGGTCGGAAACCACCACAACGGATCCGAATTAAATGAGGCAGAGATGTCTGGTGTTTGCCCATCAAACTCATCAGGAGCGTACTGCTTTGCCAATGCAGATGGGTACAGATAGTCTGGGTCTACACCCAGCGCCTGTGCCGCAGATGGATCCCATCCATGCCATGCTGATGGCCCAGCGGATCCCAAAACATCCATTTTGGCGCGGCAGGAGGCGATAGTAGAGTCGGACGGACAGAGCGAGGCAAAGCGAGCTTGAAGTCGAATAGGTATTTGAAAATAAATCACCCTTTGTAATCTTTCAATGGCACGTAGAAAGGTGGCATGGGCTTTTGTACACGTATTGTCACTTTCTCGCGGCAACCCAACCTTTTCGTTGTCCCAAGTGGATACTTGACCAGGAAGGTTACATTGAAAGTCCAAAATGATGCTCTTATTTGATGGTGGAGTTGGGGAGTGTTGACGCTTGTGAGGTCGGGCACTTGTACGGTGGTAGCGAGGGGTGTGGGTGTGGAGGGACGACGGGTCAAGCTCGTAACGAGTGTTGAAGGGTGTTGCTGATGTTGATAATAGGCTTGTTAGGGTGAGTAATAGCAAGCAGAGAGTCAAGACATGGGAATTGGAGGGCGTCATGATGGTGTTCAGCCAAAGAAAAGAGTCCACGCCGAGGATTACCAAAACAGTTGATTTCCAGAGCGGGATTTGGGGGCGCGTCGTGCTTACCACATGCTATGAACGCTGCCAGTCAACCATGGCATTTTTCAAAACTAGGAACGTTAAGGCGGTTGAGGAAGCGCCCAAAGTAGATGCATGAGAGCTTCGCATTGAGATTATACATTCTTGAATATTGCATTAAGATTATGGGTATATTTGCATACATGTAAAAAAATAACCCCCCGATAAAGGCAACACTTGAAATTACTCTTCTGCCCAGGCATCTGGTGTGCCAATGTCATCACCAGGGATATGTGTAACTGGCGATTGGCTCTTGTTCCATTGTGCCTGGCAAACAAAACTAGGAACAGCCTCTCTCATTGTACGTCCTTCTTCCTTGGACGTCTTACTGGTACATGTCGCTCGCTCGTTCATCATATACACCAGAAAGTTGAAGGCTCCACCCGAATTCCCTAGCAGGACACCTGTCCGAGTAGATGAAATTGTTGAATTATTTGATCCCCAAATACTGAGAAAGGTAGGCTCGTTGGACTAACCAATGAAATATGAAACCTTGTTTGCCAGCTTTCCATCGTCGTTGAACAGCATCATATTTGTCATGAAAATGACTGGAACGTATTGCAACAAGCTCACAATAATAAAATTCAACTAAAAAGTGACAATATATTAGATTCGAAGACGTTCCTAGAGTGTTTGATGGTCGTCTTACCATACGAAGATCTGCTGTATGCGTCGACATGCGTAGCGATGCATCATCTTTTACGTACGAGTTTAGCTCGTCGAGCAAATTCCGTATGTGTTTGCGCGTAGAGTAGCCTGCAAGTGCACTAACGGATGCAACAGCTGGGACAACAATGTTCCCTACTCAGTTACCTCGTGAGTTTAACTGACAAATATATCCATACTCTCAGGGAACATACCAAAGAATATCCAAATCCCTATTCCCCCCGGCGATGTTGTCTTAAAGATGATGTAATAAGGGCCCACTCCGAAACCATCAATCGCCAACCCAATCGATATCATGAGAGTCAAGAACGTCAGTACCAGCGCCTGGAGCTTCCATTCGTACGCCCCGAGATCCAGATGAATGTGCTTTACGGTTCGTAACCAACACTGCGCCGCAAGGCTTGCATTGACTAACATTGAGTAACCCCATCCGAGAGCAACGAGGACGCCCAGTAGTCTACAATAGGTCGGTGATGGGTAGTGCTTGGTGACGACCACTTGCAGATGGTCTGCTATGTGGGTGGCTACGGAGGTTTCAGACGTCAAGAGGTCATTTTTTGAAACCATTTGGACCATTAATAACACTATGCAAACATACCTGCAAACATAAGGTCCGCAAAGGCCAAGTATAGAGGAAACCGTTCATACAACGTTGCAAAGCTTCGTAGATACAAACTCCTTCCAATGACAAATGTACAGCCGATCAAAGACAAGGATATTGCGAGTATGGCAGCAGAGTGTATAGCGTAGAAGGCAATGATGTCATTGGCAACAACCGCAGAGCCCTTGGGCATCGGCTGGCCTGGGTAGGGTTCAAACGATATGGCGATAGATTCGGTCATCAATGGGTGGCCCCGCGACCCCAAAGGCCGGGTTGGTGAAGCTCTATACTAAATGAAAACGTCTACGCAAAATCACCAAGTAATTTATAACACAAGTACGCATAGGAAAAGCGAATTCGCCGAGAAAATTACATATGATTTCTGTTGGGAGAAGCTGCTAGTAAATGGGGGAAAGCCGCGTGAATGGCGTTTCTGAAGGTACACTCGGAGACCCTCATATTTGGCCCTCCATGATACCGTAGCACAGCTCTTATACGGAGCTTAAATGGAACAGTGAGAATCCCGAAATGAGGCGGATCACCAAACATTACCAGACGGCTGTTGTCCAAGGTTCTTTTAATTTGTGGTAAACTATTGTATTGTGAGGGACGCTCCACGCTAGGCGTTACATTAAATATTCTAGAACATGGCATATGCCATATAACAACAATGACGTAGATTCAGATGCACGACAAAGACGCAAAACGTAAACCCCAAAGGTTGATCATAGGACGGACCGCCCAACTACCACGGTATGGCCACGGATGCTCCGACATTACCTAAGCGCGCCAAGCCCCCATGACCAGGGACAACCAAGGAATACGAATATCACATCTCATAATGTCAATCGCAATGAAAGAACAGGTCTGGCAAAAAAAAAAAGTGACGCTGCAATATTAATGATACTAGAGAGTGTGGTACATGCAAAAGAAAGGATTTTCTATATCATTACTATCCTAAACTCTACTGCTGTTGCTCGGCAAAGTGTTGGGCCTCAAGCCACCTCTCACAATCCAAAGCGGCCATACATCCAGAGCCAGCAGCAGTGATAGCTTGACGGTAGGTCTTATCCTGCACATCACCCGCAGCAAAGACACCCTCAATGTTCGTATATGTCGATGGCACACCTTGGTTGGGGCGGACCTTGATGTAACCCACATCATCCAATTCAAGCTGTCCTTTGAAAATGGCAGTGTTGGGGGTGTGACCAATGGCATAGAACAGACCATTGACATCCAGTGTCGTTTGTTCCTTTGTCTGGGTGTCCTCAATGACGAGTTGTTTCAACAGGCGGTCGCCCTTGGCTTCGATGGGGATCTTGTTCCAGAGGACCTCAACCTTGGGGTGGGCCAACAAACGATCAGCCATCACCTTTGAGGCACGCAGCTTGTCACGACGAACAAGGACGTAAACTTTTGATGCGTATTTTGTCAAGAAAGTGGCTTCCTCTGATGCAGAGTCGCCTCCACCAACAACAACAAGAGCTAAAAATTAAAGAAAACAGGAGATGAGTTATTGATCGAGTAAGATCAAGTACAGCAAGCATGTCGCCGTAACACTTACGCTTGTTACGGAAAATTGGGACAGCTCCATCGCAGACAGCGCAAGCTGAGATCCCGGCTTGCCAAAAGACATCTTCTCCGGCAATGTGCAACTGTCAATTCACAGCTTTAGTCCAATGAAAATCACAAAATAGACACAGAATAGCGACAACATACTCTCTTGGCTGTTGCACCCGTCGCAATAACCACTGAGTCAGCGAGAATGGCATCCTTTTCCTCGGTATCACTGCCTTCTCTCCACAATTTGAATGGCCGCGCGGAGAAATCAACCTTGGATATAGTTTCTGTGAAAATCTTGGTACCAAACTTTTCTGACTGCTTCCTCATAGCGTCCATGAGCTCAGGGCCAGATAAACCAGCTGGAAAGCCAGGAAAGTTTTCAATTTCTGTCGTGGTGGTAAGTTGACCACCTGCAGCAACACCCGCGGCCAAAAAGCCTTCAAACATGACTGGCTCGAGATTGGCGCGTGCCAAGTAAATGGCAGCAGTGTGTCCTGCAGGGCCAGACCCGATAATGACGACCTTGTAGTGCGTTTGTGGAGTTCCGTTGATGGGTGCCATGGTGTGTGATGAGTTACAAGCTACTTTCAATAAGAAAAATAAAAGGGTATCGAAGCAACAATGCACTAGTGAGTTATAAAAGCGGGAGGAAGAGAAATGGCAAAGAACTTATTTATCAGCTCCTTTTACCTGAAGATAATTCCAGAAAACACCCTCAAAAAGTAAATGACAAATGGCCAAAAGACAAACTTCTGTGGCAAGTCGTTTTGTCCGCCTGGCCGGAGGTTCTCCATGCTGCATTCCAACCGATCACATTTCAGTGATTCATGCCATTGTATCCAATGCTGTATATAATTCTATTTTCATTGGAGCCAAACTATCCTGATTTTGTGGATTCACCGGAGCTCTTTGGATTTTTTGTGACGACGGGACTGACGAGCTGCCGGGGACCCGCAAGCATCCCGCTCCACCGACGAGCATTCGCGGGATGAATGTCGGACAGAAAGGTACAAAGAATAGGACAAAAAGCGGGTTTGGGAAAGGCAGCGGCGAGATCTTTGGCCACCCGTTGAAGTCCACTGGTTGCCTTTGAGCCTATTTCCGTTTGATGGTTGTATTTATGATCGATATAGTGCCATGTTCTATTCTACGATTTGTTGATGATCTGGGTAATTTCCTCAAACTCTCCGCTTTCGAGGCACTGTCAACATGTATAAAGGATTAGCAAGGGCTGCCCATGCCATTGTCTGAGACGCTTGAGCATTTTGTATACCATTCGTCGGAACCAGCCATTTTCACGCTCTACAAGCTCTGCAGGAGTCCCAGATTCGACCAATTCACCCTTGTCCAGTACTAAAATATGGTCGTAATCCGCCACGGTTCTAGGTAGTGAATCCATCAGGTTGTATGATCTCAAGGACACAAAAGAGTCTTGTCAAACAAACCTCAATCGATGCGCAATGCACAAGATGGTGCTTCCAGCAAATTCAGCTCGAATCGTTTCTTGGACACGGGAGTCCGTCTCGTAATCTACAGACGCCGTCGCCTCATCCAAAACCACAACCTTGCTCGACCGCAATAATGCTCTGGCCAGACACAGCAATTGTCTCTGTCCTTGTGAAAAGTTTGACCCATTCTCAAGCACTGGTGCGTCCAGGCTGAACCCAGTGTGTTCTGATGAGCTGGAATTCTCCTCTGTGGGAGTTGCCTCGCCAAGAGCGGCCGCGCTGTCCGTTCGGACAACAGTTGAGACTAGGCTGTTTTCAGTGTTCATTTCCTTGGACTGAAGAGACTCCAGCAATCGTACTCTGCGCAGAGCGCTCCACATGCTTGCATCGTCATGTTCTGAGACCGGATCCAGATTTGAACGGACCTAATGAAACAAGTCAGTGATCAGCTCCATAAGAAAGCATTAGCTTGTCCCATACCGTTCCACTGAATAATACAGGTTCTTGAGGAATGATGGTTAGCCTGGACCGCAGATCGTGCAGGTTGACATTCGTGATATCAACACCGTCAATATCGATGGTGCCTTTGGCGTACTTTATGATGCGGAAGAGCGCAAGGAATAGGGTCGATTTTCCGGCACCAGTACGACCTGCGGAGGATCCAATTAATGAATATCTGATTCTGGAAAGTCTTAGCAGTTTTTTGAACATACCAATGACCCCAATCTTTTGTCCAGGATGAATTGTGAAGGATAGGTCTTTCAATACAAGAGGCTGATCGTCCGCATATCGCAATGAGATGCCCTTGATATCGACTTTTCCATGAGACGGCCACTTTATCATACTCATTAGTGAATCTTAGCTACACATTCCAATTCAGAGCAGTCACTCACCTCTTGGGGAGGATGAACTCCACCGTTATCCAAACATCCTTCTTGCTCAATAGTTAAATACTCTTCTACCCGCTCCACAGCATTCATAGTCATTTCCATCATGTTATGTACACGGACAACCGACAACATCGTATCAGTCAAGATCAACGAATATGTCAAACTCAAGGCAGCAAGACCGGGACCAAGGACATCACTCGTGAACAGGATCGTCAAGGCAGTCAGGAGGACCAAACAAGCACCAATGGAGTTGGTCCGGAAACTCAGCCATCGGTTCGCAGCCCAGAGGTAGTAGTATGGTCGGTGATTTGCATCGATGCGGTTTAGATTATCGCTTAGGAAACGGGGTTCTTGACCGTATGCGCGGATAGTCGGTGCACCACTGCCAATAAAGTGGAATTATTAAGTGAAAAACTTTAAAGGAGAGTTCAAGTCGCAAGAACTTACACTAGGGCTTCAGAAAAGTGAGAATAAATCGGGCTGCGAGTCACAGAGTCTAACCGCTTCAATTCCCGCGATGCAGTAAGGTACCGTCCAGATATTGAAACATACGCAATGGCTAAGGAAAGACGAATCAACATCACAGAATTGCAGATGGACAATATGTCATCACGTACCAATTACCGGTACAGCAAGCAAAATCATTGGCGAAATAACGGTAATGACAGCCAGAACAACCAAAAAGTCTGATGAATCCATGAGAAAATCCCCAACGAGACCCATGTCTTTATCAATGGCAGAGATATCTTTGGAAAATCGGTTCAGAATGCGACCCAGCGGTGTGACCTCAAAGAACCGCATAGGAGCATTAAGCACTCGTCGAAGCATGGAGTCATGGTAGGACTTTGAGGCGCGGTAGTGTCCTAGCGTATTGACGATGTAATTGAGCTGATTTACCAGCACGAATCCTATGGCGATGAGGGCGTACACGACGATGTAGTAGTTGACGTCCACCCCAGAGGAAAGAGCGACCTTGTCGTCCAATGTTGTGATGTTGGTTGAAGGAGTTGGTGAAAAGTCCCATACCACTCCCGCACCGATCCGGACGGTGTAGGCCCAGAACATGTTAAAAGCTTCGGCAGGCTTTGACCCACGTTCAAAGGATGTAGAGTGAAATCCAGATTCAGCTTCACCATAAGCTTCTGCCCACTTTTGTAACCAAAGATCGAGTGCGACTTGGCAAAGCCGTTCTACGATCATTACGGCGAGAATCACAGCTACGTACAAATAGCCTCCAACGGCAACACCGTACGATTTGTAGACTGCGAATCGAACAGCTCCAGATTCTTTTTGCTCGTCTTGTACCAGTTTCTTGACTTGGTGTGCGGATCGACCGTCTGCGTGATCTTCAACAGAGAGCTCTGCGTCGGTCACATTGCTGGTTTCAGTGGACGTTGAAGAGGTTTCTGTACTGCTAAGCATATCCTCGGTTAAGATGCCCCCAGTTTGTGGATGAGTAGCAACATCCGCTGGGGAACCTTGGGCTACTACTTTGCCTTCTTTCAAAATTACGACAAAGTCTGTCCGAGGTACTGTTAGACCAACAGCATGCGTGACAAGGATTCTGGTCCGTCCAGCCATGACACCTAAGACAAAATGCTGAGTTTCTGGCGTTTTTGTGTTGAATGATAGGCACACCTACCCAACAAACATTGCTCAAACAAATGCTTGGCAGTAGGGGCATCAACAGCACTCAACGGATCATCCAGTAGAATAAATGAGGCTTTCGAATAAGCGGCACGAGCAAGCGAGATGCGTTGTTTTTGTCCACCACTCAGATTGATGCCCTTTTCTCCGATTTCCGTCAAGTCTCCCCCAGCAAGGGTCTCAAAGTCCTTGACAAGGGCACAAGCTCGCACGACCTTGTTGTAACGGATGGGGTCGTAGGGATCTCCGAAGCAAATCTAAAGTGGAAATTACTACGCCGAGCTGTGGTGGCAGCGAGAAACAAGCAGTGCACACATACGTTGTCACGGATAGATGCATTTTGAAGCCACGCTGTTTGGGACACGTATGCGACTCCAGGATGGAAACCAGTTGTTGGGTCGATGGGGCCAGTATTACGAGAGTCGGGCAGGTATCCGTGTCCTTGGAGGGTGGTCATTTCTGGAGAAGGTAAAACACCTTAGTGATGGTACCGATCGTAATATGGTCGTGAGCAGCTTCCTACCTCCAAGCAACGCTTGCAACAGACTACTTTTTCCGGCTCCCGTTGCCCCACAGATGACGCTAAAGGCCCCAATAGCGAAAGTCACATCCAGTCTTCGCAGTGTGAAGGAATGCCCCTGTAGTATATCGAGATCCCCGCTTCCGTCATGGTTCTCCGATGAGGCTGCCCATGTGAATGAAGCATCGCGGAATCCAACCACCGGGCCGTCCTTGTTATCTGACAAGACCTCTTCGTCGCTCTGCTTGTCTTGCTTGAATTTGTCCAACTCATCTTGTTTTAAAAACGCCTCAATTCTCCTCAACGACACCAAAGTATCGAGCAAATACACAATCAGATCAGGGAATTGGACAAGCGGAAGTCGAAGAGTGTTGAAGAGAGCCAGACTGGTAAAGGCAGTCGATGCATCTAGCTCACGCCCTGCTATTTTGGTGAAGGTGACAAAGGTGACAAAGGCGACAATAAGGGGACCGCAATGCCAGATGAATTGGCCTAAAGCCTCGGCAAACATGAGCTTGACCAAATTGCGCAACTGCCATAGCGTGTTGTGAGGTTGAGAAGGTTTTCGATAGAAGGGATGCCATGATTACCTCCTGTTTGCGGGCGACTTTTACTTTTTCCATGAACTGGCCTTCCCATGCGTACATCTTGATCAACCGAATTCCCTGCAGAATCTATCAAGAAGAATAAGTGGAACTTGCCGCGAGCTTTCGCACAACCCCCACTAATTCTCACCTCATTCATGATGGACATGCGTTTATCACTGCATTCCAGAAACCGCTCTTCTACCCGACTAAAGTAATTTCCTTGGGCAATGGTAACTGGTATCGTCAAAATCATGACGACGACACCACCCAATGCCGGCCAACCCAACACTTTAAGCAGGAACGCAATTGTAATGCAAATGGTCAAAGGAGTCACAATCAGAATCGCCAAAAAGGTGGGTAGAACGTTCACTCGGCCTGCATCGACCGACATCAATGTAACAATTTTTCCAACACTTGCATTGGCATTCCCATCCGTATCCGCATTCCCACTTTCCTCTTTGGATTCTTCGTTACTAATCGACACACGGCCAGCAGCCCTCCTCAATGACTTGCGAAACAGCTCAGCAATGACAATGGACCGGCATCGCATACCAACACGTCGCCCAAGATGCCAGTTTAATTGTTCGAAAATGTTGCGGATCATGGCACATGCGAACATGGCGAATGCGTACAAGAGGCCAGCGCTGATGGGTTCACCAGTGGGGTATTCAATGAACTTGATGAGGCGATTGAGGAAGAATGGGGAGCCGAAATTGGCAAAACTAGCCAACAGAGTGGATAGTAGCTGGAAGGAAAAGAAAGGGGCAACGACAACGGCCAGTTGGACAATGAGGGATTTGTATCTTGTCCTGATCAATCGACATATTGCATTTAGTACTCTGCATACCTAATCCTAACGCATGCATTACCACCCACCTAACAGACTCGAAAAGATTCACAGCAACTGCAGCCGTATCGTCTTCCGGTAATGCCCACACATCATCTTCTTCAAGACACTTTTTGTTCCCCGCGTTAATCAACGGAGTTACCCATCCGTATGTTAAAAGACTCCAAAAAGAAGCCTGATCATAACGAGAGGGCACAAAGGGTTTTATTCCATCATCTGCGGTATGTACTTCCACCCACTCATTTTGCAGATCTTCTTCCTCTTTGGCCACACGGAGAGCGAGTAGCGTGTCGTTGATGCTGAGGAATAGCGACAAAAGTGCTGCAATGATGTGCGTGAAATCGAGATGACGACTCTGGAATTGATCGTCCAAAGAAGACCATGATGAGGCTCGATATGTCTGTAACGTCTGGACGGCAAAGGTCGTGGCGTACAAGACCCGAAAGTGGGATAGGAGATGTGGAGGCCGCGTCGATGCTGGAGCGTCCGGGGGAAAGGCGAGGTCAAGGGAAGGGCCGACCAAGGCGCGGACAGCCGTTGCAAAGAGCTGGCAATGTATAAGTCTTTTTTCATTTTTAATGAAGTGCTGCCGGTTTCAACTCACCCAAATAGCACAGGCCATCATCCCCACAGCATTCGGCCCATCACCTCGCACCACATCCCACAAACACAAGCCAAGCTGCGTCACAGACAAGATAAGGGCCACAGCCTTAAGAACAGCTCCAAATCCTGCTCGTCGTGGTAACAGGGAGCTTGCATCATCTTCTTGGGAGTGCTCGTCAAAAGGAAGGAGCCTGTATCCAGCAGCCTGTCTTTTGCTCCAGTGCCAGTAGCGAGCGATCAGGAGGGAGCTGACGAGGAGCAAATACGCACTGGGGATGCTCAAGGCTAGGATGTCCACTAGCTGCTCTTGAATCCGATCCATTGCGTCTTTTTTGGGTGGTTGACAGGGTCAATGGATGGATGCGCTTACTTGACACGGACTTGAAAGGAACTTGTAGTTCCTCCTTTTATCACGAGTCCCCCAATGAACGATTCCTATGCGGACAAGTTTCTGCCCAACGAGAGCAGCAGATTCACAGGTCTTGTCCTTAACGATACAGTCAAGCCGACATTCTTTTTTTGACTTTTTTACTTCGTCCTCCCTTTGAGGTGACTTTTCCACATCCAAGTGTGCAAACACCATCCGTACCCATCCCATATTATTACTTTTCATCTTGCCATCTAGTCCTCCATTCCCTCTGCGTTTCTAGTTTTTGTCGTTCACGATCAACGCACGACCGCGCAAAGTAAAAAACAAAAAAAAGTTACGGCCGCGCAGCTCGCCGTTTTGCTAAAGTGGGGACGTTTACCGCGACGACGGGGCGACCGCGCGACCGCCGTGGACGCTTGCAAGTCGGTCGATCTTCCAATCTGTTGTTGTTTTTTTTATTAGCAAGCTCGCACAGCAGCGTAAGCTTGCCGAAACGTGTGCTTGTGGTATTAAGCGCAGGTTTGGGTGTGTAAGCAAGCAAAACGGACCCGACATCAACGTACTACTAGTATATACTGTATGGAAATTGTACATTTTACACTTGTAACTATCTATATAAGTTAACAGTAGAAAACAATGATATGATACACACAAAAAAAGTTCCTCTATATATAAAAAACAATGGAGCCTGCGGAAAACTCGTCTAAAGAGCCATGCCCAGCTCGATACCCAAACTCGCGACTACTTCCTTTGTCTTTTTCCTTACTAAAAGCACTCTCGCAGGATCTTCTCCGACTGTAGCAGGATTATACTGTTTAGCCAGAACAGAATACAAGGTCGCTTTTGCCTTGTATTCTGACTCGTTTGTAATGATTCTAGAATGTCCCAAATCGGCCTTCATCGTAGACCAGGTTCTCGATTCTTTGAATCGGGTCCAAGCCTGTTCCAAGAGCTTCTTGACTTGCACTACGGCATGATCAAAGGCTGCGATACCTTTGCGGTGTCGAATGTTTGTGGCGACGATTCGGCGGGTGGATTGGGAGACGTTGATTTCAAGGACGCTGGCAGCGTCGAGATAGGTGGAGAAGAGGTCTTGGGAATGATGGAGGAGGGAGGCGGTAGTAGGGAAGGAGGATTGGGCAAAGGATTTCATGTCATGTGTAAAAAACTAGAAACAAGAAAAGTAAGAATCGAAATATGCAACAGCATGCGAGCCATTTTTCTCTTACCAAAGATTCAGCGGTATGTTCAGCAAGGAGGTGAGATAGGAAATAAATCAAGGGTAACCGGCTTTCGAGCATAACCTCCAACCCTCCTTCCTCGATATCACGAACACACACATCGAGTGGACACGATTCGCCCATAATGTCTGCCAGCTTTCTGGTGGAGGACCTTACTAGAGGAGACCAAGTAACGGATGCTGAATGTTGGACGGGAGTAGAACTTCTAGGAACCTCGACAACCTCTTCTGTAGGTAAACCAGCTGTTGGCCAGCTAGCCCGCTTGTTGCCTGTTACGCCCACTCCAGCGAGGTATGCCCATAGCTTCCGAGACGACCCTTTACCCATGTTGAAAGGGAGGACGTCTTCTCCAAAGAATTCACTACACTTTCGCTTTGAGCGGGCATCCATGTGTGGAGGGAGATTAGGGGCCGTCGTGGTAAACGCTGGAGACGTGCAACTAAAAAGTTTAAAAAATAAAAAAATAGGCAACTGGCTTTTTTAGGGTTAAAAAAAAAAAACAAAGAATTTACCTTGGATATAGCGACATGATAAAATGCTCTGTAAAAATATGAGTTGAACAAATGGTGGACAAGGACGACGGAGGGGGGAGGACGAGACGTTCATCCCAATTTAAAGTCGATCCATCAAAGAAAACAAACGATGGCGGCGGCGAGTCACCTCAAACCAAACCGCTCAAGCGTATCGGCATCCACGGCAGTACAAAGCCATGACCCAATATCAACTCCGCTTTCCGTAAGCACATTTTGCTCCATTTCCACTTTTTCTTTTGCGACGCTCCGTTTTGAGACGCGGCCAAGAAAGGAATTTGGAAACAAGTGTTGAAAAGTGGGTTGAAACGCGATTTCACACTTATGTCATGAGGTGTTCTTTTTTTTTTTTCTGCCGAAACGGACGGACGGACGGACGACGACGACGACGCTTGAATGACAAAAGGTTTGTACAAGGACAGCACACACTCAAACAAAACAAACAAGCAACAGCCAAGGATAAACAAAGAATCTTTTGTATTTTTTTGCATGATCATTATGGGACCCTTGCATGGGTGCTTTTGCCTTTCTTTCAAACCCAAGGCAACAAAAAGTATAAACAAGTCTAAAAGAAACGCTCTTTCCAAAACTCGGCTTGTGCAGTTTCGGGTTCAGTAGTAGTCAGGCTTGTGTTTGGGGAGGAGGCTGCGCGCTTGCGATACAGCTTTGCTTGTTGACCTTTTGGGCTTGGTGGACCGCCTGGCGGGGCGCCTGGGGTAGGTGATCTGTGTGCCAAAAAAAAGACCAAAAGAATCTGTCAGACGAGTGTTTACCATTGTGCATCGGCACTGCACACAAAACCCTTGCACCCTGCCACAACTCCCTTTGGGAGATATCACAGAAACCCGCACCTCCTGTGTCCTAGCCACGGTTCCCGAGCAGAGCTCGACTCCACAACATCCTCCTCGTCCAGTCTCCGTAGTTTCCCATATGACAAGAGAAAGCCGCCGGTAGCTGGCGCGGATTTGGCAAATGTAGCAGTGTGAGATGACGTTGAGGAGGGGGAAGGAAGAAAACTAGGCTGTGTTGTGTCTGATGGAGAAGGTAGGGAGCCTGGAGCGAACTGGGAGGATGGTGAGGAAGCGAGAAGCGCAGAGGGTGATGGAGGCACAGCGGATGCAGAGTTGCGGCGGGTGTGGTATGCAGCGTAGGCAGCTGCCCCAGCAGCGATGCCTGCCGATGTGATGATAAGCGGGGCAGGCATGATATCTGTCAATCGCTTGCTTGTTGGATATTCAAAGAAAGGCAAAAACCAAACTACTGCTGCTGCTGCTGCAAGTCCAGCTCGAGCGTTATAAAAAAAAACACACACACACAAAAAACCCACAGCCAAAAAGCACCCGGAAGGACAAGCGTTCCGTTCATCACAACCCAACACACAACACACGCTGATTTGATTCAGATTGACGTGTGTCATGTGAGGAATCACAAGGCGCTTTGCTTTCCGTTTATTTATGGAGATTGCAAGACATTTATGAACGACTTATGAACACATGCAGCCAACTGTATGGAGAGAACGCATTGGGTAGCATTGGCGATACGCTTTGGCTATACCGCATGGCTTACGCATGGCAAGAGAAAACGACGGTGGTCCACACCCCATGGCCTCATGCACCACCATGACCACACACAAATCACACACACACACACATTATTAATATCAAATGACGATGCACAGCTCATAACGCAATAGCTCATATCATGAATCTTGCTCCCTTTTGCATTTCACATCTCACCTTGCCTGTCATTCACGCCACCTTCTAGGAGCTTATTTGGGACGAGAACGACTTTTGAGTATAGTGGCAAAGTCACCGTACAAATACTTTAATGTCATGGCAACAAAAGGACAATCTGAGTGTGAGACCTTTGTTGCTGGTCGAGCATCGGCAGCCTGAAATACCTTTTGGATCGCTACTGTTGACAACACATTACCTTTGGCTACTCAACGGGTTTACGGCAAGGAGCTCGCATTACCGACAGAGGCGTTAAACCTAGCAAATTAGTTTCCACTTTGTGCGCTGCTTCGACTACTCATCGGGAACCCTGGCGTCTGTACGAGTGTGTGTGTTCTCGCACACAACTCTAGTCCAATCTCGTCGAGCATCATCGCTGGGTGGCGTTTGCAACATTGACTGTCCCACTCCTCCAAATCCCCATGGGCGTCCAAGGGCGGTGGGTCAAAGCAGACGTGAAGGGATCTACTCGCCCTTGCGCACGGCACGGGCACAAGTGTGCCGTCGTCCGCTATCGAAACAGTGCAGATGCTTCACATGGATCCAAGGCTTCAAACGGACGCTCTGAGAGTGGGAGGGAAAGATTGAATCGGGAGGACATGATAACCAAAGTAATATTACTGTGGGGATCCGATACGCAAAACCTTCTTGCCGACTGCTTTGCGTATGATGCAGGTGTGGAATGCGGTTGAGTTGGGGAATATCATTAAGAGGATCTGTGCTAATTGTGTCATATTGTGTGTCCTTGTATCAAGAGGCTTCATCTTGGAATCGACTGCCCGACAAGAGCCGTAAGAGGAAGCCTACTCTAAATCCGACAGAGAGTGACATTGCCCCTGCAGCCAGTATGGCCGTTACCAGTCATGATGAATTTGTATATATTTTTGGGGGGTTTGTGACGACCGACAAAGGAGATGGAGTGACAAACGATGTACGAGTGTGTTTTGTGAATCTACCATCGGGATGAACGCTGAAACTCTTCTTCTTTTACAGCTACTGCGATATGATGCAAAGGATCAGTCATTCACTCGCTTGAAAGCATCCGGTACCCCACCCAGTCCCCGCGTTGGAGCAACTCTAACTTATTTACCAGCAACCGATAGCACAGATCCGCTGCTGCTACTTTTCGGTGGCTACACGTTCCCTAATGAATACTTGAACGACACGTATGTATATAACCTTCGGACGATGGAATGGAGTAGGCCTCCTCTCAAAGGAAAACCGCCTTCTCCCCGGGAAGCACATTCTACGGTATACTGGGCGGAGCGGCACGGGCGATGGAGAAGACTGGTGATGTATGGCGGGATGAGGCCTGATGAGCGAGCCGTTGATCGGGCATTGAGATTGGATGACGTTGTCTTTTTGGATCTAGGTATGTGGACGCGTTACCTTTTGCCCAACGTAACTCTGCTTACATTGCATCGTCTACGTATAGACCGATGGGAGTGGATACATCCGCCAATACAAGGGCCAAAGCCACCAGGTCGCTCCAAACACACTGCATGTGTCTATAACGGCAAAATGATTGTGTTTGGAGGACAGGAGGGCCTGCAAGCCGACATACCGCTGCCAAGGCATTCGGGTGATGTATACGCGTTCGACATTGGTAAGGAAGTCTTTTGTTAGTGAGCTGTATCGTAAGTTATTAACTGTGCTTTTCAGAGTCTGCAACATGGGCAGGTCCTATAGCTTTGAATTCGACGCACAAACCAGCACCCCGAGCCGATCATGGGGCAGCGGTGGTACGTGATTGCGCAACCCATACATACTGTGTCATAAGGACAGGTAGCTGATATGGACTCTTTGCAGGTTGGCGAACGACTCTATATCTACATGGGCGAGCTGGGATACTCTTTGAACGGCAGCAAATGTTTCACCCTGGCAGACGACATATGGCATCTTGATCTAGGTCCACCATTACCTCCAGATTTTGTGACCGCAACACGGGTTCGAGGATGTTTGAACGTTGAATGGGCGCCTAATCGCTCATCGCCTAATGATCGTACCTACGAAGTTTTGATCCGACGAGCGTCAGATTCACCAGGCTGGTGGGCATCTGTTTACAAGGGCCCTTTGAAGACAGCGACTGTCAGGGGATTTATCATTGCGGATAAAAGTGTTCACGCGTTGTCGGATGATGTGGGATACATTGTTCGGGTGGTGACCGTGGGATGGGCGGGTAAGAGTTCGGATTGGGATGCAGAAGCGGCAGAAGGAGATTACTCTCGGCCTGGTTTCTGTATCGTTCGTCCCGTTGGGCTGGGTAAGTCGTACGAGATTATTGAGACGCATGAAAAAAGCCATATCAGCTACTCATAGGTGCTCTGTCTTAGAACCCGCTCTGCCACCAAACAATGTTCAAATAGCACTAGTTCCCTGGACCCCTGTGGAATCACCTGTAGACGAGAATACTCTCTCTACCGATGGTGTCTCCTCATTTGTAGAAAAACCGCACATTGTCCTCACATGGGAATCACCTCGAGGAAGCAGCATTGACCCAATAGGCACGACGTATCGTGTGGAAATCCGATACCGCATATCATCAGCACAAGAGGATATTGAGGAGGAAAGGGTCATCAAGAAGCGGAGAAGGAGCTCGGTTGTAAGAACGGATGCTATTGTCCGGAGCGACAAGAATGGCATCGACTGTATTGCAGCTGGTGGGGAGGCGGCGAGTGACTGGCATGGGGAGTGGCAGGCAATATGGGAGGGACGGGAAAGTCAGTGGACAGGTTTACCTCAAGATCTGCATGAAAAACTGATCAAATCCAATTGTGACCAACGACAAAACGGGCACACATCTGGCTTGAAGCGCAGACGATGGGCAGATCATCAGGACAAGCGTTCAGTCATTGGATACACGTTCCGCGTGATTACGGTGAGAGGCGACGATGTATCGCAGCCTTCAAACGCGACCCGAGAATTGGTATTTAATGTCGCCCAAAAGGAGATTGATGGTGGTCGAGATGCGTCTCCTGTTCCTCAACAGGACACTGAAGCTCCCGATGACATGGATGTTGATATGGAATTGGATTCTATGGAGGGGACGGCATCCCCAGTGCCGGCCAAATCATTGGCAACGACTTTTACAAATGGCCCGGCGTCAAACAAGGCTGTGAATATGCGAGGCCAAGATGAGAATCATGATGATGATGACGACGAAGAAGAAGAAGAAGAAGAGGAATTGATGGGTGGTATCGTTGTTCCTCAAGCTCATCCAACACATACGGAAGCCATACCGGCCAACTGGACGATGGTACCCACCAGAGTGGAAATGTCTCCAAAAGGAGTATTAAATCCTGGATCTCCTCAAGTGCAGGACACTGCTCATACTTCCCAAAATCAACCCAATTCATATCCTCAATCCACGTCCCTATCCCACGAATCACAGCAAGAAATTGACGTTGAAGGCTCTGGCTCACCCGTCGAAGCGACCGCAACCACAACCTCATTAACAACAACAACAACAACAATAACTCAATTCATTCTCGATCCGGAAACGAACCGCCCTGTCCTCGGCGATCCGAGCAACGGCTTTTTCTTTAATCTCCATTTTGGCGACTCTATTGAAGTGTTTAGCGAGCAAGAGGGTATACCCCTCTGGTACAAGGCCCGCGCACTCTACTATTCCCCACTGGGCGAGACAGATTGGCGAATCAAAGTCCATTACTCAAAGTACCCCAAGAAATTTGATGAATTCTTTGCATTGACCGAACAAGGGCGCACACGCGTCCGAGGTGCGACGGGGGACCCAAAAGTTGCAGAAGGAGATTACCCAGAAGACGAGAAAATGTTTGATGTGCATTCGGATGCAAAGAAGATGCATGTTATTACTGGCAAGGAGAGGGAGACTGCGAGGCGGGGACAAGTCATTGTTCGGGTGCATGCTGCTGGGCGAAAGAGTTTGGGATAATCAAATGCTGCATTTTTTTTTAAACAATGTGTTTTGGATGTGCGGTATCTTTTACTGATAGTATAAGAAATCTACTGTGCTTGTTATCATCGCATACTTATTCTTGGGGCAATGTGTTTCCCATGGCATACAATGAGCGACAATCAAGTAGAGAGCAAACGGAGCCATTGTATTGAATGAAACGACTACAAAAAACCGCCGGAGGCAGTGCAGCCATGAATCGATCCGTCTCACCTGATTTGCTGTCCAATTTGGACACTCCCATTTTCAGGCAGCAACCCCAAAATGCAGGTTGTGTGTGTGATATCAAACGAAACGGCAATCCATTTGCTGTTAAAATTGCTTTTTGCATAGCCTCTCATCCTCCACTTTATAAACTCTGGCCACGCGGAAATGATAAAAAAACATCGGAACCGTAAATAAACAAAAATAAAAAACGGCAGCCTTTTGAGCCGCTTTCATTTTATATTTTCTCAAGTTTTACTTGTAGCACATGTAACAAAAAAAAAATAAAAACTTTCCAAAATCCAAATCCACAAACCGCACGTGCATGGGTATTCCACGAATTCATTTGAGGCTATGATACCGATATCCAGAACATCCAAACGGCCACATCTTTGGTGCACTGGTTGGATGATTACAATGTCATTTTGTTTATAATTCGAATGGGAGGTGTGAGGTTTTGTTTACATGGTACAGGCGGGATTAGCTAAATGTCTAAGAGGGTGGGTCCTTTGGTTTGATGAGCATGTTTGCATGTTTTGCTGGATATCTTATGATCTCTTTTGATGACCAGAGTCGTGTGTGTTAAAAAGCAGACATTGATGATGAGGAAATGCGTGCATGTTGCAAACTGGGTACGAGTTCAAAGGTTTGGAGAGACGCCGCGTTGTGTGTGTAGGTTTATTTATTAAAGACAACAGGGGGGAGGTAATATTGAGAATGATAAGAAGGGGCATGCATTTGGGAAAGCGGATATTGGGAAGGCTTGTTTTGTTTGTTTTTGGCCAACCAGCACCTTCTAGCATTTCGCTTTAGGGGATGCTCAACCTTATCGTATAAAATTAAAAAGATGACATTGTTTTGTGTATACTAGCAATGAAAGGCTTGTAGCGCCTTCCAGAGTCCCGATCCACGGGTCCCCCCGTGACCATAAGGTTCAACATACTGTGGTTCAACAAGTTCAAAGAATTTGGGGGAATAGAGATGATGTTCAAATGTTAACATTCCAGTATGAAAAAATCTTATCATTCAAAGGTAGCAGATTGTGCCCAAGCATTTATAATACAGATTCATAAGATAAATTACGGGGAGGGAAACCCAAATGTGTCCCAAAATGCAAATCCGTGGCCGATTCCACACTCCTTTGGAGAAATTCCACCATTCCCTCTTCACATGGATGCGTATATCGTAGCAAAAACTTGGGAGTAGAGAGAAATAACAAGAAAAAAAAATTCGGGAGAGTGGAAAGTGCTGAGGGTGGCAGGATATTGCAAAAGATTGCCCCATCAGGCGTCCACGCCGTGTGGGATAACCATCACTTGTAATCCTTTCCAAATATTGGTATCGATTTGAGCACCTTGCCCAACACCTTGAACACCTTTGCGTCCTTCTCGTGCCAGCTGCTAGCGCCTAGGTGGGTAAAGATGGGCGTTGTGACATTTCCGCTGAGCTTGTTGTTGAGCCCTCCCAAGACCATGAGCTCGCTTCGATCGGATGCAATGGCGTGTTGCGAGGACACGTACATGCATCCGGCAGAGATCATGACCGTTATGTACGGGGAGAGGTACCAGCGGTTAAAGTACTGGAGATTGCTGGTCAACTGTCGGAGAAAGGAGTTTTTTGGCGACGTCATAATGAAACCATTTGAGATTCCAACAGGATGAGCAGCGGGAGCAACGAATTTGAATCTAGAGTGAGAGAGGCACATTCAAAAAGGAATAACGCGGTCAGAATTCGTACGGAGATGAAAACCGGTAGTGGCCCTTCCGGGGCCCAAAAACTTACTTTCTGAATGGGTCCAACGACCGTCTGCACTGAAGATCCATGTCGAGGTATGTTCCTCCATAGGTAAATAGAACTAAATATCTCAGCGAATCGGCCCGTTGGATGGGATACTTGTAATTTGTCCAAGTGTGAAGGAACCATGGGTGTTCCTTCCGAATAAAGTTTTCCGCAGATGCATCATCCCAAAACATAAATGTCCAGTCAGGATGCACTTGCTTGCAAGCATCCCGAGCGTCCAGCCACTTTTGTGGAATCGGGGTTTTCATCTCGATAGCAATATGGTGCATGATGGGCGGTATGGGCCGGTCGGCCTCGGATGACTCGGGGCCCCAGCGGAGGAGCTCTTCGCTCTTGGTGACAAAGTCTTGTGCGCGACTGTACTCGTCACTTGCGGTGGCATTGTGCGGTCTGCTTGCCAAGAGTGCTCGAGCAGAGGCAAGTGCCGTAAAGTCGATATCGGGAGCGGGAGGCAGAGTGTCAAGGTGAAGCGGGAAGCCGTCGTTCCCTGACCCAATGTAATTGACTTTGGCAATGTTCCAGGAGATGTAGCAGTATACAATGATAAAGACGCAGCACAGCCAGTCTTTGAGCCAAAACAGGATCGTAAGGACAATCGACGCACGAACATAGCGACGCAGTTTGATCACTCGCCGTAACGGCCGTCTTGGTGATACCATTAATCGCATAGCTGCGTGTGTGTGTGAAGGGGAATGAGGATCGTGGGACGATGGACGACGGCAGCGATGGGGACCACGACGGCGATGGACAAGGACGACGACGACAAAGAACAGAAAACGACGACGACGGCGAAAGGAAATGGACGTGGGAAAAAAAATGGGAATTTCACACTTAATACGCCCAGAAAGTTGTAGCTCTAACAATGGGCCACCTGCGGAGGGTTCCGCGTATTTGGGAAATAGCGAAGGTTCCACAATGGAAGAAAAAGGGGCAAGTATCAATTTTTCCCTTTTTGGCAACATTATCTATTCATGGACAGGGGAAAGGAGGCAAAGTTTTAGATTTGTTTTTGCCGGGAATTTGGCACCATACGCCTTTTTTGTGGACGTGCCAAGGCAGAGGCTGTGCATACTGCAACCGGTTAGAATGTTTGATTGGAATCTGCCTCCGAGTGCGCGGTTTGGAACGTTTGGATCCATTACCACGTGACAGAGGTCCGATTGAAAAACTCAGCCAGCCGTTTTAGCGAGTTGCTGTGGGGAGGCGAAGCGCTCCTAGTGGAGGCTGTGGATGTCGGTGGTGGATGGATTATGCCGTTCATCTTGGCATCTATTGCGGCAAGCAAGCTACTTGGACGAAGAGGCGTAGAGGGAGTTTGGCGTGGAGGTTCGTGGCATCGAGCAATAGATACGCTTAATGTCCAGCCGAGCAGCCATCGAGTCAGCGCATCATGTGGGGAGGCTTATCGGCTCGGTCATTTTCCCCGTGGCTGTCGTTGTGTTTTCATGAAACGCTCGACGCATTGCATGCCTTTATAAAGAATCAACCTTCCCCCACTCTTGTCTCGCCTCGCGTCCGCTTCATAAAGCTGCAACGCCCCTCCGTTATTGGAGGGAGTAGATCAAGGGCAAATCAAGGCATTCAAAACATAGGCAGCCTTTTCACACATCCCCGAGGGTGAAAGGCAGATATATCATCATTATTTGGCTTCGCCTTGTTGAAAGGGCCACATACCACACACACATTTCAACCTGTTCACATGCCAACCTTGTTTTACTCCGCCATTCCTTGGTTGGGTAATCCGTGCAAAAAGGGATACCCGCGTCAACTTCACAAAAGGGCAAAAAAAAGAGGTTTAAAAGCATTTTGGCAAGGTTTATTTCTTTCCATAAAACGTCCATTTGAGTTGAAGGACTATTTTTTGGATAAACGTCGAGTGTGTGGACTTTTTAGTGTCAATGTGACGGCTTACATTGCTACCGCGGTAGTTTGAAAATACTCGGTATAGTGTGCCGCTCAATGCTATCGAAACTCTTTAAAAAGATGCGCAGAAAACCCAAACACCTTGTACAAGCCGGCGACAACAACCACGTCGATGAACCAACACACCTCGAGACCGTCCCGCCACGTGGCTCATCGCTGGCCGAGCTCACCCATTGGGGCGTGGGTGTGTGTGCTGGTCGGTCGTTTCAACTGTTACGATCAGGCCGGGTGGACGACGCTGAACGGTCCTTTAAAGTTCTCAAAGTTCGCGGACCGGATTTGCACACCCTTCGACGTGAAGCAGGGAATGATGACGACACTGGTTTCAAAGTGTTAAAAGTACATGGGCCGGATGGGATGACAGTCGGGAGAAGATGTTTGGCGGCTAATATGGACTGCAGCAACCAAGTGGAAGACGCTCATGTGCTGCATGCACCCGATCATACTGATCCAGCTGTTACAACAACTGAGCGGCACGATAGTGCCTATGACACCATCTTACCAGCAGATGGCCCTTACGATCCGGTCCCCTCATTCCCTCTTCTTCCTACCTTTACACTCGGGTGGAACACACCTAGTCCCCCTGTTCCTCCAAAAGACGCTATTGATCCATCGCAGGATCAACCTACGATACCATCTTTCCCCCCACTGCCGTGTCTAACGTTGCAATTGCCACCTAGAGTGGATTCCATGGAGGACGATGGCGTGTTAGATGGGCCGGTATGTTTTGGCGGATGGCGGTGATGGAACTCAATATGTAATCGGCCGGTAGGGTGATGTGTGTATGCAAATACATCATGTACATATTTGTAACTGGAAGGACTGCTCTCGCTGGAAGAATGATCAGCAAGACTTTTGATCAGTCAGCCTCATCTAGCCACATTAGGGCAAATGATGTCCGATTGTCCAGAACGACTTTGGGTCGTCGCGCGCTTTGAAAGTAGAGATCTCAGACCTACTTGTAAAGCATTACGCACTAACGCGGAGGTACTTTCCACGCTCTCCAAACGATGGACTTTACGGAACTCTACAAACAGTCTTTGAATCTCTGTCATTTTTCCCCCAACGGTCTCTACCTCGCCACAGCCGTCCAACACCGGCTCGTCATTCGAGACGCGGAAAGCCTCCAAATCCTCCACCTCTTTGCCTGCACCGACAACATCCAACACGTCTCTTGGAGTCCAGACTCTGAACTCGTATTATGCGCATCGTTCAAATTGGGTATACTTCAAGTGTGGAGTATAAAAGATGAGGAATGGACCGCAAAGATTGAAGAAGGGGTATCGGGGTTGGTGGACGTCAAATGGGCACCCGACGCACGGCATTTGTTGAGTTTTTCGGATTTTCAGGTTTGGTTTCTTGATTTAGTGCTTCGCATTTTTATGGGGTTTCTCGTTAATTTGATTAATCATCGACCACATAGTTACGAATAACGGTATGGTCCCTCACATCCAAAGAAGCATACTATATACAATACCCAAAATACTCTGACAAAGGTATATGCTAGCCAAGAAACACTCCATCCCTCTGCCACACCCTCACCGCATTGCACAGGCTACTGCTTCCGTCAGGACGGGCGATATTTTGCCCTCGCTGAACGTAAAGACTGTAAAGACTATCTCAGCATATATGATTGTGAAGATTGGACATTGTTAAAAGTACGATGCTGAAAATGAGCTCTGATCAGCAGTAAAATACATTTCTCATTAACTTTTGCATAGCGATTTGCCCTGGACACGAACGATCTGGAAGACATTGCATGGTCCCCTGATGGACGGTTCATTGCGGCTTGGGAAACAATGTTGGACGTAAGTTCTCTCCAGAAACGTTGTATTATTTGCCAGACCCAACAATTCACTCAACCCAACGAAAAAAAAATTTTATTCACTCTAGTATAAAATCCACATTTACTACCCTGACGGCCGCCTCATCAAATCCTACTCTGCATACGACACGGGTCTAGGAATCAAAACAGTGCGATGGTCACCTTCTAGTCAGTTTCTGGCTATAGGAAGTTTTGACCAAAAGGTTCAGTTCACATAAATCCTTTTCAACTATCCATCACAAAAAACAAGTATTGAACAAAAGAGCAACATTAGGTCCGCTTATTAAATTATTATACATGGCAACCTCTCATTGATTTCTCGCATCCAAGAGAACTGGTACCGCATGACATTGTATGTATTTTTTTTTCTTTGCGTGTGTGTTTTCAACATGTTAAAAAAAGCTGATTGAATACACTAGACAGTGTTTAAGGAAACGGACCCAGAAAATGAAAACACAATGACGGGAATAGCGAATTGGAGTCAAGCAGCACACCCAAAAATCCGATGTACGATTTTTATCGATTTTTTGTTTGCGTTTGCCATTTTGCATAATCAACATTCTTTTTGGGGTCTTTTTTTTTTGCAATAGATCAAGTCCTTTGTCCACCTATTACCATTCCCCAATCACGGCCGGACCCTGATAAACCTAACCCTCGAATGGGCGTCGGGATATGCGAGTTTAGCTGTGATGGACGGTTAATCGTAACACGCAATGGTAAGTCACATAGTTGCTTTTCTAATGAAATATAAACAGCTGAGGATGGTCCATTGGTAGACAATATGCCGACCTGCCTTTGGATCTGGGATCTCGTCGAGCTCCGACAGGTAGCATTGATTCAACAAACGAATCCAGTCAAAATGGTGCGGTGGAATCCAGTCATTCCTGATAGATTGGCATTTTGTTGTGGAAACGGGGTTATTTACATGTGGCAGGGTGGGGAGGTCAATGGATGCGAGTCCGTTGAGGTTCCTGCTGGTAAGTATAATGCGTAATGGTGTGAAATTGGCCATGTTGGAATTGACAAATTCTTTTCTCGTGTTTTCAGTCAATTTCCAAGTGTTGAGTTTTGAGTGGAATCCAGACGGAAAGTCAATGTCACTCTTGGACAAGGACAAATTTTGTCTAGCTTTCCCAATAGAAGAGTGAAATATGATCCATGTACATATAGATTGATATCCTCACAAACGGTATAGACAATACTCGGTCACATTTAAAGTTGAAAAGAAACATACAATTTCCAAGCATTCTTACGGTTGCGACAGATCAGGATATCCATAATGTGATAGGTCGATTGACCAAGAGCCGCTCTCTTTGTTTGATCGGCATCAGTGCTCGTCCCTTACTGGCTGGCATATTCATCAACTTTGGGAATGTGGCTTTTGCGAGTCTACTTTTTCGGCTCGCTTGGAAGACTGGCATCACCAGGCTGTGGATTGATGATTCCCTGTGGGGTTTTCAGTGAGGGTGTCCTCCTTGGTATGGCCGGACGCTGTGGGCCAGGTTGAGATACGGGTGCGCCAAAGATGGGAGCGGCTGGAGTAGGAGCTTTTTGTCCATCTTTCAGGGGTGGCAGTCTCTCATTGTCAATATCGGCACTACGAGCTTCGTCAAAGGTCGAGATGGCTATGGCCTAGTCAGCGGAATAGCTCGCGTGATAAAAGATAGTCAAACAAACGTACCCTTTTTTATTCCTTCTGCGCCTAGGGCTAGTGTGCCCGGAGGAAGCGTCTCTGTGCCCATCACATTCTTCAACTCCATGATACTCTCGCTTTCTTGTCTAACGGAAATTGTGGTTAGCGTCGTTCATTCTGCCGGGCCAAGGTAAAAACTACAACACCTCTCTCACCTCAACACTTGGAATGTTCGGGACATACGCCCCACGGCCCTTATCTTGTTCTTGATCACCTGTCGTCTTGCCTCCTGTTCTGTGGCTGTGTTTCAAAAGTCAACCAGTGCAAGAGAGACAGAGCACCTATCCGTACCAAGAAACTTACGCTCATCGGCCTCCGGTACTTGGAGTTTGGCCTCCTCCAGTTCCTCTTTACTGCAGATATTAAGAATAGAGAGTAGCATATCCGTAACTAAAAGCCCATCCATCAGCAACTCAGTACCGGTCCTGATTCTACGGCAATGGTCTGATTTAACTCACTCTTTTCACCAACAAATGGCAGCGACCATGAAAAGACATCCATAAAGTTTGGTAACCAGTACGGATGTGGGGTACAGTTGAATTGTCGGATGTTCATCACATTATTCTCGTATTTCAAGACGGCAGCTTTGTTGTTGTAGACGTCGAGGTAGTTGGGGGCAGAGAAGATGGTGATAACGGAAGGGAACCCAGTCGTGCGTGTTTTTCGATACATGCGGTATCTGGAACTAGTGTGAGCCGCCGGTCTGATATGAAATAATCAATTACTAGTAGTACCCAGCATCTTGTGCTTCATGTGCTCGAATAATTGAAAGGAGGTTATTTCTTTCCAAGAAAGCGCATGCCGCATGATAACTATCCGCGCAACAAGGGTAAGCTCAAGGTGTCGGCGCGAGTAATCCCAATTTCAGCCCACCTGAAGAAATATGAACACCCACGAACGCCATTGTGCACAAAGAACTCGTTGGTGCGCTCCTGACCAAAGTCCTCCAATGGATCTGCCCACAGCAGGTCACACATCAATCCGTGTGTTGGTGGTTCGCGGAACCGGTTGACCTGGAGTTTTTTTTTGTGGGTAAGATGGAGATATTCAAACAAAATATAGTCAAACAAGATACTTTACACCACGCAAGTCATCCAAAGTGTTCAACTCGGGGGACAACCCCCCATGGATGCAGAGAAACTGCTTGTTCATGATGGCAGCGAGTGGAAGCGCGCAGAAGGCCTCCAAGCAGGCTTCATATACCTTCTCGGAATACTTGTGCTTGCCTGATGGAATTTTTATTTCGCTCGCAGTCAGAACGATATGTTCCACTGAAGAGTAGAGACGGCAATAACTCACATTCCAGCTTAAACGTAAAGTAATCCGTCAAATGCCGGCATTCGTGGTTACCGCGAAGCATGAAAATAGAGTTTGTGTACCATATCTTCAAAGATAAAAGGTATAAAAAGCACTGTGATGCCACCAGAAAATGTTAATAAGCAGGTCATACGATTCATGTTGCACACATCTTCCTGTGAAGGACTCACTTCTATTGAAAAGTATCCTCGGTCAACGTAATCTCCAAGGAAAAGGTAGCGTGTATCTGCTGGATTCCCGCCAACTTCAAACAACTTCATCAAATCGTAGTATTGGCCATGAATGTCACCACAGACTGCACAGAGGGAGAAGATAATACACGTAAACCATGATGAGTACGATGCGCTCCAATGCTCATGAAGATGACGGCAATATCGCCCGCTTACCCGTAATGGGCGCATCAACCTCCAAAAGATTAGGCTCCTTCTTCAACAATTCCGTTCCCTGTGATAAAATGCTCAACGCCTGTTCTTCGGTCAATCGGCCCTCGCGAATAAAGTGATTTTTTAGAAAATCAATGTCAGGTTTCGATTTGTCCTTTTTTGACCAGAATTGTTCATCGGTAGGTTTGAAGACAGCTGGAGCAGTCACATCTGAACAAATGAAAAGCGAAAAAAAGAAGAGAATGAGTTTTCTTGTGGGCAAGGACGAGCAAAGTACAACTGCAAATGATATCCAGCATGTCATCAATTAATCACCTTTTATCACACGCTCGATGGTTGATACTTTATCGCCATTATCCATAACGTGCACGGTGAAGTCAACATTCTGTGGGAGCGGTTTTGGTTTAGAGGAAAGGGAAGCTCGCCTGGGGCTGATCGTGCCGTCCCCCTTGGCTTTGGATGGTTCCGCGGCCATTTCCAAGAATGCAAACTGAAAGGGTTCCCAAAAGCTGTTTGTTTTGCGAGTTGTGTGGTGGTAGCGAGCGTTAAGATCGCGTTAATCTTGCAAGTTGCTGTTGATGGAAAGAAAAAGTGATGCAAATGGCAATGCGTTCGTGTTGGCGCTTGGCGGGTGGGAATGTTCGCAGCGAGTGGCTTAGTCGTATTTACAGTTACGTCATCACATCAAGCCTTAAATTCCGCAACGGGGATGATCAAGGCTTTGCGATGAACGCTGAGGCTTGCAGTTTGGCCTCCAGTTTTGGGGGGTAGGCCCAACCAGGAGCTCCTTGTGTGCAAAGGAGCGTTCAGGTCCTTGTTGACACCCTTTCCCTCCCGTCGCTCATCATAAGTTGCGGTTTTGGGTGGCAGCGACGTTCAATAGGCGGCATTCCCGATCGTGTTTTCTCCGTCAGAGAGTAGTCTGGAACATCCAACACCCATCTATGCCTTGCAAATCGCGTATTTGCACGCTATCCTATCCTCCGCAATTCCTAGGGATCATCAAATGAACCGCCACGATTTTCAAAGAGCCGTCCGACCGCTATTCACACTCTTTGATTACATGTCTTTGGTCTCCGAACAAGGGGCTGCCTTGACCCAGTCCAGTTTGTAAAGTATATCATCCCCCTCCTGGGTGATATACGCGGGTAGCCTCCTACAGCTACACCCAACTTGTACCCGAAAAGGCCCCAAGAAAGACGCAAGAATGGGCTTCAGGGCGGCGCCTATTGAGAATGCGACGATTTAGAATGCACGTCTATAAAAATGCCATAACAAACAAGCTCACCGGCAGGTAGGCTCTTTGCGTAGAGCGTCGGCGCAAGGCGGGCTCCACATTTTTCTTCAGACCCTCGTCGAGGGGTTCGTTGGATGCCTCAGAAAACCCTATTTTGAACGAATGTTCCGATAAGTCTTCACGAAGCCCAATATGCCACCTGCCTGATGCATCCATCTTCGTGTCCTTTGTAATCTTCTTGTAAATGTTTCCGCTGAGAATCCGCTTCTCTTTTTCATCGCTCCCTTCACGAAAAGGGAATGTGGAGAGCCACTCCCTAAGACAAGGTCAGCTACATGAAATCCTTTATACTACTGATATTATCTACCTCACGAGCAAGAGGTGGTGAGCCCTCTCTTCCACGATGTGCCGCGCACAAAGGGCAAAGCGTTCTGTAGAGGGCTTCCGGGCTTCTACAGCACACTTAACCCCCGTGTCCAACGTAAAATCTTGACATCGAAGGGTCGGTGTTGTAGCCGGATGTCATTGATGGTTATAGGTGCACACACGTCGTCCGGACGTACATACTTTCGGTAGAGGCTTTCTACTGTAATGACCGTCGAGTCACATCATGAAACGGTTTGCAAACCGACTTCTACCATAAATTAAATCCCCAGTCCTAAATGTGGGTCAGCCTTTAACAAAAGCTTTCGACAGATAGAGGTAATGAATTACATCCAGACATCAGATTGTAGCCAGATCACCTCACATCATGGTGCCAGAAAATGGAGTTGTCCCCCGATCCATATCCTGTGTCCGACGGAAGGGTAGTCGTGTGCTTGTGCTGCTGCAAATTGTGTGCCGAGCACACTCTCTCGCCCAAAAGTCCGCTTTCCAAAGCATGCAACAGATCTCTCGTGGGTTCAGGCAATTCAATATATTATAAAGTCTTTAAAAAAAAGTCTCAGCTAACGTATTACATGTCAGATTACGTCAATTTGATAATGAATTCTAAATAACATCATGGCATCCTTCAGCCTTGATCTGTCCAAAACGTGCCATTCATCCACCGAGTCTAACAATTCAACCAAATCTTGCTTTCGGCTGACATCGCCGAGGAACGCCGCCATTTCCTCTCTAAACAGCTGATGAACGTGTGCACCGCCAGCGGCTCGGAACGCTTTCTCACGGACCATATCCTCGTTCCATCCCTTAACAATCTTTAACCAGAGCAGAAAGGAGTTGACTACTCCACTGCCTAGTCCCCCGTCATCGCTCCATCCTTTTTCGGTCATGTCTTTCAAGTCACGTAATAATCGTGAGGAAGAGAGATCATGTGCCACCGCGTGTTCACACTCTAGGCGTTTGCCAATGCATCGAAGAACCCGAACCAAACTACTAGTGACGATGGCTTCTGGGAAAGAGATGGCATCACACAGGGCGAATATCGTCGATTGGAACCGTTTAGCATGGGTCGTCATCACCGCTTTGAAGGATTCTGGTGATGATGCGGTTGGGGCAATGTGGCGAAGAGGAGCATCCACCAAGGCAAGAACAACGCGCCATTGCTCGTCGATGAGCGCTCGTGCGAGAAGAGGCTCTCCTACCCATTGTTGAACACGAAACTCGAAAACTTGCCAAATAGCAAGAATCAACGGGAAGCCAATCCGAAGGTGGTCAGTGCCAGTGGAGGAAATGTGCTTGAGGTCAACGTCAAGGATGACGCGGTGACGAAAGATTCCGGAACCAAGCTTGTGAGATGGTGGTGTCTCAGTTGTAGGCGAGTCCCCATTGCTTCCATTCAAGTCCGACTCTGAGGATGCAGAACGGGTGCTGGAGATCCGCTTGATGAAGCGCGCGGTTTCCAACGGATGGGCTGTTACCAATCGCCGAATAAGGATGTTGAGCAAAACTGACAGCAGTTTCAATTTTTTCGCCAAAATGACGTTGGCCCTCTCGGGCTTGATTGTGATAAGCTTCAGCGATTCCAGCAGGCCGTAGAGCTCAGAAAGCCAGGCGTGACTCTTTTCTCCAAACAGCTGCCGAACCACCTTTGTAGGAGGAACATTTGGTACAAGCTCAATATGGACGGGTTTGGCACCAAGTGTTTGGAAAGCAACGTTGAGTGTCACACGGTCCTCAACACCAGCCGTCCGAGATGCAGTCAAATCAGATTCTTCAAAGTAAAACAAACTCGGTGGCGCTTCATCTTCCTGGCTATTCCCATTTGCATGGCCATTGGTCATCCCATTGAGATCAGATGACGAGCAGGCCGAGTGGATATCTTCAAATGAGCCATTCAAGCGAATTTTGTGGTGGACCTCGTGTGCCGTCAGATACTCCTTCACAGCACTTCGAGTAAACCGTCCAGTCTCAACCATAAAAGTGACACATTCAGCGATTGCATGAGGCGGTGCACCAGCTGCAGGAACAAAAATGTAAACAAAAACAGTATAGGAGTGATACCATTATAACAGCTCTGACGCTTACCAGCAATGGCAATGTTCCGGGCGTGCTACGGGAAAAGGCACAGAGTCAGCATTGGAGATACGAGCGCCTCCAGGAAGGTGTGATTAATTGCTTACCAGAGACATATGTCCGCGTTGAATACCTTCAGTACAAAGAGCTCGAAGAGCAGCAAAGTTTTGGGCCAAGCCAACGGCGACCATCACCTAATGACCGGCTATCGTGTGAGTCTACCTCCACAGACGCTCATGCCACTACTTTACCGCCTACCTTTGCCAAGCTTTTCGAATCGGGCTTATTTAGTAAGCCCAGGGTATAAGAGTACACAGGATTTGTTTTCAACACTCCGCCTTTGGTAGCTACTGGCATTGGTAGTTCCAATTCGCCTCTCAGGTATCGACGTCCATCGTCCTCCTCCTCTACCCAGTAATCCGTAAAGGGACGGTAGTTGTCTGCGCGTACGCCATTCCAGGCATGACCAGCCGCTTCAATGGCTCGCCAATCCTGTCCAGTGGCTAAAGCCACTGCATCTATGCCGTTCATGATGCCCTTGTTGTGTGTCGTTGCGCGGTATGGGTCCGATCGTGCCCATTCATTGGCTTCAACGACGCGAAATGCAAGATCCTGACCAGAAATCCCTTTGTAACCAAGTTTATCTATTGGCACCCGGAAGGAAGCCTATACAAAAAAAAATTCGCACGTTATTCGAGGTCAACAGCAAAAGCTCCTTGCTTCTCAATGCATACCTTGGCCATCCTTTCTACACTCAAATTAGAGACGATCCGCAACCCGATCCGTCCACCCGTCAAACTCGCAATGAGGGGAGCAGTCCCTTCCGCCACAGCACTGGCACAATTGGCACCCATTGCATCACAGACGTCAATGTGGAGATGGACTACTATCCAGCTCCCGTATGATCGCTCTAATCGAACTTCTTTTGGCCTCTTGGTGTCGGACCGTCGGATTACCTGCCGAACTGTCACATCCATAACACCCCCTCCACGACCGACCATGTTTTGGCAGAACTGGTTGCCCAAAGAAATGATTTCATCTCGGCGTGCTTTGACCTATATGCTGCTATTTAGACAAGTGGATTTTCAAACATCAACAGGTTGTGTCACACACCTGTTCTAATGCGATAGCAATTCTATCGTCTTCTATATCCATCACTTGGATTTGAGCGTAGATAATATTTTTATCAGTGGTTGTCGCAGTAAAACCTCCACCAAAGGTGGAAATTGTTTTTGCAGCGCCTGAAGCAGCGGCGACGACGGATGGCTCTTCAATGCACATGGGTACTACAGTCGGGATGGAGTTGATGGTAAAGTTGAGGCCAATACCGACGGGCAGACCGAGTGTTCTGTGATGCACGTAACGCGACCATGCATTGGTTAGCATATCCGCACAGCATAGTGTGAGCAAGGTTGTCAATAATTACCCCACACAGTTTTCGACCATGTTGTCAGCGATCTGCTCGTCAAGGCCATTGAGTGGAAATGCATCGTCGATCGGTTCGGGGGAAGGGGGTTCCGCAGGTCCACCATTTGGTGAGCGAGGACCAGCGGACAAGGGACTGACGAGCTGGGAAGGTTGGGAAGGGAATAGGTGGGTGTAGACAAGTCTCAGTTGATTTTGTCGCTCTTTGAGGGCCTTTTTGTAAAAACCCGACCATATCGAGTGAAAGCTCTCCCGTTGTGAAACTGCAAGCTTTCCGTCTTGTTGCTCGTTTCCATTGCATGAAGAGAGGTTTTCCACAGCCATTGTTGAGGAGAGTTGTCGTAAATGCGCATGTTCGGAGGGGAAGGAAATTCCGTTCAAGACTTTATGTTTTGTCGACCCATTTTTAGCCGAAAATACATGCGATTAAAATCATCACACCACTGGCACTGCGCGTTTTTAATCGACGCATCGCATCTTTCGATGACCTGACGGATTGAACGAACGAACGAACGAACGGGGGGTGAATGTACGTAAAAGGTTCAGCCCACCACCACCAACACAACGGGGGAACGGGACGCCTCATATACCTTTTGTTCTTTTTGAAAATGTTTAGAGATTGTAGGACACCTCCGCCGCTGCCAAAGAAAACGACAACAGCGGCAGCCGAAAAGGAAGGGACATCGCTGCCAATCTATGAAATACGGCATTCCCCTCCGACCAAAAAAGTATATCACTATGGAAGATTTGTTCCCGAGTACCATGCTCCCCTCGCACCTGTGCCAACGATCCCGTCACCTAGTGCGGTGACCTGGCCCAGTGTGTACATCCCTGGCAGTCCCGAGCTTCCTCCTGGACTGTCTCACGAGATGGAATGGGAGCTCGCCTACATTGATCGTTACTGGCAAAAGGTTTCCTGGTTTGCTGCAAAAGTCATCTTCTCTTCAGAAATGACCATTTTTTTGATAGAAAGAACACAAGGAGGAGCAGCAGGAGGCCAAACAAAAAAAGGAGCCCAAGATGCCGTACTGGGCCCTGAGCACAGTTGGTGGAAGAGGTAAAACTGCAATTCAACATCCAGTATGGTTGACCGTTTTCATACCGAATCATTCCACAATTCTACACACATACATGTACCCAGATCATCTCTGGCATTGGTAAGGAAAATCCTTGAAATCTAGCGCATATGCTCAAGATGGTGCATCCTGGACAAATATTGCCACATTTGCAGGCCCGTGGGCATTGGTCCCCGCAAAGAATACGAATCAGACCTTCCCGCCGCAAGAGGCAAGGAATGGTGGAGAGACTGGAAGTAGGCTGAAAAAGCGCATTGGAAAACATAGTGCCATCTGAATTTGTTATGTTCTTGTTTACTGTTGCTTCGTTATTACACGTGTATGTAGTGTAGTGTGCAATGGCTTACGCTGCAAAACGCGTATTGCTCACGCTGTGCTCGTTGGAAGAAACTCTCCAAAAACAAACGAAATTGAAAATGGCGAGCAAAAGAAAACCCCAGCCAGCAAAAAGCCCAGAATCACTACACACTCTCGAGGATGGCCTTGACGTAAATGCTGACTTTGACTTGGGGTCAGGTTCTGCGACGCTCCGCAGTCCTACCGCAAGCCAAGAATTGGCAAGCCTCCAGGACAGTGAGGAGGGTGAGGAGGTCCCAACGTCGACCATGGCGGAGCCACAAAGAGATAGCTCAGAAGAGGACTTGGGGGATTTGGGTGCATTTTCTGAGCCGTCTGGTTCACGTCCGGAGCTAATTCCGCCTGTCCCTACCCAAGAGCGGAGACCGTCTTTGGAGGCCGCCGTAATCGATAAAATGTCGCCGTCTGTTGCGGAAGCACATCACCTTCATATGCATGACCTTGTCCAGCATCACTCAGAGAAAACTCCAATAGACGAACCATCTACTAGTGAATCCCCTGCTCTAACCGAGGAACAATCGGCCGATCAATCGCCAGGAACGAGCGCACCGGACGTTGACTCCTTAGAAGATGACTTGGACGCAACATTCGCTCAGTTGCTGTCCATGGGATTTGAGGCAAAAATGTGTGAGCTCGCAATATCCCACTCGCTTTCCGATCGTGAGACAGTAAACACTTCGGGAGGGTCGGGAGAGTCGGGACGATCATCACTCCTCGATGCTGCAGTCGGGTGGCTTATTGCAAAGCAAGGGGAGGGAGAAGATCATGTCAGAGGCATTACATGTACGTATTCCGAGCCCGATTATGTCTTGCTTCGACAACTTGCGCGTCAATAACTTTCTTCCTGCGGCTCTCCAGACTCACCACACGGCTCACCAACTCCTTCACGGCCACCACCTCGCGATGCGCGGCCAGAGCGTGGGATCCTAAAGTCCGCAAGTACTGGATCGGGCTCCCGATCAAATTCCATATTTTGGCGTGACAATTGGTTGTCAAAGCACATGGATCAAGCTGCTGGAGCGTTTTCTTCAACCATCGAGAAAGTGAAGCCTTTGTTGAAGCAACTTTCAACAGCAGATGTACCTAGAGACTCCAATTCGGATGCTATAAACTCCCCGAGATTCTTGCACCATGATATCCCAACAGCGTCTGATACTCCAACCCTTGCCTCTCCCACATTTGTAATATCGGATCCGAATGGATCAAACGATTCCCTGAACACCGCTCCTCTCGGAAGCACCGGAATGTCCGGAAGATCTTCGGTTTCGCTAAACAGCTTATCGAAAGGAGAAAAGCACGTTAGATTCTCGTTTCCCGACGTTACCATCGATCCTGAACCAGTGACATCGCCTGTCTCCGATTATGCAGAAAACCTCGAGTCACCCACAGGCCAGCTGCACCATTTCCCAGAAGCACCTGAAGACGTTAGTCCAGAGCAGTGGCAGTTCCAAAGAAGCTCGCAGAACCCACAGTACGAACGACCTCCCGTCATGCTTTCGGTCCTGCAGGAAGGATTACCGTCCGTGCCCATCAACACAGTTGACGATCTTTTGGCATATTATTATCAGGCGTGCTCTACGCGCAATGAAGAAGTGATTGATGCTGTTGTTACACGGCTGCAAGAGGCGATCTCATCAGGGGCGAGCACAGACAAACTGGATCTATCAGGTAATTGCCCATCTAATACCCAGTCGCAAGCGTGTCCCTCATGAATATGGTCTGCCAGGGTTGACGATAAACGCATATAACGTGTCACCTATTGCCGATTTGCTAGGCACAAATTACCCGTTCCAACAACTGTCACTTGATAACGCTGTATTGAGTGATGAGGTACGACCTGCACTTCTCCTGCGCTGTCAACTTCCAATTCGCCTAATATGTTGCTGTATAGGTCCTTAAGGTCATCCTGCAGTCCGCCATAAGCAGAGATAAAATATCCTCAGTTAGTTTACGAGGTGTCAAAAAGTTGCAGGGTAATGGATTAAAGTACCTGGCTGTATATGTCAAGAAGGTAAAGACTGAGGATACCAAATACTTGTTGCGGCTGATAGGGCTAGCATCTTAACGAGAGTATTTATCACGCTCTGTAAAGAGCAAGGCTCTAAAGTACCTTGATGTGTCGGGTATCGCGTTTGACTCACGCGGAATGTCGTATTTCGCGCACGGCTTAAAAGACAAGATCGGATTGGAAGTCCTTAAAATGGATCATTGCGATTTATCTGCCGCGTTGATGAAAATACTAGGCAGGTGACGATGACATGTTAGCATCAACTTCAAATTAAATACTCACTCTTCATTAGCCCCTGGCGTGGCAAGCTCGGATTTGGATACCCTCACTTTGTGCGGAAACCGTTTGGCGAAGGACTCTACGTCTTCGATTGCGGAGCTTCTGCGAACAGAACAACCCCAATCATATTTGAATCGACGTAGCAACCTTGTGAAAGGTCTGCGCCGGCTAGATCTTTCAGGAAACAACCTTGGGGTATGACATCTAATCAAACAACTTGCATGATTGATAGAGCTAATTTCGAACGGATCATATTGTAGAATGCAATATCCGCCTTTGCACCCGCTCTGGCAGAGAATAATCGTTTGCTTGAGCTCTCCTTGCGCGAAAACAAGCAGTTGAATGGACTGGATATTTACACGCTGGCTGACGTGCTGGTCAGTGAGACAGATGTTCGCCATCCGGATTTGTGAGAAAGTCTGACTTTCTGTGATCGTTAGAAAGTCAATAGCACTATTAAGGTTTTGGACCTGAGCGGAAACGCGCTGGATGGTGACAGACAACTGGACGCTGTAAGTTTCTTATTTTGGACAGAACTAGGGTGAGACCTATCGCTAGTTACCTTGCTTACGTGCTTGTTTACATCGTAGATCATTGCCTTGAAGGATGCTTTGATGGTGAATAAGAGCCTTACAAACCTTGCCTTGTCCAAAACCAATCTAACATCTGAAGGTATCTTGGAATGTTTCATTTCCGGAATCTTGTGCATAACCATAATCCGTGCTGCTATCAGGGACAATTGCGCTTGCTGAAGCACTGCCATTGATGCCAGCTTTGCAACGACTCAATTTGACTCACAATCCAATTGATATTGCCGGCGTAATGGCCCTGTCCGTCTCCCTTCGTATGAACCAGAGCATTGTTTCGCTAGAAATTGCTCCTCTTCTGCAGACGCGGAAGCATCAAGAGGTAGGACTCTATAACCCCCTGCTATTGACATATCGTGACATATCTGATATTGTGATACACCAATTGGATCGAATCAGGAAGATCCTGAGCTGGCGCGGTTACTCAATGACATTGATATGTATTGCCAGCGTAATGGAGAAATCCAGAAATCTCGAGCCGCCAAGGAAGTCAACATTGACACTCAGGGAACGAGCTCTGTAGCGCAAGCTGGATCAACACGGGAAGATTCCACCCACAATTCTCCCCAATCTGTTGACCGTGAAAAGATTCAAAGAGATATCCAAACAGCCGAGGAGACCGCCAGCGTTTTGGATGAAATAGTTGGTTCAATGAGGGCCGTGGAAGCTGTGCAACGAAGCAAGAGCAACGATGATTTATTGCTGGTACGGAGGAAGGTATCCTAGAACAATGCTCATAGCATAACACTTCCTTGTCGTATTCCAGCAACTGTACAATGAGACGAAAGGATTCCAGAACAAGCTGCAACAACTTGTCAGCGAGAACATTCACCTGGACGAGGATCTTTTAGGTGAGTCTTGGAATCTCTCGAGCACGGCCACGGCAGTGTATCTGACGACTTGTTTTTGCAGGGACAATATTATCGATCAATGATCGTCTGGAAAGCTCCACCTCTGCCTACGAGAACATACAAAAGGAATCTCTCAGCACCGTGCCGTCATCAACCTCGCCCCCGAGTCCATCACGACCCCCAGCTACCAATTCCCCAAATTCCGCATCCTCAACAGCCTCGCCATCCCACCTATCTGTATCTAACCCAATAAATCGAAGCGACAGTTTGTCCAATCTATCAGATCTGGATCTATTACGTTTGGATATTGAGGAAGATGCGACCGGAGCAGACATGCATCAAATGACCAGGGACAGCTTCAATGCAGAGTTGGATAACCAGGTAGGGGCAGTCCATTGAAACATATTGGTGACTGTACGTAACCAATTTCCTTCCACCTTTTTACAATTCTAAAGATGAAGGAAATTGATGATTTCTTAAACTCTCCAAAAGATTAGCAAAGTCCTTTGAGCCAGGATCGCGCTGTACGTAAGCGCTGCTGTTGCCATGGGAATGACTCATTCAACAGAGTTGGTTCAGATCTTCATGTTTCTGCTTTGCATGCCATTGTTGCAAGGTTTTTCCCCATTGCCGTTCATTATCCAACGGTTACTTTGGACTGGAAAAGGTCTAGCGATAAATAGATTTTGGACCTCGTTTCATTTGTCCACCCTCTTGCCGACCATTATGCAGGGGACGCGGTACTCGCCCTATTCCAATGTCCCAGCGGGAAGTTCCCGAGGTCGAGGTCGAGGCCGTGGTGCTTATTTTAAAGAAAAGTATGGGGGAGGTCGCTCAAGAGAATTGAGAGAAGAACGCTCTGGCCGGGACACTCCACCTACCGAAGTTATGAATAACTCAGAAGGCAATTGTCCAGTCCGCACAATGCGCGAACTTGCATCATACTTGATATCTATTGACCGCGGGTCATATGGCCAGTACAAGGGTATCAAAGGGTATTTCGCATTTGATGATGGCATGCAGTTATTTGTCGACAATGTCCAATCTGATCCCTTCGCACCGCCGTCCAAGTTCCGAGTCCGCATTCCCCAAGAGTCTGCCAGGTTCCCAGCAGACCTCTTCCGCACTCCTGTCCGCCGCGTCGCTTTGGAAGACTACATCACACGACAAATATCAACCCATGTTCGTAGTAACAAACTGCACACTCCCAGTAATGCAGGTGGAGGCGGGTGGCATGGACCAAAAGGTGCTGATATCAATATCGACACACCCGGACAACAAGTCCTTGAGCGCACATCCTTGTCCATTACACCTGCATTTGTAGAAGCTCGCCTAACCATCGGCCTTCCTGCGCAAGGACGTAGTATTTTGGGTAGACAAGCATGTACGCTTCTAACGGAGGTCCTGCCATCGCTTGCCGCCCAAACCATGCGCTATGCTGCTCTAGACGAGCAGGAGCTCCGCCAGTTTGTGGAAAGCGTGGAAGACCAACATACTCTGAGACAATTAGTCAAAGATGCTGGTTTGGTATCTTTTGTGAGAAATGGGGCGATTCTTCCACGGGAAAGTGGTGCGTCTGATCGCCCCATGCGGGGTGCAGACGTGATTCCGTTTGTGTCGCCCGATTCACTCCGAAGAGTGTTTACATTACCAAATAGAGGCGTTGTAGAAGGGATGGGTAGGTATTGCCGCAGACATCACGTTCTTCGGTTTCTAATAGCCGAACATAGGAGTTCCTCGGGGAATTACACTTATCGTTGGTGGAGGTTTTCATGGAAAGTCCACACTGCTTGATGCGCTCCAAGTAGGCATATACAATCACATTCCGGGTAAGGTCTCTGTGCTCGCATGATGCGCGAGAAATAACCGCTGACCGTACGTTGCAGGCGACGGCCGTGAGTTTGTGGTCACTGATGAATCAGTCATGAAGATCCGTGCGGAGGATGGGAGGTTAGGAAGAGCTTATCAGGCACTCTGATTGGCCATACGAACTGGTGACTTACGATCCGTCGTTCTTTAGAAGCGTTACATCCGTGGACATTTCCCCTTTTATAAACAACTTACCGTTTGAGAAGGACACTACCCACTTTTCTACTCCCGACGCCTCTGGTTCAACAAGTATGGCAGCCAACATGCAGGTATGATGAAGGATCCATAAACTACCATATAGCGCCATGGTAACATTTGCCCCGCAGGAAGCTCTGGAGGTCAGTCATTCGTGAATCTAATTGATGGATCAAGTATTGATACAATCTGCAATTAAACAGATTGGCTGCCGGGGGTTCCTTTTTGATGAGGACACCTGCGCGACCAATTTCCTTATTCGGGATCGGCGGATGGAGCTACTAGTTAGTAAAGAGAATGAGCCAATCACCCCGCTGATCAGCAAGGTTAGTTATCCTGGGGATCTTGACATTATGAGGCACCCTTGCTAATATTAATGTAACAGATTCGATCCTTATACACCGAGAAGGGATGTTCTTCTATACTGGTTGTGGGTGGATGTGGAAGTTATCTTGATGTGGCTGATGTCGTGATCTCAATGGAGAGTTACGTCCCAAGGTCGGTCACATGAGTGAAGGTGGTATTCTTCAAAAGACTCACCTGAGGTATAATCCCAGAGATGTGACACGTAAAGCAAAGAAGATTGCTGCTGATTTGCCTGTGGCTCTGGAGAATGGAGGTAAATGTTGATAGGACATGCACGTTATTTTCGCAGGTTTACTGATTCTCTCTCAAAGATCTTCCCTATGGGCCAATCACCGATCGTATCATCGTACCTAAATCACACGCCAACAATGTACCCGTTCAGCACGATTGGCACTCTGAAAAAGGTGCATCCGAAGACTCGCCACTTCCACAGCAACGGCGATCCGGCAAATCAAAAGCAATCCACACTTTTTTGATCAGTCTCGACGGAGTTGACGTGAATCTTTCTGCCCTTGAACAACTGGCGCACCCTTCACAAGCACGGTGTATCGTTGATGCTGCTCTATACGTACGGGATAAGATGCAAGGCGAATCGAGATTAACTCTTAAAGAGCTGGTGGCTGCGTTAGAAAGGGAGTGGGATGAAAAGGGTATCGATTGCGTACATCCATTCGCATGGCCAGTTGGGAACTATGCCCGACCAAGGGGCTTAGAGGTTGCTGGTGCTTTGAATAGGCTGAGAGGACTTGTCGTGGAATAGCATTTCGAGGACGGTTTGACGATGTATTTTAGCTGTGGATATTTAAGCTGCCTACCTGTGAATCAAAGTAAAACACCATTCCCCGCAACGTATGGCGAAATCCACTGGCCACCCAGGATAGACAGGCGTAAATCCACGGAGATCATCATTTAGGTTGTTTCGTGGTTTTTCGACAATGAACCTGTTGGATAACAATTAACAGGTATGAATGTTTGCTATGGATCGCCTTTGTAGCTGTGAATTCCAATATCGCTAGCAATTTCGAAAGAATAATATTCATCAAAAAAAAAATTATAGGACAAAATGACAGATTCCTTTTCAATTGAGGTAACTCGTCAGCTTGTTACAGAACCCTCCGCTGGAGTGTACACCATTTTCCCTTGAGCGTCTTCCACATAATGTCTTCTAAGGTATTTTTCCATAGCTGGCAGTTGGGCAAAGTGCTGCTTGGCAGCAAAGTGCTTCTGCAATATCTTTCGCACAAACTCTTCAGAGTAAAGTTCTTCTGGATCTGGCTGGCGGTCATGCGTAGCCGCCTCGGCTTTTGTCAGCAAAATGCAATTCCATGGGCTCAACTCAACATTGGGATTCCATCTTGTGAGGACGAGACTCTCCAATGCCCTGCTCCCGCTAACTGCGCTCTGACGATTCCAAACCCGATCCACTAGGTATCGCATATCGGATTCCTGAAGAAGGGATATTGCATTGTAGTGCGCATCTGTTGGTACCCCTGATGAAGCTCTTCGTTGAAGTTCTTGTAGGCGAATAAGTTTTAACAAGTCCGAGTAAATAGAGTCATCCTTTCGCGATGTCGCCAAGTTCTCTTCCGTTGTGCATGTTTTACATTTGCCCAGGTGTTTCATAGTGGTTGAAAGGTAGAATGCTGTGGAAGGTAGGTAGCGTGTGCAGCTTCGACAGTAGTAGACGGCTTGATCTCGCTTCCAGGATTGGCCTGCGTCAGGGAACTGTTTTGCAACGACGTATATCAGCGAGAGGAAATGGAAAAGATGAAGGGGATTGAAAATACCTTTTGGTATAAGCCCGCCTCTGGATTAAACTCTGGCGTCTGAATGAATTGCAAAAATAGATTGCTAATTCGCTTTCGGAGCCCTGAATTTATGGAATTGTTGGCGAATCCCGAACTGCACGATGGTGTCAATGTTCATTTACCTTCCATAGTCTTGGCATCCCGACCACGACTGACCAAATCTCCTTCTCGGTCAATGAGCTCCACAATCTCTCTTGTCAAATTGCAGTCAAATTCCTGGAATTTACGGTCATTAGAGGAAACTGGTATGAACTGCCAACATAGAGCCATACCTTGACCGTGTACTTGACATGTAACAATATCTGCAACCTCTCGTCGACCGACACAAGAGGCACATTCAGCGCGTGGTAGAGATCCCGTAACTCGCGAGCACGAATGGTGTTGGGAGTATCGACGGATACGATGCCGACCTTTTCTACCATCCATTTTTTGGAGGAAGACATCTGGAAATGTACCGTCTAAGTGAACCAAAATAGCGTAAAACTCTTTCCATCGGCTAACTAACCGCCTCCAGTAGCCGCACTATCTTTCGCTCTCTGTTTTCTTCATTTGCGGCAATCTTTAAGCGATCAATCTTTTGGATGAGTGCTGCTTCTTGATCCAAAAGATCTGCCAGAGCAGCAAGGCGAGCGGGTTCTGAATAGCCAGCTTTGTTGATCTTTAGTGTTTCTTGCTGACGCCAGCCTATGATTGTCAAATAGTTGTTAGTACGATATCAACGGACGCATTTCGAGTGCTTCGTTATTATGACGTACTCTCGAGCCCATTGTACAATATTTCGAAATCTTTTGTCGTCTTTGGATGCAAGCGACTTTCAATTTCTTTTCGTCTTCGTTTTTCAGCTAATTCCTTGCGTCTTCGTTCTTTCTGGAATCAATACCATAAGTTAGTAAGGACGCCTACAATGTTGCCGTCATGGTCCCGATATCAACAGACCTCCATCATGGCCTGTGTCCGCTCGTCCCGCTCTTTTCGCAATCGTGCCACCCGTCTGCAGGCCTTCACTCGACGGACCCAGCACTGCAATTTTATCACGTTTGATATTATCCATGCATCATGCTCGTCGGCCGAAATGTAGCGCCTTGGTCTGAGAATGTGGTCGTTTTCGACGGAGACATAGCAGCCTGGTTTGGTCTATTATGTCGGGCAAGGATAAGTACCTAAACAATTTGCAGGGGTGCGAGACAATAATTACCATTTGTGTCGCAGATTCTCGAGTGGACTGAGTACGCCGGTTGCGCAGGAATTTGGTTTGGGTATCTCTGTGGAACTTTAGAGGGGCATTCTACAGGAGTGTAGGATAAGGAATGCCATCTCATAGAGTCCGGGTGCAAGTGATGTATTCTCACCCTAGCTCTGATCTCTTGTGGTGTTGGTGTTTGTGTCTCGGCATGGAAATACTCGACTTCACTTCGCCGGTCTCGATATCCTCCGTAATAGCGTTTTTGATGCCATTCATCGAGTCGGGTGTGAAGGCCCGTTCTGGCAAAAAGATCATCTGATTGCAAAGAGGATTTAGAAAGAACAAGATATGTCGCTTCTACTTCAAAATACCTACCGATTTCCGCCTCGGTAACTTCATCAGGTGCCGCAGGAAGGGATGAAGCAGCTACGTCATCCGGAAGTACAGGCTCGCTGATTCCAGGCTCCGGGACATCAATAGCCTGCAGCGAGTCTGCCATTGGGTCTAGTATCTCTCCAGTTTCTAGCATTTGCTCTTCCTGCAGAACCCCAATATTCATCTGCTCAACCGCGGTGACCTCCATCACATGCTCTTCCTGCACGACCCCAATGTTCATCTGCTCCATCTCTGTGACTTCCATGACAGTTGCTCCAATCGGCGTTCCAACGTCTCTATTAACAGGAGTTTCTGAGTTCTTGGCACGTTCAGTCATGCTTGTCGTAATTGTGGGTTGCTCTCCTTCCATCGTCGGTTCTAGTGAAGTTTTAACATCTTCACTCTCGGGTCGAACGTCGGAAGCCTCGACGGGTTCAGTCATCAGGGTCGTATTTGTGGACGGGTCTGCTTCCGGTATTGGTTCTGGCAAAGTTCCAATAGGTTCATCAGTGGGTTGAACTTCTGAGTTTGCGACGGATTCGGTGTCAAGGGTTGCGTTTGTGAGCTGTTCAGCTTCCCGTGTCGGTTCTGGTAAGGTTCCAATAGGTTCATCCGTGGGTTGAACTTCGGAGGCTTCGATGGGCTCACTCGTTATTGTTGAATCTGTGGGCTGGTCTGCGTCCGGTATAGGTTCAGGTAAACTTCCAATAGCGTCACCCGTGGGTTCAACTGCAGAGCTCTCGATGGGTTCAGTCATAAGGGCTGCATTTGTGGGCTCCTCCGCTTCCAGCGTGGGTTCAGGTAAAGTTCCATCTGCGGGGACATCAGCTTCAACATCTTGTCCAGCCGTATCTGCCAGTTGTTCAGACATCATAGGCATAGATCAGTGATCAGTCATCCCCAGGATAATTTCAATTGCATAGCGCTGATCGGACTTGTCGCTTACTAAGAGCTTACGAATCAATCATGGTGTGTGCGCTTTCCACTATTTTGTTCACCATTCCAGCAATGCAGTAACAGATGCTTCCTAAAATGTCCCCCTGTAGCAGCAGTAACTTGTGGCTGGCAAGAAGAAGAACAGCATATGTGAATTAGACTCTGCTGTTTGGTTTCGCAAAAAGTCTACGTTTCCACAGTCAACCTGACTAGCAGTTGAGTAGATTGAACCAAGTATTGAGCGAACTATAGATCATCTACAGCCTTTACATCGGCAAAGCCCATGTGCAAAGTTCATTGAGGTCTATCCCCCAAAAGAGGAGTCATTTGGTGGAGATGGGTGTCAACCATGGATATTACCTTTTTGAAGATTATCGCTTTGGCGGAACACGACCACCGTTATTGCACAGATCAACAGCAGCCAATGCAGAAATATGGACGGGCCTTCAATGCTTCAATGTCGTCTTGACCATGTCCAGCTGCTGGTGACGGCGTCCAGTCGAGAAGGTTCATCATCATATCGGGATTTAACGGGATCTTGCGGAAGAACGAGCGCGTCAAGGGGAAGCTAGGGGTAGAACGTGCTTCTACAAATCCACGACGATTGGTCCTACTTTCAAGGGGCTAGAAGATCATCAGACCAGCTTACGTGGCATTCCCCAGCCACAACGCGCAGTCGCGCTCGGTTATAAAAAGGCACCCTTCCCTCGTCCCCCCGTTCCCCCGCAAGTGGTTGAGATGGACTGTGGGCTGCGATGGCGTGGGGCAGCTGCTATATGCCCAATGATGCCTTCGGGTTGAGGGGATATACCCAATGAGGCCTTCGGGCGGAGGGAGGGCCTGAGTGGGTGGTTGCATGGACTGCAGTCGCGTTGGTTGGGGCGGCTGCTATACCCGATGATGCCTTCGGGCGGAGGGAGGACCTGGATCGTACCATAGAGGTTCGATTCCTCTCTAGTCTTGGTCTGGTGGACTGGACCTCCAAAAAAACAATGTAAATTCAAGACTATCATTTTGGCGCTTTCGCAAATGGCTCCAGTCGAGCATAGTGCTGGTCGAGCAAAAAGACATGTACTCGCAATCTCTCAACATGGTGAAAGCTGGAAAAAAATATACAGTGGTTGCGGGATTGACACAGTTCATATGGCTGAATGGGAAGCACACTGAAGAGGCCAGAAGTTGAAAACTAGAAAGCAGTGATTCTAGCACACACGTTCACCCTCCAAAGGTTATCAAGTTCTTCTTGAGCTATCTAATGGTCGTCCTAGATGTTGACAGTACCTAATTTGTTCTTCATCTCAATGGGGCGTATTTGCTGTCTGCAGATATGCTAGTGAATTCTACACAGCAAAATCCTCTCGCCAACCATCGAAGCACGCTACTGACAGATGCATTCAGGCAGAGTACAGTCTCTTCTCTTCCATAGCAGCTTGGCTGCCCAACGAAGGAAATCACAGTAGTTGGGCAACTAGGAATGCTACTATCCTTATACAAATCAGGCACTAAGACAATATATTTTAGACGGAAACGATCCGTTGGTCCCCAGTGACAGCTCACTTCCGGCAAGACATTGTGCTGAATCCTTATCCGACCTTTTTGATGGATGTGAAATTGATGCTTGCTTCCTTTCAGGAAAGAAGCAGTGGAATCAAAAGGTACTGTATAGTGCAAAGACAAGGAAGGAGAGAGAATGAAAGCATATGGTAGATACTTTCAAAATCTGTGGTTGGCGGCATGAAAGGTTACGAGTGTTCTTTGTTTATCTTGATGCCCTTTCAAGCCTTCCCAACGTATGGTGGCACAGTCATGCATCGGTTGGAAATCGCTGGTCTCGTCGTGTGGTTTTTGGGGCTCACTTGCTCTCATCGCGGAAATTCAACAAACGACGACATGCAGGTGTTGAAACCGAACCCAACGTTGGACAAGCTTTGTCGCTTCCTTAACTCTGTTAGGTCTGCAGTACACAGCTGGGACAACGTTCTGCAGTGGTGTGATCACTAACTCTTGTTCTTATCTTACAGGGGTACCGACAAAGTCTTGATGGTGAGGTGATGCAGCTCGCGGTATTACGGAGGAGAGTTTGTTGATGTCTTTTCTATCGTGTATACAGCTGGTCCAATATGTCTCGAAAATCCTCATGTGGCACCTGAAGCGCAAGGATCCTTCCTCTACCCTTGCTACACGTATTCTCAACCTGGCTGGCCCAGTCGCTGACTTTAGGATTCTCCTCCGCTACTATGGTCTCATTCCTCTGTTGCAATGGACCGCTTATTCGGAACAAAATCCTGCCCCAACACGCAAACTGCAACTCCTGGGCCGTCTTCAGAATCTCTCCAACTTTTGCTACTATCCTCTGGAGCACGCTTACTGGCTCGGTCTTCACGATGTGATTCCAATGAAGCCCGAGACTAGAGACAAGATTGGGATTTGGTCCTGTCGATTCTGGGCTGCTTACGTTGTTCTGTACTTTGCTCAGCTATGGGAGGAGCACAAGGAGCTCGCTGTCCGCGAACGGGCCCTGGCCAAGAAAAAGTTGAAGGTGGGCGGCGATAAGGATGTTGATGCAAAGGAGCTTGCTGTGGAGAGACAGGCTTTGAAGAACGAAAGGAAGGGCTTGCTTGTCAACACCATCATTAATGCGGCCTACTTCCCATTGACTGTGCACTGGTCTTTGGAAACTAGCTCGTTCCCTGATGTGGGCGTTGGGATTTGCGGTACCATCGCGGCGATTGCCCAGCTTTACACTGCGTGGAAGTCGAGTTAGGAAATGCAATTAGTGCCTTGTACATTGGACCTCGTTGATACTAAAATATGACATGGTAATCATTTGGCGGCGAAAGTGCTCATGATATGTAAACTGTGGCTGCGATGATCCAGAAGGTTCAAGTTCTAATTTCAATGTATATAAATATAAACGGCCGAGCCCATCACCAAAGCACCATTTTACGGTCGGAAAGTCTGCCGCGCCGTGAATGGATCCCACACACCCTCCACCCGACCAGCCATTTTATTCCCGCCCTTTATCACTGGTTGACCCCGTTTTACTCTCTTCTCCTCGCCGTCCATCGAATCGCATAAAAAGGCCACCTGTTTCTCAATCTGCTCCGGAGTGAACTTTGAGCACGAAATTGCCTTCACCTTTCCGTTGGCGTACGTGGCAACGAGCTTTGGGGGCGACGCTCGGCGGGGTTGAACGCAAATCTCAACGTATGGTCTTTCGGCTGCTAATGTTGGAAGTCGATCCAAGAGAAATTTGACCATTCCTCGAGAGTTTCCACCAGCGTCGATACGAGGGTGGTCGTAATGAATTGTGAGTTTAGTTATTTGAGGTACGAATGCACCACCTGCACCATTGTGCGTTCGTGACGTCAAGTCCTGATAAAAAAGACATGAATGAGAGATGCTCCTATCCTTTCCTCCTCTTTTCCTCACCGTACCTTTGGTGGAAGGATCCGTTTGTGCAGACCTGCCTCTTGTAGCTTCTTGATAAGCGTTTTTGGAGTCGACATGATGCCCGCTCTGCTTCAAGGGTGAAAGTACGTTCGTATTAGAAAAAACATAAACCAAATGCATAATAGCAAGGTGCCATCTACACCGCATGGGCAATACGGAAGCATGTATTCCCTACCTTGCTTTCCTTTACAGTTGGAATCCCTCGCGGCTGGAGTTGCATCTTCCCAAGTCAAAGACTTTCAATTGTGGTGAGATGACTCAGTATCCCCATGGTAACGAGGAACGCGCTTCGCTCATGAAGCGGACTCTACGCATCTTGCGAGTTGCATCCTACTGGTTCATGTCATGCTACGATCGTCCAAGCGGGACCGTGCGTCTCGAGCTGATAAGAGTTTGAACCACGTCGGACCCAGGTCCTCATTTCAGCACGACGCCGGCGACAAGCATGACGATGAGATTACGAGTCGCAAAGAAGGACCCTCACAGCGAAGACTCTTGAAGCTCTACCTATTACTCTTTTGCTATCGTGCAGCCAATGCTCTTTTCGTTCGTACTTATTATGATCCCGATGAGTATTGGCAGGCACTAGAAGTTGCTCATAAACTGGTCTTTGGATATCCTTTCTGATATTTTCTAGTTCTCTAAATATAAGCAGTAAATGTCCTTAACCAGAGCCTTGTCTTTTTTCCTTTTTTTGTTATGATCGAACACTTACGGGTATCTTACGTGGGAATGGACACATAAGATTCGCGGATTCGCACATCCATTGATTTTCACTTTCATTTACAAAACGCTGGCGGTTTTGGGATTGGATGAGACAGAACTTTTGGTAACGAGCCATGTTCTGATTTGCTCGTCAACCAATAAGTCTTTGATACTTGGTTTGGTATAGATTGTAGCACCACGTCTCGTCCAAGCGGGATTCGCTGCCGTGGGTGATATCTACACGTATTTGTTGGCATACAGACTCTTTGGTCATGGTGCTGCCAAATGGGCGGTATGTACGGTTTGTGATGGGATACCTGACACTGGATCTTGATGTTCCTATATCCATCGTTGATGTAGCTCATGTGTTCCGTGTTGTCCTGGTATACGTTTTTCTGCGGGATTCGGACTTATTCGAATAGCATGGAATCGGTCCTCACTGTGGCTGCTCTCTACTATTGGCCGTGGACTAGTGAGGGGAACCTCAATCATATGCACCGAAAGTATGACGGTTACATGACCGAATCAATGACTTTTGTGAATAGTTTAATCATTTTGGGTTGGTATAGGCATTTTCGAGTAGCTTTAGCGGTTGCATCCCTTGCTTGTATTGTTCGCCCTACGAACGCAATCATCTGGTTGTACCTGGGCGTCAACCTCGTTTGGAAAAACATCAGAATGTGGAAGACAATTGCATTAGACGCTTTAACGCTGGTGTAAGCTCGTTCTTTAATGTATTGTCCTTGGAACATCCGTAACGAGCCCTACGACAGGTTCCTTGCGTTGCAAACGTCCGTCCTCATCGACTATATCTTTTATAAAGAATGGACTGTTGTCCCGTACAACTTTATCCGGCAAAATCTTGTGGAGGGCATCGCATCCTTTTACGGGAACCATGCTTGGCACTGGTACTTTTCGCAAGGATTTCCTGTCATCACTTTCAGCTTTCTCCCTCTCCTTGTGTGGGACACCCTCTCTACCAAAGGTCACCAAGCTCCAATGAGAGGCAGGTTACTGAGGCTAGTGTTGTGGACACTCAGTGTTTACACCCTCTTGCCGCATAAGGAGTTCCGCTTCATTTTTCCCATACTACCGCCTACCATTGCCTTAACTGGTGCGGCTATCCATAGGATTGAGTCTTGGACGGACAAGGCTAAAGCAAGGAGGTGTCTTTATCGGAACCGGATTCCGCTGCTCGTCACGTTCCTGGTGATTACGAATGGATTAGCGGGGTACTATTTAGGCATCCTTCATCAACGTGGAGTCGTAGATGTGATGAATTGGTTGCGAGAGGAAGCGGCTCATGAACGAATCGACGGAATTTTGTTTCTCATGCCATGTCATTCGACCCCATTTTATAGCCATCTACACCGAAATGTGTCGATGCGATTTTTGACCTGTGAGCCCCCTGTCGGGTATGATGTATTGCTCCAATGCATATTTAATTAGCTTATTCACAGGCAGTTCTGATTCTTTAGGATTGACCCAAGCACGTACCAAGATGAGGCAGATATCTTTTATCAAAGCCCCAAGTCATTTATAGAGAAGTATTTTGATCCCAATATGAGGAGCATCGGGGTCTCCACGACAGCCTACCATGACGACACCATACCTGTGCCTGGTCAACATTGGCGAATACAACGATTTTACTGGCCGAGTCATGTTGTCATTTTTGAAGCACTATCGAGGGATATGCTCGATATTTTCAAAGGGTCGAACTATGAAGAGGTCAGATAGAGGTACCGGAGCAGTGATATATATATGTATCTAACGGGCTATGTATTCTAGTGTGAACGATTCTTCAACTCGCATTTTCACGATGATCCACGAAGAAGAGGCGATGTAATCGTTTATTGCCGACGCCTAAGCAATGAGATACACACGAAATAACGGCTATGGCCATCAACCTTGGTTCTAAACTTTCCCTAAAATGAACCAACCAAGACCCTCTCTTTCGCCTATGTACATGCTATTCTTGCAATCTACCCACATTGAACACGAAATCAGTCAATGCGCTACTCCAGGAGGAGGGCGGTCGATGGCGAGTTCCACACCATGGTTTAATGGCACTACCTCGCTTCCACAATATTTACATTTCCTGGCTTTCTCGGGAATCTCTTCTAAGCACCAAGGACAATCCCGATATCTCTTCAAGAACTTGGATCCTTTGTGCAAAAGCTTTGTGTATGCCTTTATGAGAAAGAATAGTATCACTGCGATAAGGAAGAAATTGATGATACGTTGGATAAAATGCCCGCTGTAACAAGAATTTAATGGTGAGACAGTTAGACAATATATGAACACTCGTACATACTAGTTGAACGTAATTGCACCGACTGGTCGCCAATGTTCTCGTGTTAGACATTCTGCTGGCTTGAAGCTATGCCAAGAATTTCGGATACCTACCTGCATGTGCCTGCTGTGGGGTCTTTGGATCTAGACACAATTCTTCATGTTGCTTGCACGCTTCCGAATTCATATCAGGGGCCTTCAGAAGAATGAACGCATCTTCCAGCTGATTGCCCACAACCAAAGATAGGATAGGGGACAAGAGATCGTCCACCAAGGAAGTGACAATGGAAGAAAATGATGCACCAATGACAATACCAACGGCCAAGTCAACTACTTTGCCACGATTGATGAATTCCTGCGGCGAAGAAATGAATATAGAAGTCTGGACTGCTATTTCTTTCTTTTTTTTTTTTTCAAAGGGAACTTACTTTAAAGTCCTCCCAGTTTGACCGAGTCACTTCGCGTGCCATTTCGGCCGCTCGTGGGAGGAGCGGTTGATGCTCGGTGGTCCTCGGCGGCATATCGACGGCCTTTGTATGAGAGGAAAGTTGAGCGCAAGATGGTCGAGTGCAAGCTTTGAAGGCAAACGGATCTGATGAATCATTGCTGACGTCAGGGTCCGACAGGCACGTGGACTGGATTGTGACTCATCGCTCGTGCTTTTCCCAAAAATCACCTCGATGCTCAAAGGATCTTGCGGAGCTCCAAGAAATTATCGGTTAACAATATCGCTTTGAGGGGTTTGCAACTTTGAGATCGGTAAAGCAGAGTAGCGATATTGGTAGGCTTGGGTGCGACCGATTGCCGGCTCAGAAGCGTTTTTCCTACTCTTCAGCGATTGCCAGGCGGCAAGCCGCCAAATGCCTGCTCACAGAATTGGAGTCCGGGAAGGCGACATTCGACAGCGCTTTTTTCGTAAAAGCCAACAATCTCCCTTGGGTTATATCCACGCTGGTGCTCGTCGCTCATGGCCTCAGTGCATTTGTAAGCGTAACCTCTCCGGCGTTCCTGGACGAATAGGCGAGAGGATTAAACAGACGACAGATCAGGCAGAGTTTCCATTATTAAGCAAAGGATGTAGAGGGAAGGTGCCTGTGAAAACGGGAAACTCTGGGGGCGAAGTAGCAGGACGAGTTGCGCATCGAGCGGGCGTGTTTGGGGTAGCAGGCATGCGATACAACTTCCATTCAATCATTCGTCATTCGCGATGGAGTCGAGGCGGGATAAGAGGAATGGCGCATTGGGCCGATTTTGGGCACAAAACAAAGTCTCAAGCAACAGCAGGAGAAGCGAATTTTCCACATTCCACAAGCGCATCAAAAGAGAGTCATGTCCGCCCAGTCGTTGCGTTTCGGCGCAACTTCATCCCTCATAGTCAGCTCCAACAGTCCTTTGCAAGCGAGACAACATACCCCTATTATATTTCTGACGCAAATCGCCGAACATTGAAAGCGATAACGCATGTAGAGCTATCTCCATACGCAAGCAGAAATATCATTCTAGCATCGCCACATCCTGGGGCTCCACTGTTTCTGGAAAACACCGTCAAAGCCGTGGCTTTCGATCTTGGAGCAGACGTATTGACCCTCGATTATCACACCATGCTTCAAGCAGTCCGCGAGATTTCTGGCAAAGAGTCCCCAAAACCGTCGGGCAGAGAACGAAGCAGTTTTGTGACAGGTGAGTTATTGACTACATTAACGGTCACATCAGTCGTCGTCTGAACCAAATGTGAGGTGAACTTACGAAACTTGTAACACCAGGCCGTACAGAAAATCCAGAGTACCTGCAAGTTTCCGAATCATTTTCCCCTGCAATGTTCAACACAGTTACCGCGAAGGAAGCTGAGGGTATTGATGATGAAGACGAGGAGTTTGATGATGAGCATGATATCGAAGAAGATGACGATGATGTAGATTACCATGCTGTCGCTTCTGGTTCACGGAACTTGCCATGGGTAGGCAATTATCGCGCATCTGAACCGACACATCCTCTGGTGGTTACTTTCAATGTGGGGGAGCGGAACGGAAAGACGGAAGATTGTTCCACCATGAGTGGTACCTCCGAGGCACCTTCGTCAAATCGGGTATCGGAAGCCCATATTAGTCCTATAGCCGGATTACCTATAAAGATATCTGTTGCTAGCGCACCGTCTCCGCCCACAGCACTTCCAGTGGACACTCTTCTCGCCAACATGCACAAGGATGCGCTTGGTAAAGGATCTCATTATGAGGAACCTCTAACTAGCTTGGAGCTGCGTGAAGCATCGAAAGCCCTCGTAGACTTCATCAAGACGACATGTTCCAGTTTTCCAAAGTCCTTGTTAACAAATTTACGATACCCTCGTCGATTAATTATCTATGTGAAAGACATGACGGATATTTTGGAAGTAGGAGGCGAGAGCGGAAAGCGGGTAGTACTGAGCCTTCTTGATGTGGTGGCTCGTGTTAGACATAACATTCCCGTGGTGCTCATCGGCGGGTGCTCACCAACACTACTCCATCCGGGCAACCTTGATCGAACGGTGGAATTTTATGAAGACTTATTTGAAGGGTCTGTGCGAGCGTCGGGACGTCTTTCACCAGAGCAGGAACGTATCTGGACTGAAGGAACCCTCTTCCGCACGCCTTTGGACCGAATGACGAAAGATTTTGAAAAAGTGGAAATGCTGCCTCCGGCCCCTTACTTGTTGTCTGACAGTGAAAATACTGCAACAACGGCTGACAAAGAGAAGCTTGGGATCTGGCTGGAAACAATGCAAAAAGATTTACGCCGGCGAATTAAGGAGGTCAACTGGCAAAGGGTGGAGGCAATCTGCGGCCAAAGAGGTGTGACAATACGAGGTTTAGATGTATCTGCTGTCACAACAGAGGACGCGGATCGCAATGTTGTACCGCCTTCTTTGCAAGGCGGGCTGCACCTGTTGGAGCAGTCCATCTGGCCTCGTCATCGTGTCGAGAGACTGGTGTCCTTGGCGATGGGCTTCAGGCTAGAGCTTGCTAGTGGTGGTGAGTCTTCGGGACGGGACGATCATATGTTGCGAGGACCTTTGGATCTGTCGGCGAGACACTTTGCTGAGGCACTCCAATTGATGCGAAATGGGGCGTCCCAAAGGCCATCGAGCAAATCGGTTGAAGGTGCAGAGCAACGCGTCGTGCCGGCGAGGACTGGAGAGCAGCATGAGGATGCAAACGCCGTTCAGGAGCAGGAACAAGCGGCGAAGACTGAGGTAGCAGATTCGGACACTGTTCTACAGCAGCTGAAAAAGGACGGGATACGGGTTGAATCAGCGTGAGAAGCGTCTTGTCTCTACTGTTGTCAATCCAGGTAGGCATTGCACAATTCATATGTCGAATCGACCTTGATGATCTTACTTGTGGTCATCTTTATTAAGATGCCATTAAAACAAGCTTTAACGACCTGATTCTTCCAAACTCAACGAAGCTAATGCTTCAAACTGTCGTCACGCTACCTCTTCTCAGACCCGATTATTTCGCGCAAGGCATTCTGTCCCGAAATGCCATAAACGGTGTCCTCTTGTTTGGACCGCCGGGAACGGGAAAAACCATGTTGGCCAAAGCTGTAGCGAAAAGCTCGGGAGCCCGCTTCATGAGTGTGGCCCTTTCTGACGTTTTTGATAAATATGTTGGGGAAGGAGAGAAAAATGTCAAAGCTGTTTTCACACTGGCTAGGAAGCTCTCTCCTTGCGTCGTGTTCTTGGATGAGGTGGATGCGCTTTTTGGAGCAAGAAGGAGCGATGCGGCCCACGCTAGTCGACGGGAGATCATCAACGAGTTTATGAGCGAGTGGGACGGGTGAGTAGCGTGCCTTAATGAATATGCAACTGAGAGTTGAGCTGACACGTTGTTAGGTTGACGTCGAATAATGCGGGAATCCTCATTATGGGAGGTGTGTATAATTAGATAGATGGGTATATTTGATTTCAGCGCACCGGGGTACTAAGGTGACATCATCACTAGCAACCAATCGGCCGTTCGACCTAGATGATGCTATCCTGCGAAGGATGCCACGACGTGTATTAGGTGCGACATTTTTATGTTCATTTGTCTGTAGTCACTAGTTCCAATATGCTGACTCTGAATTGTAGTCGACCTACCTAACGAAGAACAACGTGCTAAAATCATAAATCTGCACCTCCGCGGCGAAGATGTTGATGCATCCTTAGATGTCGTTGATCTGGCTAAGCGCACTGCGTCCTACTCTGGTAGCGACCTGAAGAACCTTTGCGTCGCTGCGGCAACCGCGCGAGTCAAAGAGTCTCTAGTCAGGGAAGCAAAAGCGGGTACTGCGGAAGATGAACAGGCAACTACAGAGGATTTACTGAAAGAACTGGACAAGTTTGAGGATATTGCCAGCGTTGTTGCTGCATCCGCAACGACATCTACTACTGTGGGTCGAACTCCACCTATGGGTCGAAAATCGGCTTCCCGTGCCACTACTGTTCCCTCTGCGGCTTCGAAGCTCGGTCCACTTAAACACTCACATTTTGACGTGGCATTGAAAGAAGTACCCCCCAGCTTGACTGATGAGATGCAGACATTGGTCGAACTGCGCAAATGGGATGAAATGTATGGAGAAGGAGCTGGGAGGCGAAAAGGGAGTGCAAAGATGGGATGGGGATTTGATATGGGTATGCTGGGCCAGGATGGCGAGCGGAAGCTGGAACTGGAGCGGAGCAAACCATTGGAGAGAGAATAACATATATTTAGTGGTGCATTTTTGTATAGATAATTTGATATTATGGCAGAACGTATGCGTTACGTGGGATATTTATGTTACTGAGCATGACAGAGTCGCATAGAGGACGTACTCGCTGTATCTCGGATAACCGGGCTTCGGGTCCACCGACTGTAATGAGAACAGCAAGGGTTGCTGGGCTGTCTGTGATCCCTGTAGTACCGCCCACATTTAATCGGTAGAGGTCTCTTCATCTATAGTAGGTCTGTAAACACTTGGCATCAGCTCCTCTCGTTATCCTTTATCATCATCCACTCGTCGCCCTCGAACTGGAATCTTTACGGCCTCTGCTCTCATGCTGAGATTCGGTTCTACTGGCGCACGGTAGCCCTTCCACCACCTATACCCCGAAAACAATGGTGGCGAGGGATGAATAGCTTCTAGTCGATGTTCCTTTATCAATCCCTCATCATCGAATACATAGACGAACACTCCTTCATATACTGATCGTGGAGTGGCCAGGATATCCATGTTATTGGCAATCAGCTGGTGCCGAGGGGTGCCTTCGAATATCCATCGCACAACTAATCGCACTCCACTTCCGTCCCCATCAAGTTCCGATTGCTCAGGTTCAGCATCCTGGGTTTTGTCGCCAGCGGCCCTTTCTGGCCCACGCATCTGCTGCATCTTGATAATGTTCAATTCACCCTCGGCAAAATACATCCTCAATAGTGTTCGGGTGGAGCCAGCAAGAAACTTGTACCATCGCCGACCACGACAGCAGAATTTCAAGTGGTAAGGCTCCGTGAAAGCCACTTCTTTCGAGTAAATATCAAACGTGGTCAGCCCTTGCTCCATGAAACTTGGTAGATCGTCTCGCAGGATGCGAGTGGCTGTTCCAATGTTGATATAGTAATCGGGATCGTGTTTATCGGGGGAGGCAGACGCGGGAGATGTAGCCTGACGATGGCTCACCATCCGTGAATACATGTTCTTTCGTTGAGCCAGACAGGAGTTCAAAGAATGGAGAGTGGCGGGAAGAGTTATGGGTGGTACGCTTCGGTGGTGCGTATGCCTTCTACGATGTTGATAGAGCAAGCATGTTGCGGGCAACGGAGGGGAGTGAGCCCACGTTCGGGCGGTGCGCGTACATTCACCATGTGCTATAACTACATTGCAAAATCGGATACTGCGAACACCGGATGACCACAAAAGTTTGCCCATGCTAATACAATGAACCGCTTTCGTGCTGGCAAAATCAGTCAATTAGACAACTGGCCGTGACCATAAAATAAATGCGAACCTACTCTGGACCTCACTAGAAGATAGGCTGAGATGACCATATGAGTTTTTGTTCGTTTGCGGGAGTGACAAGTCGAGTCTTTCGGTGGTCGCCGTGCCAGATCGTGCGTGATGCGTCGGCGGAAGAGCGCATTGTCGGAATTTGAGGTGGAATTGGATGATGATTCATCGCCCCACGTGCCATTTTAGTTGCCATAACAACCAATGACTCAACCAACAGTCGAAGCGTTTTGTTCAAAGGTTTGCCAGTGCATTTGAACTGCTGCACAATGTCGGCGCCGATGCGATCACAAGTCTTGAGGGCTTACAAGGATCTTCTTAAAGCTCAAAGGAAGACCTTCGACGCGGATGCTGCTCAGATAAAAAGTTGGTACTCGTTGCGACACTCCGTATTTGTCGCATAGTTTAATAATTGTTATTGTCTTGCTAGATGCTCGGCTGTACACTCGCCAACAATTCCTTCAGCAAAAGGACGAAACAGATCCTGAAAAACTGGCGAAACTGGTAAAGACGGCACAGCAGGCTGCGGTTATCATCCGAAAGAACATTGTACAAGGTGTAAAGAAAGAGAAAGCCGACGAAACCTATGGTAGGCATTTACATGTTTGGAAACTCGCCGAGTCATTGGAGGATACCTGCATCTTTGAGGGCGCTCATGTGTTAACCGATATCTTTCTACTTCACTTAGTTCTGAAGTTGGATGAAGAGAAGGAGATAAACTCTAATGATACCATAAAGCTTGCTGGACAGCGGCAACCTGCCCAACGGACCGGAAATGCGCCTCAACGGTGCTGTTCAGCATAAATATCAGCAACCGATAAGTTATCCTTTTTTAGATAGAAGTGCGACTGTATATAGAATACTATTATTTTATTCAACCGAAATGTTACTTCTTTTTCCCTTTCGCATCTTTGCTTTTCACGGATCGCTCTCTCTCCTCCTCCTTCTCTTCCAGTTTTCTCAGCTTTGAATTGATCTGGTCCTCCTGGGTTTGTAGTCTAGTCAACAGCGTTTTTCGTAGCTCGTCTATTTTGGTGGATAACGTGGCAGTAACAAACGCGCTCAATTCTCTCGCGGCGATTTCTTGCGGAGTAGGTCGTCCTTGTCCTGGTACATGAGAGAGAAGAGTTATGAGTTTGAGCCGATACCTATGCGCTCCATTTGCGAAATTTTCCTACCTGACACCTCCGGAGTCGTTCCCTTAACTTCACTTTGTTCCGTTTCTTTCACAACAGTTTCCTTCGCATCAGTATGTTGTGGTGTTGCTGCAGGTTCCTTGACAGGTGGGATTTCTAGGTTTCCTCCACTGCCAACTACCTCAACTTGGGGCTGCTCGGATTGTTGCACGTCAACCCCGGAATTGTCGATGGCAGGGTGCTGGGCTCCTTGTTGCTTCTCTTCTGGAGTGGACTGCAATGCATTCATTAGCGCTAAATCTTTTCGGTACTTCTCACGAACGAAGCCAACCTCGGTGTGCAATGTCCCTTCCGCCTCTAGACCAGCACTGCCCGCTATTTCCTCTTCGCTTTGCTTCTTATCTGGCTCTTCGTTCACCAGATCATTATCAAAGGATAGCTCCAATCTCAATTTCTTTGTGAATGCGTACTTGTACATTAGATAGTGCCGAAAGTACCTGCGGTCATTGAAAGTTGAGATCAACTGGCAAGGCAGCGAAATTCTACGCAACTTACGTGTTTACGGCATATTCGGTAATGGCTTTCACCTCCGCAAGGGAAAATACTTTTTGACTGTATGGCGGGCGATGGACGGAGTGGTGCAAAAGTACATCTTTGAAGAAGGTATAATCCTTATCGAGATTAATGAAGGGTGAAGCTAAGAAAGTCTTCTGCTTGTGAGTAATTATACAAATAATGGCAAGTAAAATCCCTTGGGGTTACACACCCATCGCTTTGTCGTGCGTCGTCTTCATTATAGAGAAGAAAGCTGATGCTTGCTCAGGGGAGAAGTGTTGGTCTTTGGCAAACCTGCACAGAAGGTAAGCCATTTGACAGCTCTGAATATTCCTGCAATGTGACCCAACCTGAGGTTATAGTAATAAAAGTCTAACAGAATAGCGCCCCTCTGGGGATCGTCGCCAATCTCCACAATTGATGCTAGATATCTACAAGAGGCCAGCGTGCAGACCGAATCAGCGAATTATTACAAATATTTACATCAGTGCCTAGATACCTCAATGCCTCTTCACCGGTGCTGATCGTGTAGAAATCGTACACTTGGTTCATCGAGAGATGCTTCCTGTATGAAATAAGTTTAACTTAATGTCTGCAAGATTGTTGTGTTGGCTTTCACATACCATGTCAGAGTTTTGGACTAATCCGATGCAGCATGATTCCCCATTGAAATTCAAGTGAGACTTGACGACAAGGCGATCGACGGTGAACGGTTATGACCTACCATTATGGAATGGGACAGATCCTAGAAACTCCTTTTGCAAATTTTGTGTGATATCTAGAGATATATCATAGGAATCGAATGGCAAAAGCACTTTGAGGTCGGGTGTCGGATGTAGGAGACGATCGGCTTATGTAAGGCATTATTTCTTTAGGTCAGCAAAAGCTTTTGTAGTTTGACAACTCCCTCGACGGGAAGAACACAATGAAGTTTTTGATGGTAAGAACATAAATACGTACGTAAAAATTCAAAAAATGCTGGCATGAGCCGCCGTCAGTTCCATCATCATAATGACAGATTGTATTGAAAAGGATTTCGACTAAAATCAACTACATACTATCGAATAAAAAAAACTGTACACGAATCAGTTTCTACGCCGCAACAGTAGATATCAGCGCATCCCATCTAGGCCTCCCTCAAAAGGACTTGTCGCCTACCGGACGCTGGAAGTGTCTCTTCCCTCTCAAGGGCCCTTGCTACAAATCACGAGCTTCATGTGATATCTGGTAGGTACATATTTGGATGATTCGGGGATGATCTAACCGGCACATTGTGTCCTGCTCCTGCTGATCGGATAAAGACTGTGGCTATACGTCCTCAGCCGTTTCCTTCCTGCAGCGACTTACCCATAACCCTCATCATGCTTTTCTTGACACGATCCCCGAAAAGCGTATGTAATGCGAGCACTTCCTGTCCTAGCCTCTCACGCTTATTTCTGGCCTCAGATATACTTCGTTGCAACGTAGCAATCAGCTCTGACTGACGTCGTCTCATTTCATCCCAATCATTTCGCTCTTCATCCAGCTGGGTTATTTCCTCTTGCAGAAAGCCGCATTGCTTTTCCATCCAAGCGTTTTCTGCATCCAACTTTGCGATTTTTCTAGCGGCTCTAATTTCCCGGACAGCACGATTTTCCAGTCGGTCCAAATATCTCCTTTCACGATCGTGAAAACGCTTTAGAGTAAGTTTCATGCGCTCTCGGCGGTCATTCTCCTTCGCACTATTATCGATAGCTTCTGTATTTTCATTTACGTGCATTCGTGGCGCTGTCGCTCCCTTTTTGCTCTTGTGCTTCCGTGAAGCTCCCCCACGTACCTTGGCTCTTGTCGGAACACTCGAGTGTACTTCCGTTGACGTTTTCTGTTCGACAGAACCCTCCATTGACTCACTCTCGTTGACTGGATCGAAGCCATGCTGTTCCAGAGGAGATACATTTCTTGACTGCATCTTGCCTGTAGCACTCCCAATATTCACGTGCAGTCGCGCCGCTGTCGCTCCGTTATTGCTCTTCTGTTTGCGTAAAGCTCGTCCTCGTACCTTGGTTCCTGTCGGAACACTGGAGTGTCCTTCCGTTGATGTTTTCTGTTTCACAGAACTCCCTATCAGTTCACCCTCATTGACTGGATTGAAGTCATGCTGCTCCAAATGGGATCTCTGTCTTGACTTCATCTTGCTCGCAGCACTCCCAAAGCATGCTGCCGATACGCCGTCATCTTCGGCAGATCGGTTGGCAGATTGACCATCCGGCGTAGGTGCCGTCTTCTTTGGTGGTGCGACAACTGTTTCGCGGCAATGCTCCAATTGATCCCAGACATCGTACTGCTTCTCTGAAACGCCATCCTGCGCCCCCTTTGGATTTGGCGATGGTGCGTGTTGTAGTTGCCAGGATTCCATCTGAAAGGTCGCAGCCATTACAGTCTCCAGTTCCTTTGCGAGCGCTTCTTCGTCAGCAGCCCGCTCGCAATCATCCAAATCATTGATCAACTCTGCATTATCAAGGCATGCGGCAAAAGATGCGGGTAGAGAAAGGGGGAATTCGTCCAGATGGCTGTCATCTATGAGTTGACATGGATGTGCATCTTGATGTTCTTGGTGTTCTGTCGCTTCATAGGTAGCGCGCACCCCACCAGATATCTCTTTACCGTTTGCATCTACATAATCTTTACAGCCAGTATATGCTTCAGATGCATTTTCGAAAGATTGCCGTTCCAGAGTCTCTTTTTGCCGGAACTCTAGCTTTTCTGACTCTTTTCGATTGACGATTGCACAATGAGACGGCGCGGATGCACTCGCCATGCGGCTGTTGGGTGACTGTGAAGGTAATTGTGGGTGTGGAGGCGTCCAAGCCGAAACAGGATTGTTGTTTAGTATCTTCTTGGAAGGCGAACCAAGTATTTGTGGCCTCTTTCGTCTCTTACTGCGCTCCTTCTGAGGAGTCCCGGCGATGATGTCGGAGGAGTTGGTCTGCGGTAATCGCGTTGTTAGTGTATAAAGATAATAAGCGTCACTGGCCTCAATCCCCACACTAGTGCATACCGTAGTTGTAGGCTGTGTATCTCGACCTAATTCAGCACAAGTAGAGGATGTCGTGCGAACAGGTTGTTTGCCCAGAGCGACTTTGTGTGGCCGCTTTACCGTGTTCCCTCTCTCAAAACAGTCATCGAACGAACCGACCGATTGTTTCCTTCGTTTGGTCCTCTGTCGTCCCACATCCTCGCCAATCAGACTTTTTGAATCATCCTCTCGTGGACGTTTCTGTGCAGCTCTACAATCTACACGAAGACACTGAGATCCGTGCGGCTGGTTGTTCACAGTGCTATGTATGCATCATACCATCTATAAAGGTCGTCTTCCTTTCGGCTTTGACCGGTGAGTGAACTCCAACGAGAATACGTTCCCCATCATGGAAAGCATCTTGAACGGTACAAGAGCCCGGAACCACGCTGCCGTCTTCGTTCCAGAGGGTTACCCGCTTTCCAAGGCCAGATTCTACAAAGCTACTCCGTAAATCCTCTACTGTTAAACCCGGATCGGATAAACAAATGAAGGCGGGCTCTTTCAGTAGTGGCTCCTCCGCCCAGGTTGGAGAGGAAATTGAGTGCACTGTATGAACATGAACAACCAAATGGAGTTTGGGACTGATCCCAGAAGACTGCAGTAGACCAGATGGTCTTTTACCAAGCATAGTGTGCTTAGCGCTTATATATTGCGTTGTGGGACACAGGCTTTGCCAGGAAGCTTTGCCAATAGAAATGGAACGGCCGCCCACTGGCTGATGAGTTCCACGTCTTTCTAGTCAATCTATCATGCACTGACAAATGATATCGGTCAGAGCTTCATCATCCTCAAGCAGATATTCGATCGTTCGACGAGAAGGGTACGGCAGGAAAAGACTTTGGGGCATGTCGGAAAAGTGCTATGCTAAGCAGCTAAGCAGAATTGCATCCGCACTGGAACCCATTCCAGGGTAACAATCTGCAAGGTTTTCTTCTCGTCTCGCTCTCCAAAGGCCTCCCATCACTGATGAGACCCAAAGGTACGTACGGATTGTTGGGGAGAGATTCGAGGCGGTCCCATGGCGATAGTATAGACCTTTGTGTGCGGTGATGAGAGTTAAAAAGAATCGCTACTCTGAAACCTTTTGAGGAGAGATTGCAATATACTCTGAGCAATTGCCGGCGGGCAGCCCACCGACGACTTTATGTGTGCTTGAATACTAATTCAAATCTACTCTTATCCCACTACCAGGGTACGACAAGTTCTGTTTACTCGAGAATGTTCATGCACACTCAGTTTGTAGCCCCTACATGTCTTGTATTTGCATTTCTCCAATACAATTATTTCGCTTGCCCCTGCACTTGCGTTCGAGGACACTGTATCCGTTTCAGATGGGAGCAATCTGGGTATCGGCGTGCACTATCGCATCTGCCAATACACGCAAAGAAACATCTATTCCCCACAAGCTGCCCCTTGAAGCTATTACTGATACTGACGATACTATGAGCAGTCTACATCATCTATCTATCTACTCCGTATACCTCATTGGGATTTCCTAGGCGGCGTTCGGATGGGTGGGGACCTTGCTGCAACACTACCACCCGACGCAAGCCTGCGTATAGGCTTGGATAAGTATGGCGCACTACCAGGGTGACTGACTCTCGCCCTGTTCAGTCTGGAAAGAACATCTCCCTCAGATGTTGCACTCCATGGTCGTACGCTGATCGCGTCAATCAGCTCTTCTTCTGTGCCAGATCGGCTCGGCGATGGTGATGCAGATGATGGCTTGGATGATTTGCTGTTGCTTGTGGGACGATCGCGAGACGGACTGGACGGAATGAAGGAAATGGAAGGTGTCACCGGGCCTGCGACTTGCGTCGATGTGCCTCCGGACATCAATGACCGCCCGATCACAGGCTGTACATGCGGCGGTGGAATTCATCATTAGTAACCAGTACTATTGTTGCCAGAAACCGTTTGCCCACCTTATCCATTATCCCTTGATTATGATTCAGCTCCATCTCAATGTCATTCGCAGTAGTAACCATAGAATTGCTCACAATACTCGGTTGCAATGGTCTCGTTTCCTGGGCTACATTGGTCGCTTCCGGGAATAACATCATCGGTGTTCCACAAGATACCTCATGATCTGCATCATGTGGAGAGGACGGGGATTGGCCCCTTACGTTCATCCCTTGTATTTCAGTGTCGGCTGTCGTGAGGAGCCTACTCTGTTGCCATATTGATACCCGTGCCTTTGGATCTGTTTGACTTTTCGGCACTTCCGCCCGTGAAATGCTCCTGCGAGTTACAGTCGATCCGAGAGCAAGCTTTCCTGCTGAAGGCGCTCGCTGACAGGCTGAGGATCGTCTGCTCTCAGATATAGTTCGACGGCCGTGTCCTTTGACCGTTGCCTGCTTGCTGTCAGCATGTGACACCGAAACCCTACTAGCGGTTCCTGACGATATTCCGTCATTAGATAGGTTTAGGCTTCTTGATTTCGCAAAACTATTGGTGGAGTGTCGATGCTCCGCGTTTTCTATTGAGCGGTTACTTGTTCCCCGGCGAAGGGGTGCGGGATGACCTCGGAAGGCTCCCATGGAGTACGGCGGCAGTTCACTACCCAAGGCAAGGTCAAGCTCCTCCTGAAAATCATGAAGTTACATTGGAAAAACGAAAATGCAAGGTCGTTACTCCGCACTTACACTGCTAAATCTGTTGGAGACAGCTCGACCGCGCATATATATCGCAAACTCCATGGACCCATGACCTTGTAGTAATTCTTCCTGTTCAGCTCTTTCCTCTTCCTCTCTTTCCTCTTGCCTTCTCCTGTTTTCCTCTTCCTCTATCTCTTTACAACGTGCCTCTTCGTCTAGTAACATTTGCAAGGTCAGTCCTGCGGTATATGCAGTCACTTCTTTATCGGCAGGTGGCCGGGGTTTGTATACTTGCATTGCAAGTTGTAGCAGTTCTTCTTGTCGTTTTGTCACTCTTTTAACGTGCTCCTGGTCTTGCAGCTGTAGAAGGCTGGATAGTCGAACCTCCCATCCGTGTAGGATACGATCGTGCTCCGCTGTGGCTGCAGCAACTTCCTTCATGTGTTCCTCTTCCAACACACGGATTTTCTCTTCGTATGTACGTTCCAATTCATCCACGACTGCAAGTTCGTCCTCATCTTCTGCATCAGATTCCACTTGATCGCCCCCGTCTTCGGAAGGCTGCGATGTATCTTCAATGAGCGTATCCAATGCTGTTGACATGCTCCGCATCATTGCGGTTCTCGAACTGCCCAGTCGTAGCGTCCCAGTGCTCCCACTGACGGAGGTTCGATGATGCTGTGTAGTCTGCGTCCTTGGCCTGGAATCCGGAGATACGTCTTCGTCTAAAAATTCTTCAAGCTCTGATATTTGTCCTCGCAACCAGAAGATCTCGTCATCCCGCTTTGAGAGCATGGATTGATATTGGTCAACCACATCCACCGTTCTCATACGTGCCTCATCTGCCACCGCGATCTACAATCATACTCAGTCAATTGGAAATATCTAGGTCAGCTTTGTCCTACTCACTTCCGCTTCGCTGAGAAGGCCCTTCCTTTTGAGCAGCAAATAAGCTCTCGCGATGGAATATCGCAGGCGCTCCTCTTCATCCTCCATCTGTCGGAGTTTACTAGCAACCTTTTCGACCCTTGCCTCTCCGCGCCGGATATCGTCTCCCAGCTGCTCATCGGCTTGATGCAGAGCGTATGCATTGTAATTCTGTATTCAAGAGTTTGTCTAGCAATTCCTTGGTGGTCTCAAGGCATTGGGGTGGCAGTATACCTTATGTGTTTGCAGCAATTCTCTTACAGCCCCTTTGAGCTGAGCTTTACAGTCCTGTCTCGCTCTATCCACCTCAGCACGGTGATTTTGTTCTAATGTCTGTAAACGATCTTTGATTGTATCGTATACCTGATCGACCAGCATCTGGATCTTTGAGTCTTGATTGACTTGCAGCATACACCGTATCACATCCAGTTCCTAGCAGTCCATCGGTTCATACGAGTCCATCTCAACAATATAATGGATGCACGTTTGTGTGGGCACACTCACCCGGTGAAAAGTCTGCACCATCCGATCCATCTCATCAAATGGAAGAAGATCTTTGTCTTCCGTCTGATTACTTTTATCAGCAAGAATCAATCCTCGTAAAAGGTAGGTCCTGGAGTTCTCGACTTCTGTGAGAACCTTCTCCATTGCCCGTCGTTCCCGGTTGCCATTATCATCCTCAATATATCTGGCACTTGATGGCCGGCTCCGATTCGCATTTTGAGGACTCCCTTGACCACTTCTGTTGACATATCTGTAAGGAGAGAGTGGACGGGATCTGGTCCCAAACTCTACCGTGGACATGATTTTGATACTGTTCTGATCTGCTTTAAGTCCTTTCGATATGGTCTTGATCTTGACCCTGAAATATCCCCTCATTTGATCGAATAGGCCCGTCCCAATCCAACTTCACAATCCTTAAATTGGCAGATCCAAACTTATCACACACACATAGTCAGACGTAAATACGACACATACGCATTCCACCTTCCCGGATTTAAACCTTTCCGTCTCTGGCATTCCCTGTAAACAATGACTGCTGTGGCAACATCCTTTATTCCATTACCAATTGGGAAACGCCCCTCGTTTGATCGGAGCAACCAAAGCTCCGCCAGCAGTCTTAGCAGCCTTACGTCTTCGGCGGGCTCAAGTTTGGAAAGCATGAACCTAGATGATATCCTGCCGAGACATTCTGACCCATCACGCCCATACTCCACTTTCCCCCAGAACACCGCCGCAAAGACTGGTCACTCTGCGAACTGGCGGCCTTCCAACAGAATGGTTTCACCCAAAAAACTAGCAATTCGTTACCAAAGGCCAGTATTAGTCCTTTTTTATGTCGCGGAGGATACGGGTAGGTGATGGCTGCATGAACTATAAGCATGCATTGAAATGGAACTAATGGATCAAATTACTCTGTGATCAGGTAAATCACGGCGACGAAGCATGCCACTGCGAGGACTGGATAAGAACAATGTCACCGATGTTGTGCAACATATCTATGATAGGCATCAGCAATATCTGGGCACTGTAAAAGTTGAACAGGTATTTTCATATTCCTCCCTTTCATCGGGAATGGGATGGACGCTGATCAACGCGTGCTTTCGGTTCAGGTGAAGCGGATTGTTGACCGCATATACGCCGAAGAGGTGGAAAGTCGACCTCAGGCTTCCAAAGAACCTGGGAGTGTCCCGATACAAGGTCTCGCAACAGAAGCGCCCGCGTGGCTAACAAAAGGCCCTTCTCTTGTCAACACTGGCTCACACCTCGGAGCTCTCCCACTACCCAAGAAGCTAACCCCTTTGACCACCCTGCAACCACCTGCGCGAGAATTGCCCCCACTATCCAATTCAGTCGAGAAAGAGAAGAAGCAACCAGCTGCCGATGCGGAGGTAGAAACAGTTGCCGCGAAAGCCCATCAGATTGATGGAAATTTGGATCTGAACAAACTTGGGTAAGAGAACGCGTTCCTCCTTCTTGGCCAACAATTCGTTAAAGAAGATGCTCAAAGGGACGAGGATCTAGCCAAGATCAAGAAATCCATGAATGATGATTTTGAGAAAACCCGGATAAAACCTGGTGATCCAGGATACGTCTATGATGTTCAGGTAATCAGTTAAATGCACATTACCCAAGTGTTCCGCTGCCCACGTTTGAAATCAGAAATCCTTCGGTCCACCCGTTGAAGACAACGAATGGGACCAGGAATCAGAAACCGACGCTGGCAAGCCCATCGCAAACAACGCTACCTTCCCATCTCTTTCCACATTGAAGCCAGCCACGACTGGCAAGGTACTCAAAGACGTCGATGATCTGCTGGAAGGCGAAGATTTTGATATCGAAGAGGATATAGAGGATATTGACGAGGGAATCCTGGAGAACAATGAAGAGGATGACAGTAGGAAAGGGGAAAGCTCCAATCATAATGATAATGTCTCGGCCAGCGGAAGTGAGTTTGACAAACAAGAAGTAGAAGGTTCCGAAAGGAAGTACAACTATTCCGAGAACGAAGGCGATCTTTCGGCCGAGCTTGGGGAAGAGGCAGACGAGGAAGCCGAGGTAGAAGACGAAGAAGACGAAGAAGACGAACAGGAGGAAGATGCTCCACAACCGCAAGAACAGGAGGAATCGACGTATAGGCGTCGCCGCGTCTCGGTCGCTTCCCGTGAGGAGAAGAATCTATATGCCGAATCTGTTGAGGAGCTCTCTCACAAGTGGTCGTCGGACTTGAACGACGTGGGCGAAGAAGAAGGCGATGAAGATGAACCGAGTGAGAAGGAAGACAATTCTGAAGCCAATTCAGAGGAAAAAAGAAACGGAGAGCCGCAAATGTCTGTCCAAGATTTCAAGGGCGAGCCACTCGCCAATGACAACAATGTAAGTGCGAGCATGGAAGAACTCAACTCTGGTAGACCGTCCTCCCATGTTCCCAGTGATATCGGCGAACAAGCAGAAACTCAATCAACCGCAGATCTGGATGCGGTACTCGACATGTTGGATTCAGACGATGAGGAACATCGGCCATTCTCCTCACACATTGTCCAGGGCAGTAGGCGCACCAGTTCCGTCAGCGAAATATCTCGCAAAAGTGTTGGCAGACGACCGCTTGCACTTGGGCGAGAAGAGGCTGATGCAATCGGAATCTCTGATTCCAACTACAGACATCGTCCATCGCCCCTACAGCTACCCGAGAAACGCGAAGGCGAACTTGAGGAAACCGTTCCTGTGCCGCTGCTTCCAGACGCAGATGTAGAGGCCAAAGCAGCTACCAAGGGTGTGGGACTTCCCAAACTCTTGACTGTCGCTCCAATTGTCTCGGCAACCACTCCTGCACCCGTATCCGCTTTGACAATAGAGCCCTCTCCACAGGCACCCACATCATCGGAGGAACCAATTGATGACGAGATCGCAGAAGAAATCGTACCAGAAGAAATAGAAGACGAAGCACATGAAGCAAGCGATGACGAGCATGTGGACAACACAGCCAAGGGGCACGTAGTGGAATCTGCTCAACAGAACGACATACAGAAAGACGAGAGGGATGTAGCCTCGGCCAACGAAAGCGAATCCCACCATGAATCCCAGACGTCAGCAAAGTCTATTCAACCTCCAAAGAAGCTAGCGCCACCAGGTCTTCTATCACCTGTTGCGGATCGGGCATCATTGGATAAAAGTCCAAACTCGTCGCCATGGGTTAAAGGCAGCAGAGGATGGCTCTCCGACATTGAGAACGCTCCTCGTGTTCCAGGTCCACCTTCCGATGACCGCTTGGCTAGTGAGGACGAGGAAAGTTTGCATTTCAGCGATGAAGATATTGAATCGCTGCCCCTTGGAGATAACGAGGAGGGAGCTAGGGGCATAAAAAATACCACTTCCGCGGGATCCAAATGGCTTAAATCGGAAAACACCATACCCCCGTTGAGTGCGAATGGCAGTGATCACGGTCTAGAAAAAAAGCAGTCGGAAGCTGACGACGAGTACTCGTCTGATTTTGGTGCGGGACACACAGATGACGAGATTGAACTGGATGATAAGGACATTGACGACGGGGAGATAGTGTTTTCCGACGATGCCATGTCATACGATGAAGGCGGTGCAGAGCCCGATGACGATGATGATGCATTCTGAACATACTTTAGCCACTTTTGTACATTTGTTGGGAGGAATACTTATATCTCAATATCCCAATTTCCCACTACCCTATTTTACCGCTAAGGTTCCATCTGTATAAAATGCTGTAGTGCAATGAATGATGTCCTACTCCCCGAATTGAAATGCATTCCGGTATTCCTTATATACACCTGCTTCATGACGAGTCCAAATCTAAATACGGGTGGCAATCCAAATCGCCGCCTTACAGCCCTGCTGAATCACTGCAGTCAACCCCGGGTAGACTGGCGCCTTCTTTGCCTCATGATCCACAGCCGTATCCAGGTGTTCTAACTCCTCATCACGAAACTGTTTGATGACTTCCCTGAGTTTATCTACTTCAGGATGGTCGATCTTCAATAGCTCTCTTAGCTGGCTGAAAAGAACATAAACTTAGATCGCGCCCTGAGATATGTCAGCCAAACATATGGCTAGCTCACATACTCATTATAATGTTCCCCAATCACCGTCTCAACAGCCTCTGTGCACGCCATGGCAGCCTCCTTGCCCAACAACGCGGTGCCCGCTCCTAGAGCGTATCCTGCAACCTCCCAGAAAGGTCGCAGCGCCGTTGGTCTTACTCGATTTGCAGCAATCATGTCGTCAAAAACCTTGAGATGGAATTTCTCCTGGTCCCACATGTGCTGTTTAGAGTAAGGGTGAGTAATGTTTAGACAGGATTGGAAACTTATAGTTCACGGCACACCTGCACTACAGGCCCCACTTTAGGGTCCTTACCCAGAACCGCCATCTGTCCCTTATAAATCCAGTTGGCTCCTAGTTCGCCTGCGTGGTCTACTCGAAGCATCGCTGCGATGAGATCCTTTTCCTTTTCGGTGAGCGGCCGCTTCACCCGGGGTCGGGGAGTCTCGCTATGTTCTGAGAAAGTGGAGAGGGAACGTGCGCAACATGGTTGGAGCCGAATGAGTTGACGGGTTTGAGATATTGGAAGTCGCATTGGTAGTGCCGACATGGTGGACGAACGAATCGGCAGCAGTGGGCCGTGCAAAGTCAGTATCATGCAATCACCGCGTTTGGGTTGCGATGGCCGGTAACCAAGGCCGATAAGTCATTCCCCGCCACATAGTTGGTATCTATTAGAGAATTACACCCTAACCAACTAAAAAGTACTCTACTCGGGCAGTCACTATATTCACACTTCTATGCACACTCAAAAGCTTAACCAGATACCACGAGGGCTGCGACGAAATCAATCACGAGTGAGTGAGTGGAGAGGAACTTATGGATTTCCAGCTGAATAGCGACAACAGAATGCTTTTGCTGTTCTGCGCGTATGATGACCGTCAAGGCAATAAGCCATCTGGAAGCCTACACGCATTCCGCAAACAAGTTTGAAGGAAACACTCAGATTCCACTCTCATCCCGTTGAAGATTGCTTCGCATCGCTTTCCTCGACGTATAGCTGCATCTATCCAGACCGTACCAAAAGGCACTATCAGCAAATGTTATTGCACAGAAAAGAAAGAGATACCACCGTACCTTGAGCAACCCAGCATCCATAGTTTTCAGAGGGATAAGGGAGGGTGATGTGACTTCTACATCCGTGGGTTCACTAGGCACCCAAGGAGCTCCCTGCACAATACACAGAATCATGCGCGAGTAAGTAAATCATAGCAGTGGAGAACATAGATGCTCGATTACATACTGTCGATACGCTGGTCGGAGTTGGATGGTCCCCTGCCAGTTCTACCAATAATACAAACGAGCAATCTGTGCATAGATTATTAATACAGTGAAGTGGAAAAGATCATGACCGGACGAGCTTACCTGGAGGATTGGGATTCAACATTGAATCGCAAACGGCAATCTTGAGCAGAAACGAGCGCAAGTATGCTTCCACATCGGATGTATTGATCGTGGTTTGGGCGCTGTAGAGACGAAAAATGACAAACTTGTTCTAGAACATAAACGGTGGCCAGCGGTACATACTGTTTCCTTACACCCTCCTCAATGCCCTCCATCAAGGACCGTATCTGAAACGTGAACTTTTCGACAACGTTCCGTGCTGGATCATGTATCGCTAGATACACTTTTGAAACGACTCCCTGTGGTGGATGGTAAAAACAATTAACTCTGCTCAAATACACATTCAAAAGTGAACCTCTCCAACGACCTTTTGCAGGTCCGGTTTGATCCCAGCCAGAACGTCCCGTATATACCCATTCAGAACGGGATGCCGTGACATTCGAACGGGAACATTATATTTCCGTCGTGGTTCAAAGATATCGGCGGGATAGATCTCTCTCACGTATAGCACGTAGTGTATGGCAACTTCGAGGAACTCGAGAAGGGTGTCTGGGTAGTGTTCGTCTTGTTAGGAATTGCATGAACTGCTAGTAAACCATGCTTGCAGAACGTACCGACCAATTCTGGTTATTCAACGTATTGAGCACACATAATGATATCAACTGTTTTGGAACATAATAAGCTTACCATGATAGTTGAGCGTTGGAGCGGTTACAGGCGGCATCGCTCCAAGAATTCAAAACGAAAATGAAAGAAATCTCCAAACGAAACCTCAAATCTCACATGTCTTTTGATTCGGAGCGCGTCGCCATTCATGAGGCAAAGGGTGGTGGGCTTTTGGGTGGGATCTTATCGCCATTTTGAATGGAAAACTGCAAATAAAACGACATCTCGAAGAGAACGGGGGCCTTTTATTTTGTTCAACAATCCGTCAGCAGTTTCTGCGACACTAACATTTCTCACTGTAGCCATGTCATCCATGTTGGAACTGGCAGTTGCTGCGTTGCAATCCCTTGGTGCTGTTGCCTTTGTAGTAGCTGCAGGATGGGTATATGCTCTTTACGGTTATTTCCCTCTCTCCATGCAGAGGGTAAGAGCTTCTGTTCTGCGATACTATCGCGGGAGAACTCACTTTCTGGTTTGCAGGATCTGGCGCGCTTGGTGGTCCAACTTTTGGCGCCGTGTTTGTTGTTGGTTTCTATTGCCCATACTGTTAGTTGGGAGTCATTTCATCTCTGGTGGCCAATTCCAGGTGGGTTGACTAGTTCATTACGTTGTATGTTGGATTCGGTGCTGAATTTCGGGAACCTAGTGCTGTTTTGCGCGTTGACACTGGCCTCCTTCATATTTGCGGTGGTACTTTCTTTCCTCTTCCGCATCCCCCGTAGTCGGTCGCACTTCATAGCATCTGCAGCCATGATGAGCAACACAAACAGTTTACCAGTAAGTGAACATTTTGGATGCCTGAAAAGTTCCAAGATTAACCATGTTTGCTTCGTAGGTTGCGTTGATGCACAGTCTAGCCCGCGACCCAGGCTCACGGGCAGTTCTGAATCCCAAAGCGAGCGACGCAGACGAAGTGGCACGGAGAGGAATCGCCTTTGTCCTATTTTTCAGTTTGTTCTCCAATATTCTTCGATGGACAATTTGCTATCAGTTGCTTGCCAAATGTCCTGGAGATGAGGAGCATGCCGCCGTTCAGGAGCATGAAGGGGATGCACAAGTAACGGACTTGATTGCAAAACAAGAGGAGGTATTTCCCGGGGATGCAGGTATTGTATCAGGATAATGAACATTGCGTGATTGGCAATCAACAGCTGATAGGTTTGACGGATGTAGTCATTGCGGAGATTCCAGACGCGGATCCTCAAGTTCACGCAACACGCCTCCGACGCCGCTCTCAGATCTTCAGCATTTCTGCCGACGTTGATTCCTTTGCCGCGACAGGCTCCGCACACACGGCAAGCCCCACAGAGCGAACGCCTCTCATACTACCCAACCCCGTTCCGGGGCCCCAACTGATAGACTCACCCACAGAGTCCGTGCCAGATATTCCACCACGCAGTCGTCTACGAGCGCTGGGCACTCGTTTGTACGATCTTATGAATGCTCCTTTGTATGCCGCCCTGCTGGCCCTCATAATCGGCCTGATACCGCCCGTAAAGAGCCTCTTTTTCGGTCCAGATCACGGCAACACTGGCCCTCTTGAAGAGATCGTCACGGACCCTCTGTACAGTCTTGGTGAAGCGTCTGTGCCTATCATCATCTTGACGCTTGGAGGACAGCTTGGGAGTATGGGGAAAGTGGAGCATGTCGATACCGCGGCGGAAGGCAAAGACGTTGCCTTGGTCATTTTGGTGAAAATGATCTTGACACCAGCGGTCGGGTTGCTTATGATTTTAGGCATGAAGCCGTTTGTTCCTTTGGTCCAGGATCCAACATTTGCAATGGGTATGCACCATTTTCCTCGTATTATCGGTTCATTACGTGGTACATGATAGCTAACCCGGCCCTGCATATTAGCCATGCTACTCTTGGCAGCTTGTCCCACTGCGCTAAATCTCATGAACATAAGCCAAGCCCACCGCAACCACGAGACCGTGACTGCTAGGCTCCTCTTTTGGTCCTATCTCCTTAGTGTACCCATTTTGACAGCGTGGGTCGTGGCTGATTTGATTATTTTAGAAAGGTATTGGACAGTATAGTCAATGTGAATTGGTACATGTACATTTGTGGGGGTGCGAGTTGGCCGGGCTGTTGTCGGCATTCGGATGTCTGTATCAAGCACTTGCTGAGCATGCTGTATCTAGAGAACTGTTGCGCTTACGTATATGAATAAAAATCATCGTATCAGATACAAAGGGTTTGATAGAGAAGTCCACCAGCATGTCGTGGGTCGGGTGGTTTCATATCGACGCTTTTGCCCGTGACGCCCAGCCCAGATCGTTTGGTTTCCACCTCCCGTCGTTTGGCCTCTCGGTGAAGAACTTCAGTTAGAGTCAGGTGGGATAAGCTTGGGGACGGTGTTCCCGATTTCGAAACGGGTAGAGGTGGCAGAGGGGATGAAGGTGTTGTTGATGCTTTGGATTTCGGACGTCGAACGCTCGGACTCCTGCCCCGCTCCACCTCAGAGTCCATGTCATCTTCCCATTCCTCCAACTCAGCCTCAGCGACTAACCCCAACCCCAAATTCCAGTCCACAGATAGATTCAATTCCTTAGAGAGTTCCAAATTCCTCTCCTCAAACTCTTCCACAATCGTTTCCAGTCGCTCGATCTCCACCTTTGCAGCCGCGACTTGAGCGTGCAATTTCCTGTTTCGATGGATCGTTTGGAGAGTCTGTACGGACATTTCATCCAACTCTTGCTGACTGGCCACACTTTCGACCCCGAGAACGATTTTATCTGCTCTTTGGCGGGTACCTTCAATGCTTTGTTCGTGCTTTTTGTACAGACGGTCAATTTCCGTTTGATGGCGTTGTATTTGTACTGCGTGGGTTGCGCGGAGGCCGGCCATGGCGTCTTCAAGAGAGGTTCTGCTTGCTATAAGGAGGCTAGAGTACTCTGTGGTTAAGGCCGAGAGGCGGTTGGAATGTCTGGTGAGGGTGTCATAGAGAACTGTCGTATAATAGAGATGAGAGAGATGACATGTTAGTGAGCATTCTTGGAGGATGAAACAAAATGTTCCTTTACCTTCAATGTCTTCTCGCTGTTGAATGAGTTTAGCGTCCAGGTTGGTGTCGAATGCTCTACCGATAGACTTTTCTCCATGCATTTTATCGATTTTGGTTGACATGGCGTCTGTCGTGTCAATGAGATTCCGCATATGGCTGTACTGGAGCAAGACATACGTGAGAAGAGGAAGAGAAATGGGAAGCGGAAGGACCTTACCCGCTCTTTCTCGACACGTCGAAGCTTTTGGCGAAGACGTGTGGCTTCTTCCTTTCTATTTTGTGATGGGTTTTGTTTTAGGCTTGTGTCAAAATCAAATGGGTGGGCGCTGGGAACAGCAGAATACTCAACTGTTCCAGTAACCAGGTTCTATACAAGAGAATTGACTGCTTGCGAGCTTCCACCCTAATATGCCAAAAACAACTATACGTCATTCCTCAGTCTCTCCCAGCGAAACACATATCGTCTACCAACATAACAAAGACCATAACGGCACTAGCCTGCTCCTTTCCCATCTTCTTTCCACGGCCCTTGGAACGAGACCGAGACCGCGATCGCGATCGCTTCTTCTTGCCACCCTTGCCTTTTGCTTTGCTTTTTTTCTTAGGTGGCATTTTTGGTGTGATGTGAGCGGATCGGCAACATGTGCCAGTTAAGCGTTAATACCAAATGCGTGAATGCGTGTGTGAGTGGATCATTTCAGAACGTATAATAATAGTATCTCAGGGTGTGAAATGTTGAAAATCTCCGATGTTCGGTCACGGTACGAATTAAAAATGACCCCCAAATATCGAATTCTCATCGTCAAATAAAGAATAATGGAACATAACCTTAAAGGCCCCCCGTTGATGAACTACCAAAATCATGTCTGGACTACTGATTCAATCCTACGTGATAGTCAATGCAAGTTCTGAAGGGGGCCGTTGCTTTTCCATTCGAGATGATGATGATGGGCCGTCAGACTTCAAGGCCACTCTCTCTTTTTTGATCCCAAAACAATGCTCCTTCACGCATGCCTTGGACTCTTGGCTTTGAACGCCATCTTGAAGCTCGCGTAACGTCTCTTTGTGACGTTACAATCACCAGATGTCTTTTCCACCCCTCCCCCCCTTTCCCCCTGCGTCCCCACCAGTGGCACCATTGCTCGTGCTTTTCAACTGTCATTCTGTCCACTCGTTCCCTTGGACATGCAACCCGTGCATGAACGTCGGAGAAATACTAAAAGCATTACGTAATGCTCACGATCAGCATTGGAATGAGGTTGGATTGTAAGCAAATCGAGGTTCAAGACTAAAAGCACGCCTATTGTCCACGTGCGTGATCGGACATGAACGTGCTTCGGACATTTGGATGGGACATTTTTGCCATTGAAATTCTGCGAGTTACACTCGACAAAAAAAAGTGGAGTTTTTAAATAGTAAGTAGAGCTATAAAAAGGGGAGGAACGGCGAGGATGAAGAGCTGTCGTCGCATTGGCAAGCGGCATCGGAAACATGAAATCTCAGGTGTTGGCAGCAGCAGCGTATGCTTGGATCGCCTCATCACAGATCCTTGCCAGTCCCATTAGTCTTTCCCTTAAAAAATGGCATACGATCGATGGCAAACCGACGCAGATCATCGGTCATCGCGGGGAGAGGGCCTTTTCGCTCCCTGAGCATACTCTTCCTGCATACCATATGGGTATCTGGGAGCATGCGGATTTTGTCGAGCCGGATCTGGTTTTGACAAAGGACGGACATTTTGTGATTTATCACGATGTGAGTTGAAGCTTGAAATAAAAATGATCCACATACATGACTAATGAAAATGAGAATCCAGCTTTCCATTAAATCAAGTACCGATGTCGCTGCACATCCAGAATTCGCTCACCTCATAAAAAACGTCACCATTCCAGACATTGACGGAAGTGGTGGCAACTTAACTCTCACCAATGACTGGTTGATCCACGATCTTACCTTGGCTGAAATTAAAACACTCCGTCTCAACGTCGTTGGGGGAGGCCCGGACAATCGGAACATGCGGAAACCTGCCTTCTTTGACGGCATGTTTACGATCCCCACGTTTGAAGAGTACCTCGACTTGGTCCATGCAGATTCTGCCAAACTTGGACGTGAAATCGGTATTATACCCGAGATCAAGCATCCTGCCTGGCACAATGAGCACTACAAGAACCAGAACCCTCATTTTATGGAAGATAAGCTGTTGGCTATCCTCGACAAGTACGGATACCCATCAAACGGAAAGACGCGTGGTCCCGTCATGATCCAGTCCTTTGAGGCAGGAGCCGCCAAATACATTGGCACAAAGTCCAAGCTTCCCGTCGTTCAGCTTATTTATGGCAATGTGGATCTGCTTACTCCAAAGGGTCTGGACGACGTGGCAAAATACGCCGCCGCAATCGGGCCATGGAAGGAGCTTTACACTGTCGGAGCGGAGAATATGTACAAGTACGAAGTGCTTGCACCTATTCCCGCTGACGTTCAGACTCGGATTAAAGCCAATGGAGGACTGATTGCACCCCAAAATTTGAGTAAGGAGATCAAAAAGCGAGGATTGAAGCAAACTCCGTACACGTTCTACAGCAGCTATGAAAAGGCCCTGTTGAACTGTGATCGAGTCCAAGGATGCCCACCGACACAGGACCGGCGCGTAGAATTGTTTTACTTTATGCGACTGGGCATGGATGGGCTCTTTGTGGAGAATGTAGCAGAAGCAGTTGCCATTCGGCAACAGTATGCTGATCTGATTGATCCCTTCAAGACCGGGACAACATCTATTGTAAATTTTAAGCAGAACAGTACGTTTGCGCGGAGAGACGGAGCGGAATGGATGGACATTCTGCGACAAGAGTTAGTGCGGACCTATCCCGACCGGCTTGCCGCAGGAGGTCGTCGTTAATGGGTTTAGAAAAACAGACGTTGGCGAGTCATAATAGTTTGCAGATGTAAAATTTAGGCCCCATATTATCATAATACATTCATTTGATTATTCTGGTCATAAAAGACGTATCAAGACGAGCAAAAAAGGCACGCTGGAGATGAACAGCAATGAAATGCAATGGGTGGAGATCCCCGATGGTGTTGGAGGCTTCACCCAGAGAGCCGAACTGACGGCCGCGTGATATCACGAGACCGATGCACGTGCAATCTCATCGCGGGGAATTCATCCAATCGGATAAGCTGAAATGATTTTGTAAGCCTTCCTGGATTGTGATTCCGACACCGGAATGATGGAGATCGATGACAATGCGGACATAATGCGGAGCCGATGGGTATTGGCACTAGTACAAAGATTCTAACCAATTTAATCATAATTTTACTCGATTTAGACTCATGAACTATGGTTTGATCCAAAAAATCCTATATAAGTCATCGTCCATTTTCCCAGGCTTTCATCTTTTCCACAGATACAGATATCATCATGCCACCAAAGAAGAAGCAAAAGCTCGAAAGACTCGAAAAACTCGACAAACCTACTTGCTTACATACCTGCAACAAGACTTCCTTTGCAAAAGCTTTCCTGCCAAACGACATCTACTGCCAACGGCTTTTAGATTACATCGCCATCATCCATCAACTCGCCGACCACGCTTCCCACGCGCTGAAATTCTATCTCCTTTCATCATCAGCGCCAGTTTTTCCCACAGTAAATCAAGAGACGATTGAAGCCATCCTCTATCTTCTCAACAAAGGTGAATCATGGCAACCAAAAACCGGTGCGAAGAAGGCGTTACGCGAATCCTTGTTGCCATACATCCAACGGTACTGCAACATCGTCGGCTTCGTTCATCCAAATCTACAAAAAGAGCAGCAATCAGTCAATTATCTGACAGCGAGTATGATGACGAATCTGAAGGTCAATGTCCAGGAACACTTCATGATGATGCTGCTCCGGTACATTAATCTGCGGCTTGATGTGAAGGGACAGAAGCAGCGACTGCCACTGAAAAGCGATGCGCGAAACGCTTTCTTTGCTCGTCTTCGCTACTTGAAGTCAATTTTCCTTTTTGATATCGTGCCTGAGTCACTCGATGACTTGACCGCTGAAGAGAGTGAGCTTCTAGAAGAGATGTGGTCCTTCATTCCCCTTTCCGACCAGCTGCTCGCATATTCAGTTGCTGTAGACCCTCTCGCCTTCTTCCCTGCTTATTGTCAGTTGTCAAGCCTATATGAACAGCATGGATTCCGACAGTTCAGCGCAATACCTCTGCGCCGCTCTCTCATCCAAAGCCATGTGCGGATCGACACCGTCATCCTCTACTCTCACGTTCTTTGCATCACGCGACGAGAAGCGGAAACTGTTGAAAACGTCGATTTATGGTTGCGCGTCTGTAATCTGCAGAACAAGGCTTTTAGATCTCGTCATGGAATGTGTTTTGAAGGCTCGATCACGACGGACGGAACCTCGGTGTCTGTATACCTAAAGCACCCAGAAGCAGACAAGTATGGAAAGCGCAGCGGAGGAAAAAAGTCAGCAAACACGATGGAGGCAGAGGTTAAAGCGCTTTATGTGGAGAAAAACTTACCTGCTTGTCGAGCAGCAGAGAATGTCATTGTTATCGACCCAAACAAGCGTGACATTCTCTACTGCCAAGACAGCAATGGTACAGCGTTTCGCTACACCGCAAACCAGCGAGCCATGGAGACAGGCAGCCGGCGATTTGCAAAGAGACGAGAAGCAATGAAGAAAGAAGCTGGAGTTGACCTCATAGAATCACGAATACCATCTCACAAGACGATGAACCTCATGGACTTTACTCGCTACCTTCTTGTTCGCCATCATGCAGATTCGGATCGTCGAAAGGAGTTCTACTCACATCCTGCCCACACGCGGTGGAAGTGGCACTCTTTCATCAATCGGCAGCGAAGTGAATCGGACCTCATAAGCAACATGCGCAACAAGTATGGCGAAAACTTTACTGTTGTGATGGGTGATTGGAGCGACGCCGGTCGAACTGCAAGATTTCAGACCTCATCAAGGACGAAAGGCTGGCGCACCCTCTTTAAGCGCAACAGGATCAACTGCTTCCTTCTCGACGAGTACAAGACCTCATCTGTTTGCCCTTGCTGTTCCTCTGGCGTTGAAAAAGGCTTCAAAACACGACCTCATTCAAGACCTTGGCGGCGACGCGAAGGCAAGATTGAAAAAGTCCACGGATTGCTGGGTTGTACCAACCCTAACTGTTTGCAGCAAGCCTGGACGATGCGCTACTGGAATCGAGATACGCTGAGCACCTGCAATATGGTAACGATCGTGCAATCAATGTTGGATGGACACGGCAGACCAGAGGTGTTCAGGAGGGGTGTTCCAGCGGTAGCGTAGCGTAGATTGGTTAGATTAGGTTTTCCGAACCGGTTGTCGCGCGGTTCAATCCCTGGTGCGGGTGCTAGGGCCAATACCCATCGGCTCCGCACTAAGAACTAGAACGACAAGCCCATGCGTAATTTCACAACGACGACGACGACGGCAACGAGGACAACGACGCCGTCATGGCTTCTCCGTCAGATTCCAGAAAAGATACTTTCCGCTTCAAGACAATGCACATTGCCATATTCACAGCGGCGACGGTCCTTCCTGGAAGTTTACTCGTATCCGCCTATGTTATGTTTAAAGGGGGCAAGTGTTGGTCACAAGTGTGTCCAGAGAAGGAGCACTTGAATACGGAGATGCGTAACAGGTAAGAGAGATAATGAATTTGTGCCAGCCCACACAATTCTCTAACTGTTTACAACTCGTTGGTTGTCCAGTCTCGTCGCATTCTATGGTTGGCTTGCGGTTGTTGCTGTCGTATTTGCTCTGGCGCAACGAACCTCATGGGGTCATGGGCACTCTTGGAAACATCGTTACATATCCCTCTCTCGCAGAACAAAGTGGTCCTATGCAGAGATTATCGTGTGGCTGTTGGTACTGGGACATCAGCTCTTTCAATTTTGTTATTGGTATACGCAATACCATTCCCGCTCTTCTTCAAGTTCTCCGACCCAGCGAATGTGGCGAGCTACCTACAAAGCCATTGCTTTCAATGCCGGCATTCAACTGTCCTTGACCCTATTGCCGACATCCCGCAATGGATTGCTATCCACGTTGTTTGGAATCGGATACGACCATTCTCTCTCCTTTCATAGATGGTCTGGAGCACTGACGGTGCTACTGGCTGGGGCGCATGTTGGTGCATTCGCAGCCTACTGCCTCGCTCGAAGCGGATGGGCCCAGTTTTGGAAAACAACGCTGCTGATTGGAGCGTCACATGAGAGGATCGCTTCGTATAGAGGCTGGTTGGGGCCGGTGGGACTCGTGGCTCTACTCCTCTTTCTCTGGGTCTCTTTGAATTCGTTCGAGTCTATCCGCCGAACACGGTTCAATTGGTTCTGGTTCAATCATTTCGCGGTGTTGGGGGCCATCCTTTTGTCATTCGTGCATGCTTCGCCCATGCTCTACTATGCTTTGCCGACTTTGACATTGTATATCATCGATTCATGCGTACGAGTGTTCAATCGACGTCGAGCGTATAATGTCACATCATTGACGATGGAGGATTGCGGATATGTGCGATTGGATATCGCAGATTGTCACATTCCTGCTGCCCCCGGACAGTGGGTCTCCATCTGCGTACCAGCCGTCTCAAACGTGGAATGGCATCCGTTTACTGTCGCAAACAGCTCTCCTCCACGTCGAAGGGGCGGACCTCCTGAGATGGAATATTTGTTGGCGAGGTCCACTCCTGTTGCACCTGGACTGAGTTTGATCATCAAACCGCAGGCGCACGATGCTTCGTGGACGCAATCGCTTGTGCGGACATGGCAAGAAAACACTGATCCCGAGAGCGGGACTCCAAACATTCAAGTTTACATTGACGGACCACATGGTAACCTCCCACCACGATTTCTACGCTCTGATCACGTTCTTATTGTTGTCGGTGGAAGCGGCATTCCTGGAGGTCTTGCCATTGCGCGTTCCATACTCGAAAATCCTCCACCACGAATACAAAAGATCCACTTTTGGTGGACCTGTCGAGCTCCCAATGCATCACAACTTTCCTTATACCAAGATCTTTTGGCTCATCCTCGTGCTACTTCCCTTCTCGTCCCGCGTCTTGTCATTACCAACCCGAAAACGGGTACACGCCGCCTCTCTGTTGCAAGCATATTTTCACAACTGGACACTCGACCCGGTGAAATTGTCTCTGTATACGGGTGTGGGCCTGTCGGTTTGATGGACGATATACGGAATGAGGTAGGAAGGCTGGGCCGGGTTGTGGGTGATGGGTTTGAGACGAGCTCGGATGGGGGTTCGGACGTCGATGGCAATGTAGAGATGGATCCAGAGTGGGGACGTGCCGGAAGGATCCGACGAGGCGTGCGAGTACTGCTGCATATTGAAGGATATGGGCGTTAGGCAGATACCCCGGGTTGGCAGATAATTTTTTTCCGTGTACATTAGCTTTACTTTGCGTATATAACTCTTTATATATTTATAAATGATATCTGGTGCAATTGTTTCACAATTCAACGCTTGGTTTTCATTTCTATTCACAACTCATTCGCATCATTAATATATACATACAAACTTGTAGATAAACCACGTTCTACACTGAAGGAAAACTACTTGTGTCCAAAGGTGCGACCACGGTTGGTTCTAAACTGTACTAATATGCCCACAATGGCAAGTACGGCGGCTGTAATGAGCAGGGCGAGGACCTTGTTGTCCCTCGTAAAGATCGACACATCGAATCGGTTGCCTGTCAAGAAGAGTCGGAGAGCCGGGGTAAATCCGGTTCGAGCAAACACGTCGATACCCAAAACAATGGACATGGCTCCGGCCACAGCAGTCGAGACAATGAGTACCGGCTTGACCAGGAAAAAGATAGCAATAGCCCCAACCACGACCATTGCAATGATAAAGATGGTACGTCCGAGACCGCTCTGAATTACACCGCCGGATTGGAAGGAGAGGATAAACATTGCTAACGAGAACCCGCCGAGAGCTCCGATGCATGCCAGCCCCAGCTTGACCAGGCACACTGCCAATAGTCCTCCGACAATACCACACGCCAAAGACCCGAGTAACAAGATCGTGTCACGATTAGACCATCCATCTGGCTGTGGTTCCAAATTGAGGAGAATGGAGTACCCCAAGGTCCCAAAAACGAAGAATCCGGCAAGGAAGAGTGTTGGATAAAAGAGTCTGTGGCCCCAAAAGAGTAGAACGAAACCAAGGATAATGGCAAGGGCACCCGCAACCGCTGTTTGTGCTGTGATGGCTTCCTTAATATCTGGTTTTGGAAAGTTGTAAGCAGGAATGGCTTTTGCAAATATCGTCCCTTTGATCCTTACCATTGATCGCGTCTGTTTGGGCAGCCACGAGTGTCAAGCCCGCCAGCAGCCACAAGAGGATGGCTTGCAGGCTAAATCCCTGTTTTATCGACATATTGTCGTGCGAGACCGGATTGAAAAATGAGGGTAACGAGAGTGCCGTGTAGAGAGGTAAGAAAAAAAAACTTGAGTAATGAGTTAAGGTCCCAACAATGGTCGTCGTTCAAAATGCCAGTGCCGTTTTCAAAATGCTTTGAGGTGAACCCCAGATCGTCGTCGTCGTCGTTCTCTTTTTATTCAACTGCCAAGGCCAGAACAAACGTCAGCAGCCAAGAAAACCGACAAAAGACGAGGCTTGGCCGTTCGTGGCGGTTCACGCGATCATTCCAATGGAAGACTTCTAACCAACGACGGCCTTTTCCCGCCCCCAATTTGGAGATCCACAAAATGGGATTGGTTGTAGCCCAGCCGCAACACCGCAACAAATTTGTCATGACGTCACGTGTGAAACTTGCGTTTCAGACCCTGCAAAAGAGAATTTTGTACCAAGGTTTTGAGACCTCCGACCACGGAGCTTGCTTATCAAAGCCATGACGGCATTCCGCCGATTTAAGGTTTTGAAGGCTTTGGAGGGTTCCAAGGTTTTTGCTTTCGGCAAGTGAATTGGAATCATTTTGGGCACTTGTACTGGTTTGCCGTAATAGAGCATCTTGAAGCAAGCTTGCTTGCTTTGATATTCAGATTATTAAAGGATTGTCTTGCAATCCATCGCACGTTTACGACGCACAAATGTGAGGCCTCCACTGTGCAAACAAGTCGCATGTAGCATCTCATCTTTTGAACGTGCATTGAGGGACTAGGCGCAAGAGAATGTAAAGTCAAAATATGCTATGTATTGTTGCTGTGGGTGTCCGTCCAGCCAGCACACTAGCAACCGCGTTGCTATGACCGATGAGTATTCCCACGCGCGGCGATATAGGCTATCGCTTCTGCTTTTATCCGCATGCACCGTTACCAAGGTTGTGTACGGGCGACAGTGGTTAAATAGACTCATTCATCCCTCCCGACTCGCCTGTTCTGTCCACTTTGCGCAGCGATGCCTACTAGAGTTGCGATTATTGTTAGTCCAGTTTCGTGCGGTAAAGATCACGACCACACTAATCCTAACCTCCTTCCCGTTCTCGGCGTCAGGGTTCAGGCATTTCTGGCCTTAGCGCCGCATGGCTCCTCTCCAAAGACCCTTCCTTCTCTCCAACGCTCTATGAGTCCGGCTCCTATCCAGGAGGCCACACGCACACTGTCGACATTCCAACTCTATCTGACCCGACCAAAACCGTCCCAGTGGACACGGGTTTCATAGTATGCAATCCAGTGACCTATCCCAATTTTCTCGCTCTCCTCAAAGAACTTCAAGTCCCTCTCGCCATCACTGATATGAGCTTTTCTGTCTCCCGAAACGGCGGAGAGTTTGAATGGTGTGGAGATAACATCGATACTGTATTTGCACAGCGAAGGAATTTAATGCCATTTGGACAGAATGGAGGGGGCATGTGGAGGATGATTTTGGATGTTATTAGATTTCATAATGAGGCCAAGAGGATTGCTGTGGAGGCAGACCGGCTCGCATTTGATGATGAAGGGAGAGTGAGAGCGGGAACAACGCCACAAGAGAGAGGTAAGTCGTCCATTACCAGTATTTAATTTACTTTGCTTATCAACGATTACCATGCGCATTCCACTTTAGAGCATCCTTTCGCGACTTTGACATTAGCCGAATTCTTTAAGCAACGAAATTACTCGAGCTTCTTTTACGAAAACTACATTGTCCCGATGACCGCTGCTATCTGGTCAACACCCGCTGACATGACATTTGACAAATTCCCTGTTTTGACGCTTTTGCGGTTTATGCGAAACCATCAATTGTTACAAATTGGAAGGCGACCAAAATGGAGAACCGTGGTAGATGGAAGGTATTTTTGGCAATGGAACAGCGTTTGTCAACATGCTACCAAACTCTCATCATTATCTGCATATATAGTCGCACATATGTCACCAAAATCCTTGAAAACGTGACGGACGTCCGCCTCAACACAGCCGTGGTGTCCGTTGAGCGTCAAAAAGACGGCAAGCTCGTAGTTGTAGACGCCAGCGGAAACCGTGAAACATACGACCACGTCATCTTGGCAACACATACCGACCAGGCCCTCAAGATCTTGGGTGAAAGCGCCACGAGTGAAGAGAGGAAAATTTTGGGAGCTATCAAGTATTTGAAGAATAGGTTGGTGTTGCACAGGGATCCAGAGGTACAGTATTCGTTCTCATTCAATCTTGCACTGGAATTGAGGGTATAATACTCATAATCCCTCAGCTTATGCCCAAATCTCGCAAAGCCTGGGCAGCATGGAACTACCTCACACGCACCAAGTCGGAAACCGAGTCTCCAACCGTATGCCTTACATACTGGATGAACCGTCTTCAACCATTTGTGAAAGAAGCGGAATGTGGTCCCGTGTTTGCCACACTCAACCCACTCATTGAGCCACGCTCGGATATGGTCTTTGGGGAGTGGGAGTATGAACATCCTTTATATGCTCCGCAGACAATTTCCGCGCAAGATAAGTTACAGGAGATACAAAATAAGAATGGGGTAACCTTTTGTGGCGCGTGGACCAACTATGGATTCCATGGTAAGGAGAGTCGAGTTTTTCATGGACATCCCGGCTGCATATTTTGTAACGCTGCTTTTTGTCTGGGTAACAGAGGACGGTTTAACGTCCGGCCTTTTAGCATCCATCTCACTGGGCGCCACATGCCCCTTTCCGGTCCATCTCAATGGTGGGTTTCCGACAGAACGACTTCCCATCGTCCCACCGAGCTGGGCAACCGAGAAAGGTGTGACAATCTACACGCATGCAAAACCAAAGTATATCGAACACACCCCCGAAGCGGTTCTGAAAGCTCAAAGACGAAGCGATCCCATTCTGGAGGTCCTGAATATCGCATTCGTGGTTATTTTTGCGCTTATTTGTCTCTGGATTGCTCTATGGCTTGATTTGGGAAGGTTTTAAGCATGAATCCTCTCTCGTATTTCCTACCATTGTATTTTGTTGTTAGATTGGACTACTAGAGCTGGAGGATCAACCTGTTCGATAATTAGAGTACTGCACGTGGACCTTCTTATACATATATTCTACTGTCCCGTCATTGTGTAATTGCCTGTGCTGTCCTGCATAAGTAAAATGTTCCCTAGTCTTAATACTGTAAGGCGCTGGGTCCCCGAGATGCGCGACTTCCACCAACTGTGTCCATTGCTTACGGAAGGCGTCCTGTACGCGACGCGACCATCTTACAGCAAAGGTATCCAGATTCTATCCCATCTACCACCATCCGAGTATGGTACGTCACAGACCATCTGCGCTGCAAATTCACATTCACCAGTACTAACATGATCCAAAGGGTCTCCTTTCGCTTCTTCGCAAGCTAAAGCGCACAGACCGAGAGATTCGGGTTCTACTACTCGGCCTCGACAATGCCGGCAAAACATCCATTCTAAAACGTTTGGCATCGGAGGACATAACAGAAATTAAGCCGACACAGGGATTCAATATCAAAAGTGTCCAGCAAGAGGGGTTTAAAATGAATGTCTGGGATATTGGAGGTATTCAAGTTTGAAACTTTTGGCTGAGCTAATGTTCATTTCTGACCGTTTGGACTGGTCTCTCCTAGGGCAAAAATCAATTCGACCATATTGGAGAAATTATTTCGAGAGCACAGATGTGTTGGTATGTAAACCTGGAAGGAAATGATAGGCAGTCTCCAATTAAAAGCCTACATGTCGAGCAGATTTACATTATAGACAGCGCAGATAAGCGACGACTGGAGGAAACGTGAGTATCCCCATACTTTACTGCAGAGAGTCAGTGCCAACATCTGTTCCTTTAGGGGAGAAGAGCTTCACAACCTCTTGGAAGAGAATAAACTAGCCGGTGTTCCAGTACTGGTTTTTGCCAACAAGCAAGATCTTATCAACGCACTACCAGGACACGAAGTAAGATGCCGGTTCTCAGATTAGAATTGCCCTGCTTTGAAATAAGAACCCTAATATTTTCACAGATTGCGACAGGTCTGAATTTAAATGCAATAAGGGACCGTCAGTGGCAGATTCAACCGTGTTCGGCAAAAACGGGGGAAGGGATCGAGGAAGGAATGCAATGGGCCATGCAGTGCTGTAATAAAAAGTGAAGCATGCATCCAAATCGGTTATTGTAATCTGTTTTTGCGTTCTCCACTGGTCAATCATCACCTTTATACCAGCACATGCGGAAAATCTCTTATGCGAGAAAAGTTAAAGGTAGAGATCTGCGCATCCGTGCAGTATGCTTTCTATATACATGTACAGGAAACCGCTACGGTAATGCAGCCGTTCTACTGGCAATTGTTCGGATTGATGCTCACCATAGGACTAAATCAAGCTTGAGTTTGATTATCGGATCAATGAATGCTATTTAGCTGCTTCAAAATGTAAATATAAAATGACCGATCTATGTACTAGTGGGCTGTCGGCGTTTCACAACTACCGCGGTAACTAAACCTACTGTAAGAACCGTTACAAACAGGATGGCCATGCCAACAAATCCCTCTGCAGAACCTAGATTAACTTGATGCGACTCTCGCCCAACAGGAAGGAATACCATACCTCTTTTGATCTTTCGGTTGATGATTCTTTCTAGTTCCAGTGCTTGTGAATTATGAGGTTCATGTTCCAGAAGTGTTTGATTGTATTTCCGTGCATTCTTTCAAAAATGGCTCATTAGTCGCCCCCGGGCTGATAGGACGGGGGGTTTTCCACGTACTTTGTAGTTCTGCAATTTGTATTCTCCTAATGCGAGGTAATAAAGACATTCGCGCCGTCGACTGGGAAGTTCACTATACATTTCTGTAATAGCACCAGGTCAGTATTCAATCATATCTAACAAATTATCTTTGATACATACGGTGCAGTAACTGGAGGCCCTCCTCTTGGTCAGGTCTTGTTCGGCTTCGTACTTTGAGGCCGGACAATTAGGAACAGCACAACCAGCATTTGAAATCACAGCAGCTTACCAAGCGCCCAAGCATAGTTGAACCTTGTTTGTGGGCGCGGCTTGGCCCCTTCTGAACGGTAGTTGTCGCGGAGGAGCTAGTAATTGCCAGCGAATGTGAAGACAGTCACAAGTGCTCCAACAACCATTCATGTGACCTTACATTAAGCTCATCCTCCGAAAGAGATATCTCAGCTTCTCTGACATGGGGCAGTGTTTCCATTTGTTCTGGGTGGTTCAGCGATAGATGGATGATCTTTGACAACCAGCGATCTTGACATCGCGTCACTTGCTGACAAGCGCATTCGAACCGGTGCTTTTGACAAGTTATAGACTAACAAGGCATAACGCTGCCGAGTTGGCCTCCGATACTGCCATGGGACTATGGCAGTTTGTAGAAAGCTAGATTTATGTCCATTGAAATGTCGCAATATAGATTCCAATCATGTTCATAAGCGTGAGATTCGTATGATCGAAGAGAGCAAGAATATACGACAGATGACCAATCAAATTGAAGAGGATAGTGCGTAAATAGTATACAATACCCAGCACCGGAAGTAACAGCCAGCATAAGATCTATGCCTGCGAATCTAGTCTTGTCCAAAAATCGGCCCGTGTCCAATCAGATTCAGGCTTCTGGAGTAAAGTACATCTGGACAAGTCGATCGTGACTGGCCCCAGCGCACCACGATTGTAGACAGCTATACAGCCCTATGCACAGTATCTACGCCGTCCTCCCGTCATGATTAATGCAAACCATCATACGTGAAATCCCTTCAAGCTTTGCTCCAGCTCTGCTATTTCTTTCTCCACGTCCTTCTTCCCAGACAACTTGTCTCTTTGCTCTTGAATTAAATTCCCCCCCTTTGCCTGCTTTTCCTGCAGCTCTTCAATTTGCCGTAGTTTCTTTCGTAGGTTTTTGAGTTTCTTTTCTATATCCACAGGGGCTGTTGCTTGTGTCTTTGCCGGAGTATCAGACAGCGCCTTGCTATCGGGTGTCGTGGTGACCTTCTCTGCGGGCCCGTCTTGCTGGTCCTTTTCGCCTGCTTTCTTTGCTCTTCGTTTGGCATTCTTCTTTGCTGATTTGCTTGTTACGGTCGATGCTTCCGATGGCTGAACCACTCCTATACCAGGCACATATCCCTCTGGAACACGGGTGGCCTCAACCTTGGCGTTTGTATATCTGGAAACGTCCTCCTGAGGAACATAGCCAGGACGAACTTTGCGCTCCTTGCGAACAGAGCCATCTGGACGGCGGGTTGCGGGTATTACACGATCGCCGGATTGAGACTCGCGGATTCCTGATACCGGTGGGATGGACATGCTTTATGCTTTTTGTGCGTAGTGAGAATAAGATTTGGAGATCTTCCCCGTTTTGATCGTGGTGACCAGCGATTGCACCTGTCTGGAGCAAAGTTACGTGACTGTGATGCATAGTCATCTGCTTATGAAAGCCTTACCCAATACATTGAATTTTTTTTGTTGGGTGAAATCCACACGTGTTTCTGCTGGGCGCGCAGCACACAGTGCGGACTTTCGGGTCTTTCGTCCGTTTCCCCATTTCATTTTACCACAAGCACACATTTCACAATGCGGTTAGAAAAGTGCTACTTTTGCTCAAGCACAGTTTACCCTGGACATGGCACAATGTTTGTGCGCAATGACAGCAAAACTTTCCGTTTTGTAAGTAGGGCATGTGCAAGATATTGAGCTGTCAACTAATCATTTCTTGCTTGTACCAGTGCCGATCAAAATGCCACAAGAACTTTAAAATGAAGCGTAACCCACGCAAAGTTCGTTGGACAAAGGCGTTCAGAAGAGCAGCTGGAAAAGAAATGACAATCGTAGGTGTCTCTCCGCTTGGAGAGCTGTTGTTGGGACACATATTTGGTTCATATGCTCAGCCAGTTGGTTTCCTCCTATTCAGGATGCGACTCTTGAATTTGAGAAGCGACGCAATATTCCAGTACGCTACGATCGGGAGCTGATGGCGACAACTCTGAAAGCGATGAAACGAGTGGCGGAGATCAAAGCACGTCGGGACCGTGTATTCTACAAAAAGAGGTGCGTCTACATATGCAGTCCTGCACTGATCGTTGAAATATAACTGAACATCTTTTGTATAGAATAAGTGGCAAGAAGGAACACGAGAAACAACAAAATGTGTTGGAAATCCAACGCAACATCCAACTGATCGGCGAGCCTTCTCTCAAAGAGAAGGTCATGGAGCAGAAGGTCATGGCGACGGAAGAGAGGATGGACATGGAGACAGCGTAAAGCAGACTCACGGGGGTTCACTTTGTCGATTATACCGCTTCTTCGTTTATGAATTTTATGTGTGTCATTGGTGGTGTGGGATTATGGTGCAGAAGTACGGTGTGGGAAGATCAGGATGCGATGATGGCATGTCCAGTTGCATTTAGTGCTTTTGAATTCAGAGGAATCCATTGGATCGGTATGCTTTTCAAAGGGGAATAGGTGGTTGTATCGGTGGTCTTCGTTTGAACTTGTGTATATAACATACTTTTTTATAATTGAATAATAAAGATCAATCGCGATCGGTCGAGGTTAGGTTTCATATATTCAGGCCTTTTTTGGCACTTCCCGTTTCTCCAATACTCTATCTACGAGGCCGAACTTCAGGGCAGTCTCCGCATTCATAAAATGATCCCGCTCCATGGTTTTTTCTGTCGAGAGGTCGCAACCGCATTGATACGACATAACATTTTAATTCGCCGACTATTCGAACGTACCTATCCACTCCAATGGTTGCTTGGTATGCTTGTGATATATCTGGTTTAGTCGGGCTCTGATTTCGAGGATCTCTTTCGCGTGAATTGCGATATCTGATGCTTGCCCCGTAGCACCGCCGCTGCCAAATGAATTGCCAAATTAATAAATGTCGTTTTTGAACGATCCGCGGTTACATACCTCGGCTGATGTATCATAACTCGTCCATTGGGAAGAATAGAGCGCTGTCCAGCTTCACCTGCAGCGAGCAGAAGCGAACCCATGGACGCAGCCTGGCCGATGCAAACGGTTGCAACAGGCGATTGAATATACTTTACAAGGATGTCAGAGAAATGCGATACTCGTGAGTGCTACCTGAGGAGCGGCATACCTGCATCTAATGATGGTGGGACAGATTAGCAGACAGCAATTCGTCGTCTACGACTCTGCGAAACTCACCGTATCATAGATTGCCTACGAAGGGCGACCCACCACGCAATAGGTTAGCAGCCATAGTTAAGCACTTCGAGACATACATGCGTCAACCCACCATTCCCGCGGTGACGCTTCCTCCCGGTGAATTTATATAAAAGTTGATAGGCTTTTCGGGGTTCTCTGCCTCGAGAAACAGAAGCTGGGCGACGATAACAGCAGCCACACCATCATGAACCTCCCCGTTCAACATCACAATCCGCTCTTTTAGAAGACGGGAGAAGATGTCAAACACTCGCTCGCCCCGTGGCTAAACGTCTTCTTGTTAAACGGACGGTAAACTCTACTTTTTCAGTCATGTACTTACGGAGGATTCTATCACATACGGGATGCCAAGTGCTGTTGCTGGTGAGGAGGAGCGAGGCGAGGAATTCCAGGAGGAGAACTGCCGAATCGACAGCTGCCTTGTTGTTGGCAGAAACCGAAGGAAATGTCGCATGATTGCAGTCTACAAGATCGCGATTGAACTGGTCAAAGAAGGCAAATCCTGGTGGATGTCACTTTACTAAGCGCCCGTGACAGTGAACACTTTCCACTTTTTAATGTTGAGCCTGTAAAGTATATTATCGATAATGAAACAGCATATGTTTCTGCCACTACTTTTCCATGACATCTCATCAATATGATACCGAGCTGTGATCTTGGTACTATAATTATGGGTAGTTAATAGAAGCAAACTAGCAGCGAGATCAAAGTTGGAAAGTGTTTGATGTTAGGGTGTACAAGCTCTACCTCAAGAAGTCCCCCAGAGTCCGGAGCTGATCCCTCATAGCCTGCTATAGGCATCATCCTACTGCATGATATCTACTGTCCAAGGTCCTCGTCCATTTGCACTACCATTTCTGCTTTGTCCACAAGCAACCTATATACCGCTACAAGGCAAATTCTACTTGAAATTATCCTTCATTGCCCGCAGTCGGGCAAGAACTTCGATTGGATCGGCTTGGGCATCCAATCCAACTGCTTTTCGAATCTCAGGGGAACTCAGACGCAAAAATGGATTATACTCAAATTCATCGCCAATTGTCGAAGGAACCGTGCATTCATGAGTCTCGCACCAGGCAAGCTTGTCTTTTATGACAGAATTGTTGGGTTCAACATGTGCCGCGAAACGAAGATTTGACTGCATTGGTTCAGAAAGATATTGCGATGAGCAATGGGTGAACGATGAGCACAAGCAATACACCAACCTTTGTGTATTCGTGACCACAATAGACTTTGGTATCTTTCGGAAGACGACCAAGAACATTATGCAGAGAGTTATACATCTGTTTCGCGTCCCCTTCGAAGAATCTGCCACATCTGGAACATATTCTCCGTGTTAATGTCAGGGAGGCAATTGATCACATAGTACCCAATTCTCCGAGTCTTTACCCGCCAATGAACAGCGTATCGCCAGTGAAGACGGCTTTGTCATTTGTGCTTGGATCCACGACGTAGTAGGAAACTGAGCCCCTATATCTTGCATCAGGCTTCCATTTCTTTGAACGGCAATGGCTGACCTAACTCACCTAGTATGACAAACGGTGTACAAGGCTGTAACCTCCAAGCGACCAATACGGAATACCTCCTGGTCTTTGACTCGATGTGTGAGCTGCGGAATCCGGTCGTCTCCACCCCACACTGTTACATTGGGCTTCTCTTGCAGCAGCTTCGTGTTGCCTCCTGCATGGTCATGGTGGTGATGCTAGAAGAGCCCCGTCAGGTAGTATAAGATCATAGTGATACCCTGCTGCTCTCCTCCTCAGTTTACCGTGGTTAAGACTCCATTTAGGGTGATTCCCTTCTGGCCAATAACGGGCAGCACTTTGTGGGGTTCTACCGGATCCACTACTACACCCTACACGGTATTATCGTCAGTGGAAACGTGTGCAACTTGCAACTGTGGATAGCTGGCGTCCACCTCTTTTGAATCCTCATCCACCAAGACATATGCATAGTTGTCCGATAGGACTGGAACAGGCAAAACCAGCATGCTTTTTACGAATATGTGCACAAATCTATGTCGTTGAGAGAATATATTACGAAGCGATGGCATAGAATCAGTTTGCAATCCAAAAGATTCCGCGCACCAAATGCCCTCGGGTCTTGCGTAATTCTTAGGGGAACGATCGCCATCACGTGGGTGATTACCACATCCAATGTGTCCAACGTTGGGAACTGTATTTGAACTAGATTCTTACAATAGCACATCAGACTTTTTGTTACTGATGATGACAACTGTCCCTATAGTTGAAACCAATGCTGACCCCTATCGCAATCTCGTCATCGTCCTTCAAGCGATTATCCATTACCATGATCCAATCACGCGAAATCTTGTGGATTGTTTAACAGCCTCCCTTCCATTCCCCCATTCAGATCCAAACAAACCCCAGTCATATTCCCGGATACAGCTTCGCTCGACAAGAAGAGAATGGCTGACGTGGTAGGGGATGAGTTCAAACCCGACGCTATAAGGGTTCGCAAGATCTCTACCTTACCTTTTGCAATGTCGCTGGGCTCAGACACCTTTTTAAGTGGTGTGCTAATTGGTTGCAAAGCAGAGGAATTAGGATGCAATCGAGTGCTTTCTCCTTCTGTGTTTTACCTGGCCAGTGCTTGGTACAATAGGGTTGGATCTTGCATTGCTCGTTCTGCCATGGGGGTTCGGATCCAACCTGACAGAGCAATCCAAATGTGTCATGGTGGCAGAGGTGTTCAATGACTTACTTCAGTACTCACCTGGGGCAACAGCATTAACCCGCCCTTTTGGATGGGTTTTTACGATTTCATTCTTTAAACTTAAGGTAAGGCCTTGCATCATTGCTGACTTTGTGCAGGCATAGTCGGCATGCCAGGCCTCGCCGAACTTTCCTATGTTCAATGAGTTGAGGACACCATGACTGATGAGCGGTGCGTATCTGATTACTGTTCTTCTAACCAGCTGTTGATCTGACAACCAGGGTCACAATTCATTCTTCGGATATGTCCAGCCGTGCCGCCAAGCTTACCCAACCAGGACAATTGACACGTTACTCAAGCTCCTCCGTTCTTGGACGGCAGTTTCGATGCCTTTCAAAAAGTATTTGCAGGACAAAAACGTCCCGTCCAAGTTGATGCTCATGGTGTTTCTCCAACGTTCCAGTGACATGTCCTTGACTCCAACATCCTGCGAAGGCCAAACACCGTGAGTTACGACAAGGACCTCGACTGGCCCAAATCGGGACGTTGCTGCTTGGAAGAGCGTGACTATATCGCCCTCGGAAGTAACGTCAGCAGGATGAGCGTGACATTGATTTGGATATGATGTTTGCAAGGGTAAAAGCGTTAAGTTTGTGCTGTTGTACTGAAGCGTCACATTAGCCCCTGCCTCTAAGTAATGGTTCCGTGTGAGAGTCATCCCATGGAACACTGTGAGCAGGTCTCTCTGCAGCTACTAACCTAAAAAGAGTCGAGCTGTGACTACACCAACCCCACCACTCGCGCCAGTTATAAGCACATGTGTTCCTTCCAATTTCAAGTCCATCGAGGCTGCCTGGCGTTGTATCGTCGTAGAGAGCTGAGATGAGATGTTGTATGACTCATTCCATGAATCTCCAGGCTGCACGTTTGCTTGGTCATCCAAGGCATCAACACGCGCGATCTGGCTCGCGATGGAGGGAACTCTGTTCATATATGACGAAAGCAGGCGATTGGCAGCCTTTGAGGCGTATCCTCAACACCATAACGCCGTGGTACAGTCCTTTCTACAGCCGTGTTTTGTAACTTACTTACATGGCTATCCCAGATATTCCTGGGCGGATTAACGGACGGGCCATTGGGAGGTTGGGCCCTTGCATTTCGTCGTTGCAGCGTTACTTGTCCTATACTCTGACAAGACATCTAGTGGCATACGTAACACCACTAGCTTCTCGACTGGGGCTGGAGAACAATGGCTATTCCTTTGTTCAACCGATCTTATCTTCCTCATACCATGGGTATGGGACCAGCAGTCTGCAAAGCGATAGCGACCAGATCGATTTACTGGTGGATTACTTGCGAGAACGACGAGGGAAGATGCGCATTGTGTTGATTGGACATTCAACTGGGGCTCAGGTAACGGTCCAGCAGTGCTCCCTGTAACCAACCTGTGGCGTGACTAGTTACAGGATGTAATATGGTTCCTCCATCACGGCCGCCTTCGTAAACAAGTACATGCAGGAATCCTGCAAGGTCCTGTGAGCGATAACGAGTATGCCCTTTGGATGGACCCAGATGGAACACAGCGGTGGCTTCAAATAGCAGAAGCTTTAATTGCCGACGGCAAGGACCAAGCTCTGATGCCTAGAGAGGTAGTGGCGTTTGTGTGACGCGATATACTGGAACTTCTCAAGTACTTAGTTCAAGATGCAGGCGGATCCGGCTCCAATTACAGCGTACCGCTACAGGTCGTTGTATGGTCCAAAGTAATGTGGCCCTGAGTTCACGCTCTGCGCTCAATCTGTACTGACCAAATGCAAGTGGGGACGATGATATGTTTACGTCAACCATGGGGGCCGAGCGCTGGGACCGCTTATACGCTCCCATCGAGTGTCCACTGCTCATATATCTTTCTGGGCAAGACGAGTACGTGCCACCTTTTGTCGATTTACACGCCCTACATAAGCGATTTGTCAAGTCCCGCAACAATCCCCTCGACTGTTGCATCCTCGATGCGCAGGCGAATCATGCAATCGAAGATCCAGTCGAACGGGATCGGTTTTGTACAGCTGTAGAAAGTTTCCTGTCATCTTTGAGTAGTTAGTTTAGTCTGGGTATTACAGGCCAACATTGCAGTGGCTCTTAGAATGCCGATCGCTTTATTTGACCGTCATTGCAATCCAATTGTTGGCTAATTTTCTATGATCGGGCCTATTCTTTATTATTGAACGTCCAGTGTAACATGAACAAACACCTGTAAAGTTGGTTGCAACGCCGGATGGACTCGGTTCGAAATGCTCGAGCGTGACAATCCGCCAACACCGCGAGACGCATACGGCTTCGCGTTCGACATTCTCCCTCCATCCCCCTCCCTTGTGTACAGATAGCCCGCTTTGTCCGACCGACAGCTCTCCTTTATTACGGCCGGAGGGTGACTTCAAGCTTCTTTGTAGTAGCCTATATCTGCGGCGCAAAACAATAATGAGCGGGACAGAAAGCATACCATCGGATCCCAGTGAACTCCAAGATGTAGTGCGCCGTCAAGCGGCAGAATTGAGAAAAATCACTGCTGTAAGTCGTCCGTAACGCCTGGTCACTGGTGGAGGCGCTGTTTGGCCGCTTCCCGCCCCAAAGGCGTGTGAATTGTTGTACTAGGGTGCCGATGACAATTCACGCGTCGCAAGAGTACTTGCAGACCATCTGACAATGACTTATCTTTCGGGCTCCGTACACGTACAGGAGAAGGAAGCGCTATTAAACAAGGTGGAGGCGAATGAACAGACGTATAAAGAGGCGCTTCAGCTGCACCTTGACAGTGTCAGTATAATGCAAATAGAAAATCTTCGCCAAAGCAGACTCGTTCGCTGATTTGCCGCCGTCCGTCAGGCCACATTGGAGAAGGCACGTTTGGAAACATCTCTAGCTTCGCTCAAGAAAGACCAGCAGGTTCGCTCTGAAGAGTTTCAAAAGCAACTGGAGACCTTACGCACACCCGGGGATAGGTATGATGCTAGCTGCCGTATTTGGGCCACGGAGATATTGTGGCCTGAGCTATCTCCTGAAGCAGCCCCAATGAGGATGAGCTTTTGGTATCACTTTCCAAAGCCATCGAATCCGATGATCTACAGCACATCAAGGACTTGGCTAAGCAACTGAAAGACCGCGTGACAGTACAAGACGCTCTGATCAAAAAACTGAAGTTTGAGCTTGACATGGAGTGCGGTCATGTAAACATACTGCGGTAATGACGGGATTATCTCATTGTATCAATGCTATCTGATTGTGTATAACGGGCCATCAACAGGGCGGAAAACCAAAAATTGCGGCAAATGACAGTGGAGCTGGTAATATTGCGTGCGAGTAGTATGAGGATAGCACTGCTCTGAACTTCATACCTACCCCAGCAAGCATCTGCTGAACAGGAAGAAGAGTATATTGCTAATAAATTGATGAAACGCATTAACCACCTCAAAAAAGAAAAGGGAGAGCTTCTGCTGAAGGTAATCTTAGATGAGCTTAATAAGATAAGCATATGGCATACTTACGTCTTCCGGAGGTTGAGCAAGAGGAGGAAATGATCACAAATACATTACAAAAGAAACTATCCCAGGTGGGTAATACCGGATGAACATTACGATTTTGGCCACGGCCGCCAAAGCTAATGGCGATCATGACTATCTGTGAAATAGTTGCAGAAAGAGAAAATCGATATGGAGCTTGCTCTAGAGCAGGAGCAAGAATTTATTGTAAATCGTCTGCAAAAACAGCTGGAGAGTTTACGCCTTCAGCAAACATCTGCTAATACTCCGTAAGTGCTGATGGCGGGCTTCGCACCCAGCAGAATGGACTATCAGACTGCGCTTAACGAGCAGATGAGCCCATACTGACACGGAAGCATTTAGGAGAAAGATGTCGCATCCAACGCACAGTCCAAATGCATCTATGGTCGACTTTCCGGTGTCCCCGGGGGTTGCCGAAGTGCTTCGAGCTGAGGTGAGCGGTTGTGACGCTGACGCCCCTTGAAGGAGACTTATCGTTAGTACCATCCCAGGTGAACTCCCTAAAAACCAGAATACACGATATGGAAACAGAATACGAGGACGGTGCAAACACATGCGGTGAACTCTACAGCAAGCTGCGGGAAGAGGTCATTGCTCTTCGAGGTCGCTTGTCGTTACCTGTTGACGACATTGACCGACAATTCCCACAAGTGCTTCCGGCTCTTGTACAACGCAGCCGATCTTCATCTAGCCTCTCTGTCAATGACCGCTCCCGATCTGCCAGTTCGACCTCAGTTCGCCGATCGCCGTCAGAGACGTCAGTGGGGCCACAGGATCCGTCGCTGAGATGGGGTATGTCAGACAATGTGGTCTGCATCATACAGGGACCGCTTACTGAGCAATTCTATATAGATCGGCGGTCATCGCGATCTGTTAGTTCCACTCGTGGATCCATTATGAGTACCACTTAAGAATCAGACGCAGGTTGCACTTCATGTGACTCGAATCGCGGGTAGACCGAACTTAATACATGAAGCGTGCTTTGATTGCCGCCGCCGCTTTGAATTTGAACACCAATATGCGATTTATTCTAAGAAGAGACTATGACACGGAAGCCACTACGGAGTATTGTAGTATGGTTGGCATATGGGGTTGGTACGCCCAGTACGAAATGTGTAGCACATTGCCTCTTGTAGTTTCCATAGCTTTACAACAGGTTTTCATCATCAGATGAGAACTAGCGACAATGACTCTTAGAAAACCCCACTGGTATTGTCCTCATCATTTGCTTTTGGCTGGGTCAGTCATCGCATACAGCTGGTCAGTAGGTCTTTTGATCATGTTTGTTTATTTACTCGTGCAACCGCATCCAATACTGAGCGCAGAAGTATGGACAAATAAAGTTATGAATTCAAACAGGATTTATCGATAACGCTAAGCATTTGCATTTCAAGCGACTTTGTGACAGCTGTCGCGATTTGCCCCTTACAAAAAAAAAAAAAAAAAAAAAGAAAGAGAAAAGATGCAATAATATATCCCACCATGTCAAGCCAGCTTTGCAATGGTTATTCGTCATCTCCAAACAACAAGATTTGCAGGGATCAAGCATTGTAGTCCTTTTCATCAAGTCCATCAGGCCAACATTGCCGCTTTAGTTCTACGTCAACGACGGGCTTCAAAGCTTCCCACACATATTTAGCGTGTTCCCTAATGCCAGCCACCTCGCAGAACTTTTCCACCGTGAGTAGGGGAACCTCTCCGGGCCATATCTCAAGCGTTTGCTGCTCGCCGCAGGCAGTTGTGATGTTAGCGCGGACTAAGGGTGCCGATCCTGGGATGTTGTTGATTTGGGACTTTGGTTCGGCAGGTGAGCTAGAATGCTCATTGGCAACAGAAGCACGTTCACGCCCTATGATGACACCTGAACTGTCGCGGGCCCGTTTCGTTTCGAGCGATTCCCTATTTCCTGCCGGTGGTGGAGACGTCCATCCATCTGTCAGATTTGTTTCAGCTTCGGCCTCCAATTTTGTGGTTTTGGAATCCGGAATGACATAATTGGGGGGCAAAGGCGGTTGCGAGATGATGACAGGGTAATCATATATATGTGCCCCCCAACCAAACCTGTCCCGCACAGTTTCGTGGAGCTGCTGGGCAGGGCAAGCGTTGGTTGATTTTAACCCTGTATGTGGCTTCACCGAAGTCGTTCGAGCAGGCTGAATTGATGTTCGACGGGGTGCAGTATGGTGAACCTTTGGTGGCCGATGTAATATAGGTTTCATATATCTATACTCTTGACCGTGCTTCTCTTTCATCTCGGTCTGCTTCATGTACTGCAAGGTTTCAATTTCTCGGTCAATGTCTTTGAGTTTTAGGTTCGGCTGATCGGTGATGGGCGTCCCCCATAAATTGGTAGGTTGACGGGCAGCAGCTGCTCCATTGATGCTGTGTTTATGGCCGGTGAGATCTGGCATGCTCGGCAAAAAGGTGTTGGAAGCAATAACCTATATGGTCAGCTATGCTATGTTAACAAAAAATGTGGATCACTCTGTTGTGGCCGATGAGGGCGCATAAGTAACGTGGGAGGTGATGATGCAGGTAGGTGATAAGCTTTGAAGAATGGAAGAAGTAGCTTCCAAGCTTCCAGTAACCTATCAGCTGGTGGATCATTTACAAGCCTCGAAGGGCTGACTTCATATAATTGACTTCATGTAATCCGAAATGCAGATTCACATGGTGTAGTATCTGATACTACTGTAGGTTATCATCATGCAGTACAGTGGGGGCTCAGCCAGCAGGTCTGATGGGTTGATTGGTAGTAAGAATTCCATCCGGAGAGGCCTACCCAATGCTCTTTCTTTTCGAGTGCCTTCCTGCTTCCCTTCCGAGAGTCAATAACAAGGTCTTTCTGAAATTTCTCACAAGAGTGCTATCCAAACATTAGCCTGGAAAAATCATTACAACAGGTTCAGGCCGTGTTCCTTGTCAAAAATCTTCATTAAGATATACGAACGAGTCTTTGGCAATGGATGCCTTCTGTCATACATAATAGTTCAAGGCTTTTAAATACTTATTGTAAATTCACGCGTTAGCCAATATCTGCTCATGGTAAAAATAGTTTTCCGCACTTAAACTACTCCAAACGGGAACGCTTGGATCCATGCTCCTCTCTTCCAAGACAAGGCATCATTTGGCGCGCGACTGGTAGGGTAGTAGTAACTCTACCGTCAACAGTCTGAAAATAGTTCAACACATTCTCCGGGCAGATGATGACAGCGTGACTTCCTCGGCATCGCAGGCACTGATGCCGTCGCTCGCAATTCGGTCCGCTATGGCAGTTCTGCGATGAATTCCATGTGAGGCAATACTCGATTCCATTCTCTGGGGCGGGGGGTATATGACATTCTGGTAGTCTATGCTGACCGGACGCACATCGGAGGCAACGGTGCTCGCGATGACAATGAGGCCCGCACTCCTCATTGTTAAACCTAAAGCAACTCGTACGCTTTGCAGCACAGACATAAAATGGATGAGAGCCCATGCAAGCCACACAAACATGTCGTCGTGAACAATTTTGACCTTCGGGACACTCTGCTTGATTGTATTTGAAGCATATCTCCCCGTTTCCGGACACCTGTCTAAAATGCAAAATGGCTCCAGCAGGGGGATCACCACCAATAGATTCGATAGAATCAGGTCTGCCTCCCAAAGGAACGCCACCACCTTCGCCATCGGTTGACCGTGACCGCTTGAACGTGCCAACGGAAACGGTGCCCGCTGCATGGTGCTGACGCATTGTAAACGGCTCTTCCTGTCTATCATCAGGTTTCGAGCTGCCGGCGCATGGACGACTATTGGAATCACCGCGCACACTTGATGCAAATACGGTTTCTGCACTATCATGTACTGGCTCCAACGGCCCGCTCATCGTGCGTGGCAGTGTCGCCGGTGGAACAGTGACCGCTCTAGATCGTGAAGGACCGGTTGTCAAGAACTCTGCTGGATACCTTTTCCGCATCTCTTCGGCCTTTCTCAGTCCAATGCTCCATTCTTCCTTTTTCTGCATCTGTTTCCTTCTCATAAATATAAGGAGGCCCTCTAATCCATGTCTATCCTTCAAAGTCCGTTCTAACGACGCTTTTTTACTCGCAAGTATCTGGGAGAGCTCATCCACATCCCTAGCCAAGCGATCTGAAATCTCTGCGACTTCCGCATATTGAGCTTCAAGCTTATAAAGCTCCGTCTGACCTTCGGCATACTCCATCTGTAACTGCTTTAACACTGCTGAATGGACCTCATATGCAACATCGACTACGGGTAGCGGGGGCGGGGGCAAAGGACCACCAAAACTCAGGCTCTCGCAATTTGACCGCACCGGAGATCCTGCTCGTCTAGGTGGTGGGCTTCTGCGCTGCCATTCATGGGAAGCTGCTCTCCGGAGTACACGTTCCGCTACGAATGCTTCTGCATTGTCCAGCCTGTTACTATTCACCCCGACAGCAGGAAAAAGGTGAGCCGGAGAGGGGCTGGTGGTGCGCTCTCTGGAGCTTTGAATAGTGCCTGGTAAAGCTGTGCTGGCTATCTGAGTTGGCGTACCCATTTCATTAACTAAGCCAAATTCCGATTTTATTCTCACTTCCGAGTCGGTCGGCAAACTGAGGTCATATTTCGCACCATTCACTGCATATATATTAAAGTATGTTATCTCGGCACGCGAACAAAGTCTGGATCGACAGCTTACATTCTGATGGTGGTGGGGATGGTCGTTCTTCTCGGCCTGGTGGCGGTCGAGCTCTTGTGGTAGGTAGGGTTCCACTGGCGTTGGAATTTAAGGGAGCAGCCATGCCTTGGAAGAGTTTGAACCCTTCTGGCTGGGGGATTGGTCTGGAGGTGCCTTTGGAGAGATGTGGGGGAGGACCATTGGGTGTGCGTATTCGTCTTGTCTCGTCGGCAGGCCATAGCGCGTCCTCCTGGGGTTCCTGCTTGATGACAGGTTCTGCAGCTGTGGGAACATCCTTTCGGATATTGACATCACCGTGAACGGCGTCTACCATTGTGGGGTGTTGTCGCTCCCACTTGAGTGTGAAAACAAAGGCTGGAGGACGATCGCTTGATCACGTGGCCCCAGCTGGAGCGTTGCACTTCCAACCCCAGCAGCGTCCACGCAGGAAATGACATTCGTTTTTCGCAGGTTTCTCGCCAAATGATATGCTCTTCACGATGGAGACAAGCCACTGTCCAGGTCGAATGAGTTCGGGAAAAGGGGCACATTGGCTTTGTTTGTCGCCATGAGCGGGTTCAGTTACGTTGGAAAAGTTTGACGACATTGTGCTCACCACAAAACAAGAATATCAGAAACCTTGCATGTTTTAATAGATACAAAATAATACTAGATGCATGCATGTATGTTCTAATGGAAACACGGCGACGAGCTGCGACAGTGTGAACTCCCGACAGGCAACCACCATCCATCCCATCACAGTGAAATCAAGAAAAACCACCTTCATTTAGCATCCCTCTGCCGTTCCCGTCCAAACCTGTTCCAAATGCAAGAAGTGCGGCTAAAGCAATCAACGGAAACGCTGGCTCCTAACGAGGCTGTGCAGCGAATGCTTATAGGCCATGTCGTTCTTTGACTGTCAGGAGCTTGGAGCGGGAGCCCACTATTCCTGATAAGACATGTCATAATTTCCAATTTCCACCCTCCGACAACCTCCAAACGTTTATCCTTCGTTTTTCACGAGTCCCTTTGACTATTCAGACTATATGAACAATTGATTGCATTCACTGTCTTGGCAGTTGACAAGATTCTTTGGCATTTCAAAAGAGTAGACTCGGTGCAAGAGGCCGAACGTCGAGTCAAAGTACCGAAAAGGAATGTGATCACGAACTGTTCTGCTGAAAGAGCTAGTCTAGGCGCTCCTGCCGTGATGGTTAGGGGTCTTGCGCATCACGTGCCTTGACGCGTTCGTTCAGTTGTGTCATCAGCGTCAGTCGCATCAACCCCTCCCTCGCCCACCCCAAGGCACTCTTTGTTCATCGGCTCACCAACTCAACATCACTCGATATGGACTCTGCTACTCGTGTTCAAGAATCCCGGGTTTTTCCCCACCCCATCAATGTTGTGTGGAACCATGTACGTCCCGCCGACTTCAAGTTCTGGACAAGTGCAGTCAAGGAGACGCAAGTCGAAGGTGGCCTACCCGGTGAAGGTCAGCTCACTTTTACAAGTCGGGTAACGGATGGCAAATGACGCTGAAATCTGTTTCTACAGTTGGCTCTCAGCGCAAGGTTACCTTCAAAGATGGAACTGTTCAGCGTTACCAGATTGTTGAGTTGTCAGGTACTTGAAGTGTTTGGATGGGATGCCACCCAAGAAGTGTTTGTGCGTGGGGTTCGAAACTCATTTTCACATTGATCCAAGACCTGGCGTACTTTATAACATATGAAATGATTGAAAGCAACCCTCCCATTAAATCGTCGGCTGCTCTTCACACGATCAAATTGAGAAAGATCACCCATGTACGTTACTCTAAAAGGGCAGCTATGCGCAATTCCACAGTCTTTGTCTGATTCTTCTTTCACAGGATAATAGTACACTTGTGGAATGGGAGTCAGACTATTCCAGTAGCGGCAACGAGACTGCCAGCGTTGTTGAAGATTCGCGCCTCAAGAAGAAGGAAGCCCTTCAGGTCAGACATCGGTTGTGCCAGGCGTCTGCCGTCATGCATGCATTTACACTTTGCAATCTTTGTGCTCAAATACTATAGGATCTTGCGAAAGCACTTGGCAGCAAATGATCAAGGGTTACGGATTATCTACCATGTTGCTTTTGTTGCTAGTATGAGGCTTCTTCAGTTAAATTGGCCAATAAACTACAACCTTGCACAATCAATCGGACGTTACAATTTAACATGACGGAAGGAAACCTCTTTGGAATCACCGCTAACGTCTACTGTCCCTTGCGCTCCGCCAGCTTCTGTTCTGCAATCCTCTTCACTAAGTCCACATAGCCACCAATATTGTGATCATTGCAAAATTGCGAAATGGTAGCAGACGGGTCAGTGTCGTCCACAGCAAGAGAGAGGGTTAACATTTTTCCATCTCTGTCCTTCACCCTAATCTGAACCTCTCCATTGTCTTGAGTTTTATTGTTGCCAGGACGAGGGCCCTGCGATGTCCCAACGAATTGAAATGCTGATGGATAGGGAGTAGGGTAGCCCCAACTGCCGGGGAGCAATTCTGCCGAAAAAGCATACGGCCGCAATCCTTGGTGCGACCAGTTTGGTTGTTCTCCCACTGTCTGTATCCCGGTCCAGGACGGCCACAATGACGCATGTGCTGGCACCCCATTACCTTTTTTACCGCCTATCACGGGTGATCCCGTCATTGGCTGCTCGTTGGCGCATTCCGCGTTGTCGGTAGGCAAGATTTTAACGATAGGATGCGAGGTGGTTGATGACATACGGGATGTCGCGGCAGACAGATCCGTCAACGACGCAGCGGGGTTCTCCATAGTTGCAGCTGAATTGGAGAACGGCGGCACACCCTCATTATCAGCGTACGCCAGATTGCTTGCGCTACTGTCTTGTTGAAGTTGCTTCACTTCAGATGATATATTCTGCGCCGTAGGTCCATTGGCCAACTTTTTATCTGGCACGGCGTGCGATTGGACCCGCGACAAGCGACTGGGTCGGGCATCACAGATGACCTCGAAGCTTGAGTCTGTACGCCGGTCAGTTGCGGCTGCCTGGAGGGAGCGTGTACTCGAATTGCTAACGTCTTGTGGCGTGTGAGGTACTGAAAACGGTATACTTTTGGCGGCCTGCGGTGCAGCATCCTTCACATGCGGTGGCTCCGACCTTGTGGGTGCGGGATTTGGCGGAATTGCCTTGCCTTTAATCCATGTTTGCGTGGGACCGGGCTACGGGTAGTAAAGGACGATGAAGATAACGTATCAGCAGTGTCTCAATTCCAAACATCAATACGACAGATGAATTACTCCACACACCAGAGAAAGCTCAAAAGAATCCAAGCGGGCTTTCAGCTCCTTTTTGGTCTGAGGCACCTTCGACGAGCCCTTGGGAACCGAGGCAAGTGATTTACCCTTTGTACCTTGAGGGACATCCTGTGCAGGCACCCCATTTTGCCAGACCGTAGTAGGTCCGGGTGCCGTAAACTCGAAATCCCGAGCTCTTTGCTGAAGGGTTCTTTTGAACTTGGTCCGGTCTAGTGTTACAGGTTTGGTCAACCCCCCTCGCAATGTTGGAAACGTGTGACGAATATTGGACGTCTTCCCCCTTCCACTGATATTCGTGCTATTGCTATGACCAAACGATCCTCCCTGACTTGACTTGGGGACACTAAGCACAGGCGAGAACAACGTGAGCTGAATTCCGCCATTGTCCGCAGGAGTTATAACTTTGCACGACACGTACTAGTTACTGCCGCTACGATAGGATTCGCCCTCCCCAATGTAATCATCCTTCAGCGCTGGATGTGGACTGTACGAGGACTATAGGAAAAAGGAACGTTAGGCATAGCCAGCAATCCAACTGCTTTTCTGGGTTGCAACCTGTTCAGCAAAGGTTTTGAATTTGTTGATAACTGTCTCCATCTTGTTTTCGGCACGTTGCGAATGATCGGATGCTACTTCTCTGTCGCTTGAGCGTGCCTCGCCGAGCGGGGTTGGCATAAGGCCTGCGTGATCTTCTTCACTATCAGAAAGCAGCGTATCCCAGGGCATGCGCTTCTTCCTTCCATTCTCAATGGCCATGGTCGCACTACGGGAAGAAGTTAAGCGTAAAATCGAAGGTGAGATAATAGGGCCTCTTGTCAGCTGGTGATGATCAAAATAAAGGCTCAAGCAGCACTATACGCCTTGCCACACTTCAAACAAAACGTAAAAGGCAATGAGTTTTGGACAGCGCCAATTGATGGGCAGAAAAGCTTCCTGCTGGGGGCGACGTGGGAACGCGCAGGCGACAGTTGACAGTTCGGATAGCGTAAGCTGCATTCGAATGCATATGTGATCGAACCAGGTATGTGCTGACGATCACTACAAAAGCTGTTTTGTTTACAGCGAATGCCAGGTTGAGCCCTCCGTGCATGCAACGCACTTGACAAAAGACCTGAAAATGAATCAGACACAAGGCAAATACAGATGATCCAGTTTATTGTTATTTATATCCTATGAAAATACTTCTCCATTTACTATAGTATGTGTATATCCCGGTAAAAAGTCCTTTATTCTGATTACAGGCAAGTATTTGTAAACCACCATGAGATCTAACATGGAACACTGCCATATATAATTGCCCATGTGTAAGACAAAGGCAGCCGGGCAGGGCTTTTGAGATGTGTGTATGGCATCCTGTATGGCATCAGCACAACGAAGGTCATGTAGTCGTTCATTCAGTCATGTGTGAGTAACACATGCATTTCAGGCCACCCCAAGTTATTCTGTTGGAATTACGATACACCCTGCTATCGGACATGTAGGAGTTATACTGGCTATTTTTTTGGGGTATGTCAGCACTTGGGAACCTGTCAATCGGAGTCGGCTGATCCAGAATATTATCAGTGTTCTTTGGTTTGATGTATATTGGCTCCAATGAACTTACTAGATCGGAAACATATATTCTCGCAGTGGCTACTAGGGGTACCAATTGTGAAGGGTGGACCTGATTGTAAATAAGCGCAGGTATTTTTGGGAGTGTTAGTCAATATTTGCAATCAGGTCCGCAGACCTGGGTCCGGGATTCATATGGATCTCGTCGGAGCTGATTTGGGGCAAGAGATTTTACATAGACTTACTTACCTGCCAATGCTCAGGAAAGTCGCAAAGTCTAACTCCCTAGGGCTATCATGCTGGATAAAGCTCTACACTCCACTACCCCATTCCCTTGATACCCGCAATAAGGGGAAGCCTGGGAGCAACGGGAATTACATAACTTTGGTAGGCGTCACGTTAGGTTTCGCAGCCGCTTTGAGGGCGTCACAGTAGTGCAACTGGCGCTTGCTGCTATCGTATAAGGCGAGGATGAATCAGCGGAAGCGGTCTTTATGCATATCGGCCAAGGTGTAATGGACTACTCACGGAGGTTAACCTTGCACCAAATGCAAAAGTGGCGACTCCGGGTACCTCTGAGAGCAGTTGGCCTAACGCTCAACGAAACCCAGGGTCAACGATGCAAGAACCAGGGGGTTCGATCCCACTAGGGACATCCATCACCAGTCGTGACAAAGACGCCCCAGCCATTGAAGTGAATGAACACTTTTGAGATTTGTTCAGGACCTGAAAACGTGTCAAGCACAAGTTAGACAACAATGCAAAACTTTCCTTTCGATACATGATGCGAGTACGGTTGTGGGAGGAAGGCCAAACAAGTAACAAGTAGAATCACACATTTCCAATTGAGGCTGCACCGTTGGAGAGCGATCAGTGCGTTCTCGTGTCAGACAAGACATCTGATGGGAACATTAATAGATAACGTCAGCTGAATCCATCCACATTGCACACTTGAATCGCGTGGCTGGCATGTCCATCAACTCTTTGCTCAACGACCGGGTCTTGGAAAAACTGTACTTGCACTGCAAAGACTGGACTAATGCCCGCACATGTCTCGTTGGAGGACCTACAGCAGCAGCCGCACCGTAGAGATGCTGAGAATTCATCTCCTACTCATGTGTTGACGATAGCAGAGAGGGATAATGTGCCACATGCATCTGAATTTCGGCCTGCCGGAGAGCACATAGGTCACATTCACCACAGAGACAATGACTCCAGGGAGGACCTTGAAAACCGAAGAAACTTGGATGTACATGAACTGGGTCTCACTCGACGCCACGGCGGACGACGTGACATCATTGACACTTTAGACGAAAATGCACAAGAAGTGAAAACACTCCACAAATCCCCTTTGGTGAAATGGAGACGTAAGGATATGACGTCCTACGATAATATACATCCACATATCGTAATATTTTCTGGCAGGACGATACTTAGGGGTCATTGAGACGAGCTACGATGATATTAGGGAGTCCTATCGTATACAACGGACTCAAGAGAGGTATGCCAGGGGTGTGAAAGCTCAATTAGCTATGAACGTAACAGAGATCAACTCCAGGGAAAATCCTCATCGACCGCACTTCCTCCTTGAGGGCCTCTTTTCTCTTTTTATTGCGAAGGAGTCTCATGAATACCTCATCAGATTTCTTCAAACAAACGATCGTCTCGTGCTGTTTGTAAGTATTGCAGCACCGCTTTTATTACCAAGTCGACAAATTCATTCATCATGCCGTAGATTCTCTTGGATCTTGTTGTCGATGTGTGCTTTTGTATTATGTATCTGGTTGAGCTTCAATGGAATTTGGGTTCAAGTAGCGAAATCAGTCATTTGAAGCCGGCCTGGTTATACGTAGCCGTAAGTTTATCGTAACTTCTTAATGTAAACTATCAGAATTCATGCCCATTTCTTAGCGTCCGCCGGCAATATTTTACACATGCTTCGCGTTCTCCGTCTACATTCTCGCGTCCTTGTTTACGAAGATCCTTTTTGTATGTGATGCGTTGGTTCCCCCTTCAGAAGATTGAGGCTAATCCAATCAAAACATTAGGCAGACTCTAAGCGACAAGCTTTATTGAATTATCGGACGGCCCTCGATTTAATACTTTGTGTACCTTTTGTTGTCTTGGCAAACGTCCCCGATAACGGAAAACTTATTTGTACGACAGGTGCCTGTATGCTACCCTTCTGACCTTTCCTAATTCTTCCTGGCTTCAAGATATACCGTACTTTTTCCGAGCAATAATTGTCATCTCGAGAGTAAAGAGCGTCCTGAGGTTGCATGGAACTTGGCCGGTACTTAATGTGAGTACGAGTCTTAGATCAGATGCATGCACAGCTACTGGTTTGGTGATATACTGAGATACAGGCATCTTCAGGTGGATACCTATACTGACCGTTTAATAGTGCTTATATCAACTATCATGGTCTTGTTGTATGTCGCTCTGTGTGCATTTCAAGTGAGTGTGACGTACAATGTAGCATTTGATGGGCGATCAATTAACCATATTCAGTATTGTGAGAATCGTTTTGCACCCAATGAAGAATCCCGCAACATCTCGCTGATGCAGGCACTATATTTTATTGGTACGTTCACTGATTCCATAATGCCCATTGTTGTCTGAACTGGTTGTAACTGTCTCTACCACTCGCGGAAAGTCATCACTACCAGTACCGTCGGCTATGGGGATATCTCGCCCACCTCAATCCCTGGTCAAATCGTCGTCCTTGTATTAATCATGTTGGCGATAAGCATTCTCCCCGGCTTAATCGCTCGTACGGTAGGTTCCGATAAAGTGCATACTTATAGCCTGATAAACTGAATGAATAAGTTTATGGGCAGGTGGAAACGTTCAAACTCCGCTCTGCAGGAGGGGGAACATATCAACGAGGTAGATTCGTATACCTGTGCTGCACATACGCTAGCGCGTTACATTTGTCCTTTTTGTTCACTTTCCGCGTCTTTTCTGTTCCGAGCAGGATCTCATCCATTTGTATGGCGCTTGTAATGATGAACGCCATCAGACCCAGACATCTCACATGGTTCACATTAAGGTTGTGATTGTTGGGCTCTTTGACAATGCACTGAAGGTCATGGACGTTCTGAATGCATTCCTACACCGGGTATGAAATTCCCTCACTTTTATAACCGGGCATAGTCCCAACATGACAAGGCTAACGGAAGTCATTCAGGATCCTGCACAGCAAATGAAAATCGTATTCCTTGCACGGACGCCCCCGTCTCTAGCAGTAAAGGCTGTTCTCAGTCAGTCACCTTTTCAACACCGCGTTTCATATCTGCAAGGATCTGCGTTGGTAAGTGCCCTTCGGTTGTGCGAGTGAGATGCTGTTTCACGGGCCAACGCCTGTTTCTAGGATGTAGAGGATATGAAGCGGGTTCAAATACAGTAAGTTGTTCCCACGAGGCCGATGGAACAACGTTCTAACAGTGAAACAATGATAGATATGCGTCTGCTGCCTTCATTATTGCTGGTACGAGCCACCCATCTCAGACACCACCGTACCGTGCGCTCACCAGAAAACTTTTAGACCGCAGCGCGAGTGATCCCTCAGTGGAGGACGACCACAATACATTGCGGGCATGGGCTTTCGATGACTATGCACCCCTCACGCCACTGTATGTGTATAACCTTCTCCCTGAAACTGAAAGCTTTCAAGAACACACGACAAATGCAGGTAGGAACTGTTCTGGACGCCTTGATGGTTCTATCTGTATGTTAAACTACTTACTTTGTAGCTGTATGCGTTGAAGACCTGAAGCAGGTCTGTTGTTTTCCTGCACGTAATTCACTGTTTGTATTGACTCTTTCGTAGATGCTGCTCGGATATAGCTGTCTGTATCGAGGGGCAAGCAGTTTACTCTTAAATGTATGAATCTCTGATGTACATGATAACTTCCATCAACACACAATTTATTCGCCGTGTTAGCTTCTTCAACAGACCGCTCCGATGAGCCAATACGACGAGCCGGTACGTTTCGCTCAATTATGGTTTATGGCATTCGCTTGTTAACTGAATCTTACATCATGACTTCTCTAGTGGAAGGCCCAATATGGTCAGGGATATACACTGCTATCATACTTTGAGCCGCGGGCTGATCTGCAGTCGTTCACAGGAGACGGATGTGGGAACGAGTATTACAGCACTGCGGTTAACTCCGCCTTTGTTGGAAAGCGGTTCACGGATGTCTCCTGGTATATCTTCCATCAATATCAAGTCATTCTTTTTGCTGTGAAAGTGGTGATAAAAAGTCGCGGTGATTATCACTTGATGTTAAACCCCGGTTCAAGCTATCTTCTTGGGCAATTTGATCAGTGTTTATACATCGCACAACGACAGGTAACAGTCTGGAGTGCCACATTTGAAAATCATTCGAAGGAGGTCTAATGGTGGAATCTGCCTTCACAGGAGGATGTCAGTGCTATAGAAACATTGGTGAGAAAAGTGACTCTGGTGTGAGGATTGTGTGCCGTTGTTCTGAGTAGCTTTTGCGCCAGACACCATCACAGTATGAAAGATCCCTACGCAACTTGCAATCGAGAGCATCTGAATTTCGCATGCAGCCGGGTATTGTGCGACGGGGAACGTTCACTGCTACTCGGTGAGAACCTGGAATTTACATTCTTGTGATATCCTAAGCATTGGCATTGAACCGCACAAAGTGTGCAGGATTGCAGCACCGCCGCGGGATTTCCCATGATAGGCAACGGGCAGCTGAGGATTGGAACCCCCCATCCTCCATTTAGTGATATAAAAGGTATCGTTTCTATACAGTTTTTTTTTCTTTTATCGTGCCCACCCAGTGCTTTCTATATAATTTCGAGGAACATGATGCCAATGTCTATCTTTGTTCCAGTGGGCATCTGCCTTCTGTTGCGAAACCCGATGACATCGCCAGATGAATGTCTGATAGAGGATGCCTCGACGATGCGTAAGCACCTACTTGTTTGCTCCAACGACTACGCCCTTTTCCGCCTCATGTGCACGCTGCGGTCCGCCCATCTGACTGAGGATGAATTCAAAACCGTCCTTCTTCTTTGCCCTCATCTACCGAGTCGTGAACAATTTCGTGCGCTTTCGGAGTTTCCGGATCTTCACATCATGATCGGGGACCCGCGAAGAAAAGCCGACCTTCAGCGCGCTGGCATTGTGGGAGCGGAGAAAGTCCTCATTGTGAGCATGCATCGGAAAAATCAAGATGCTGACCAATCTCAGGATGAGACCTTTGCTGACAGCGCTGCCATGTAAGCAATGCTGAGTATACTCACCCTAACGGTATGGTTTCATGTACCTATTTACCTGCGGGATTCTATAGAATGGTGAGCCATATGATTCATAACCTTTTCCGGCGAACGGGCCATCGGAAGTTTGTTGTTGTAGAACTGTGTAAGTATCCTCTGTGAAATCTCTCTGACGCGTCAATCAGTTAGTGCTTATCTCCCGGTAGTGAAGCGTGGCCACATCAAATTTCTACCACCCACTGCGAAGAGAGCATCCAAGAAAAAGCACCGCTTGAAGGATGCACAGCGTAAATCAGTCGCGTATCAATCTGATGCGGGCGTTGACAGTTACCTGTACGCACCAATATATGCATCAGGCCGTGTTGTGGCAGCCAGCATGTTAGATGCGATTCTCTTTGAAACATTTTACAACTCAGCCGTGCTTGATGTTTTCAGGCTGCTGTGTGGCGTTCGATACAAGGTGTGTGGAAGAGCGTGCGACCATTATAGAAACAAAAATACTAACCTGCTTCAAAATGTAGCACGACGTTGATATGGATAAGCTTCTGGGCGTTGACCCATCCTACCTATGCTGCGTACCGGTACCTTCTGAGTATGAGGTCAGTTGACTCTCTTCTTTGCATCTATGCCGTGACATTAACAGAACCTTTTGTTTTCAGCATCAGCCATTTTCCGTTCTGTATCGCGAGTTTGCACTCAATCAAGGTGTGATTCCAATTGCATTACTACGAGACACAGATGACCCCAAATTAGGAAACCGGCTGCCCTTTGTGTTTACCAACCCACTCCCAAGCATCATATTAAAATCAAGTGACCTGGTATATGTTCTCACACCAGTATCCAAAAAGAAAATATAATGGAGTTGTTGCCAGAGGTGGAACATTCTTGTAAACAATCACTTTAAATCATCTATATATAATAGTCCTTCATGGAAAAATTGTAAATAATACAGTATTTAGACAGTTATTAAAGGTGCTGCTAGGTGATATATTTATGCTGCAAACTAACAATAAATTTGCACAGTCTTAAGCAGACTCCAAGGAATAATCCCAAGATCTTGTGGACATTACCATACACCACTCAGGGTAGCTACTTAATCTTCTGATTACTTTCTGTATATTAGTATATATATTTATTGGTTTTGATTTATATTGGCTGTGTCCAAATAAGTACAGTAGCTGTTAAAGCTAGTTCCATAGCTAAAATATTTAGTTACTCCTAGGGGGTGATAAGTATATAGCCTTTCTGCTGCTCTTTCTGCTGGTACTAGCCAGTGATGTTTAAATGCTCAATAAATAAGTGCCTCAAGAGTTGCTGTAAGGTGTGTATTAGCCATAGTTTAGTACTAACTCAGAAATTTTAGAATTTATTGATTATAGCAGATATATTAAAAGATAGAAACTTAAATAAATTAGCTGCTAGTAACCTAAAAATAAGACTAAAATAGTTCTAAGAATGTAATAACCTTGCAGCAATTGGTTCAATGTACAGGGCTCACAGTTCAAGCCATGTGGTTACTAGACTCTGCAGGCTACAGTTACTGGTAACTGGTGATGCACTATTATGATAGATAGATATAGTTAAGGGGATTGGTATCTAGCTGCTTGCATGTTAGAAATGGGTACAATGGCATTGTCCCCTTTTATAGACATATGGCAATTATCTTTACATATTTAGGCTGTAACAATAGGCATTATACCAGTGTTATACAGCCTAAATATTTACTTGTTCTGTATAGTGAAAATATTGGCAAATATGCATCTCAGTGCATCAATCCACAAAGGTTGTGGGTATCAATTAATTACAGCACTTACTTCACACAATGCAATAATTGCAGGGTTGCTGTGACAACAGTCAGTAACCAATGATCTAACCAGATTAATGTAGTTAGTCATGGTGCTGTGCCATGTCTCATTAAAAAGAAGCCCTTGATAATAATAATAAGCTTATAATTTTTTAAGTAGTTCTCTAATAGACACAAATATTCCTACTATATTGAAGTTACTGCCTTGCTAGATGTCCTAACTTAAAGGTGTTCTGAACCAGGTAACATCTATGGTAGCTTAGCAAACTGCCCTGTACTAAAATTCTACTGAAACAGAGACTAGCTGCAGGTTGCTTTCTACTGTACCAGTTGACACTGCTGCTTTTGAACCTAGCACTTAGTATTGAACTTAGTGCTTGGAACACTAATTTCCCATGTAGAAATCACTTCTGAAAGGCCTAGTAATGCCTGTGGCCGCTAGTAAGACTTCTGGGTGCAGTAACTTGTGGGATAACATGCTTGTATTAAGCCAGAGACATTCAAAAGCCCCCTTTATATAACCCAGTACATTCTCCAGCCTCCCTCTGCCTTTGTTTACTGTTTACATGCTTCAGCCCACTTGTTTACATGCTCAGCCGTGCTCAGCAGTGCTCAGCAGCTTCAGCCATGCCTTGGCAAACATTACCTGAAGATCTAGATCATCAACAACCTTCCAGACCTTCTAAGAGTGCTTACATGATGGTTTACCCCTTTAAATCATTCACACATGCACCTGTGATCATTCTGATTACTCCAAGTCCAATTCCCCACATTGTAACTTAGCCAGATCAGATGTGAACTGTCTAATGACATCCCAGCATGATCTCACATGATTTATAGATCATATAGCATGGTTTAAGCCTGAATCTTAACACTCCCACTCAGTGAATCATCTGATTTCCGACAGAGACCCATTTTACCACAAAGTTTAAGGTGCCTTGTCTTGGGTAGAGCCTTGGTGAGAATGTCAGCCATCATTTCTTCTGTCTGACAGTACTTGAGGCTGATTTTCTTGTCTTCTACTGCTTGTCTGATGAAGTGGTGCCGCACATCAATGTGTTTGGTCCTTGCATGATGTGTTGGGTTGTTGGCAAGTGCTATGGCACCCTGATTGTCACCATACAATGTTGTAGGACCACTTTGCTGATGTCCTAGCTTGCCTAGAAGTGTTCTGAACCAGATAACTTCCTTGGTAGCTTGACAAAGAGCCATGTACTCTGACTCTGCTGATGATAGAGTGACTGTAGGTTGCCTCTTACTTTGCCAGCTGACTGTACTGCTGCCAATCTTGACTAAGAAGCCAGTGGTAGACTTCCTGAAGTCCAAATCACTGCCCCAATCTGCATCAGAGTATGCAGATAGCTCCCACTTGCTCTGAATGCCGCCCAGTTGAAGTCCTAGGTCTGTGGTGCCATTCAGGTACCACATGATCCATTTGACTGCTATCCAGTTGTAACAGGCTAGCAGGGACAAGAAGACAACAGAAAACTAGGGAAGACTTGGTTACTACTTGTTATTTTTCTTTGAGGGGCCTCAGAGAGGTCCTCTTTTTATAGACAAAGGTGCTGACAAATGCTATATCCTAACTACCCAATCAGATCTCACCCACATCATCCTAAACTATTTGTCAGCCTATTGCACCATTTGCAACCAATCAGAACTCATACATGTCATCCTAAACTATTTGTCAGCCTATTGCACCATTTGCAACCAATCAGATCTTGTACATGTCATCCTAAACTATTTGTCAGCCTATTGCACCATTTATAGCCAATCACAAGTGAGACAAGTCATCCTAAATACACTGTGCCACTTGATTAAAAGGGGCAGATGCTAGTGTGTCAGGATACTCATCTAATTTAGCCGGGAATGGCTAAATCTGCTTATTTATCTAATTCTGGTCAAATGAATGCTGACACCATCAGCAAAGTCATGTGACCACTAGTTTGGAACCACATCTAACCAGTATAACCATAGCACTGACAGAAGAATTCTGTCACACCAGTGCTGATGTCCGGGGTTGGAAAGGTACTGGCTAACTGATCCAACTGCTGCTGCTATGTCTGGTCTGGTGCCCAGCATTGCATAAATGAGACTTCCAACAGCACTTCTGAAAGGAACCCCGTTCATTTCTTGCTGTTCTGCCTCAGTTTGTGGTGACATGGCCTTGGTGAGCTTCTGGCCATTCTCTAGTGGTGTGGCAACTGGTTTGCTGTTACTCATATTGAATTTCTTCAATGTTTGACCGAGGTACCGCTGTTGGGAGAGCCAGATTGACCTGTTGGCTCTGTCCCTGACCACTTGAATGCCGAGAAAATGCTCTAACTGGCCCATATCAGCCATCTTGAACTGCTTCTTGAGTTCTTCTTTGAGTTTTAACAACTCCTGGTCGTCCTTTGATGCCAGAATAAGGTCATCCACATATAGGATAAGGTGGATGCCCATCTTCTTGTTGATGTACAGCCCGTGGTCTGATTCACACCTTTCAAAGCCAAGTTCTTTGAGTTGCCCATCAATGACTTTGTTCCAGGCTCTTGGAGCTTGCTTTAACCCATACAAACTCTTCTTTAGCTTGCAGACAAGTCCTTTTTCCGTGGTGAAGCCTTCTGGTTGGTCCATGTAGATGTCCTCCTCAATGGTCCCATTCAAGAATGCTGTTTTGACATCCATTTGGTGAATCTCCATGTCCTTCATAGCTGCTAGTGTCAGGACCATCCTGATTGTTGCAAACTTGACTACTGGGGCAAATGTCTCCTTGTAGTCCAGTCCTTCAACTTGGGAGTATCCTTTGGCTACCAGTCTGGCCTTGTAGCGCTCTACAGAGCCATCTGACTTGAGTTTCAGCTTGAAAACCCACTTGCAGCCAACTGTAGATCTTCCTGGTGGTAGTTTGACTAAGTCCCATGTCTGATTCTCCATCAGAGAGTCATATTCTGCTTTGACAGCCGCCTCCCACTGTTTGGCATCATGTCTGGTCCTAGCTTCAGCCAGAGTGCTGGGTTCTTCCTGTGGAACTTCCCCAATGGTGAAAGCAAACACCAGATTTGACTGAGTTGGCTTTGCAATCCACCACTCTCCCAGTGGTTTGTGAAATCTGGCACTCTTCCTGCTGAGTTCTGGCACTTCCTCAGCATCCTGGAAGTCGTCCCCATCATCTTCTGATGCTGAAGAGTTGTCTGGAGTGATGCTAGATGGTCTCTGAGTCTCTTGAACCATCCCTAGCCCTTCTTGGTCATCCAAGAATGAAGGCTCCCCTCCCAGAGGCATGTGTAGCTCTTGGTCTTGCTGTGGTACACTCTGCAGTCGCTCCTGAGTGCTCCACATCAAGTTTTCATCAAAGATGACATCCCTTGACATGACAACTTGGTTCATTTCAGGTACCCACAGTCTGTAGGCCTTACTCTGAGTGCTGTAGCTGACCATGACTGCTTTCTTGGCCTTCTCATCAAGTTTTGACCGCTTTTCCTTTGGAATATGAGTGTAGGCCATGCAGCCAAACACTCTGAGGTGCTGGAGATCTGGTTTACTGCCTGTAAACTCTTGAAATGGTGTTGATTGGTTGCTGAGTGCTGCAGTGGGGCTCCTGTTCCTGAGATAGACCGCTGTCATGATTGCCTCACCCCAGAACTTGTAGCTGAGTCCACTGTGGTGCAGCATGCACCTTCCCATTTCCACCAGTGTCCTGTTCATCGTCTCAGCTACACCATTGTGCTCTGGTGTGTAGGAGGTGCTGGAATCGCTGCTGAAATCCCTTCTGTTTGCAGGAATTTCTTGAATTCTTCGCCCACATACT